CGTTCTCTCCCATACTCTTCGCCCTACTGCCCTCTGCCGGGCAATCATCCGGGACACCACCATTCAAGGACTGCAGATGGGCGATCAACATGTGAAGCTCCTGGCTTACGCCAATGATGTGGCCTTGATTTGCACCTCCAAGGCTCAGGTTGAGGCTGCTTTGCAGCACGTTGCGGTATTCTCCCATGCGTCGGGAGCAAAGGTCAACCGGCGGAAGTTCATCGATGCTTGGCTCGGGGATTGGGCCACGACGCCCAAAATCTTTGCGGGCATCGAATGTAGAACAACGGTTGACATCTACCTGGGAGCGCTGATTGGAGAACGTGGGCCCACGGTGGAAAAGTGGCGTCAAAAGACCAACGCCATTCAGGCGAAGCTCTCCCCGTGTCTCGGCAGGTGGTTATCGCTCTTTAATAGAGCGTACGTCTGCAACTCTACTTCCTATCCAGCGGTACTCTACTGGGCACAAGCTGCCGTGTGTCCTGAGTCAACTGCCAATCGTTTTCACCGAAGCTGGGCGAGCTTCATCTGGAGGTCGACGATGGAGAGGACGCGGCGCAGCAACCTCTTCCCCAGTTTGGCGGCCGGAAGTCTGGGCCTTGTGAACGTGGTGCTGAAGCTCCACGTGCAGCGCTTCCTTCTCATCAGAGACGGACGGGACCCCCTCTTTTTAAGTGCCCTACATCACCTCGGGTACCCATACCTTGGCAGACGGATGGTCAGTACCACAGGTCGCACCACCAGGGGAGCGGGTCTGCGGTTCTACGCAGAAATAGCCGCCTCAGTGGAGTTCTTCCTGGTCCACTTCTCCTGGGAATACCTCCTTGCTGCCAGCTGCAAGACGCTGTACTGGGACACACATTTGCGACTGTGCGCCCAGTTCCCCTGCACAGAATGGAGCCGATCCCCCTTTGCGCAGCCGGGCTCTTCAAGCGGGTGCGGAGGTTTCCTGTCCCGGCATCCACTAACGACTTCTTCGTCCCACTCCACATCGAGACGCTGCCTGTGAAGGTGTGGTTGGACGCGAGGGGTGTTTTCGTCCCCTGGTCTTCGAACTGCGTCCTGTGTGGCGCAAGTGAGACGATACAGCACATCTTCGTCGAGTGCTCAAACGCATACCTCTTCTGGGACGAACTCAGGGTGGCATTTGGGCAGCATTTTGAAATCGTGTGGCCAACCTTTAAGTATTTGAACCTCGGAAGTGCCGACAGTTCGGACGTAGCCCCGGCAATAGTCCTGCTGGGTCTGCAGTCCATTTGGTTGGCGCGCACTGTCATGGTAGAAGGTCACACCGACGCCAAGCCGACGTGGGATTACTTCACGTCAAGGCTGAGGTGGCTCCTCTCGATTGCCTCGAGAGAGGAATACCACGAAAGAAGGGAATGGCAGCACGAAAAAAAATAGACTGGAGGCAAAACAACTGTAGGACCAGTGCGCCTGGCAACGGAGGGACAGGAGCGGGGCTAACTAGGGTGCCCACGCTTCCTGGCGCGTTAGAAGCTGGCTGCGGCCAGGCAACAAGGTTTTTTTATTATTATTTATTTTATTTTTTTACTAGCCTGTTAGCCAGGACTGACTGTTTGTGTTATCTTGTGATCTGTAAATCAGGACTGACTCTTCTTTGTCTCTGTCCTCATAATAGAATTACTAAACATATGAAAGTGTCCACTCATGTTACGTGTAACTCCAATATGTAAATAAACTTGTTTTTGTTGGGAAAAAAAAAAAAAGGCTTCATACGCAAGTGGACGCAAGTTCGATATGCGGTGGGCCAACTTTTTTTTTTTTCTTTTTTTCTCTAACATTTTGTTTTGTCGAGGCATTTGGCGATATTTACGACATTTCTTTTTGCGATGAACAGTAAAAAAAAACAAAAAAAAATCCAAAAAAATGTTGTCGGGCAACTTTGCAGGACTAAATGGTATGGGACTCCCTTTCCGGAGGTGCGATCGAAGACAGCGGGGCTTGGGTTGCCGGCAGGACGCCACGAAGCGGCATGTACTGGTTACGTTTTGTAATTAGCAGCCGCACACTGTCGCCGCGAAGCGGCGTGAACGCAGACGGGCGGCTGTGTTAACGAGCTCCCCAGTCATACACGCGCCGTTGGAAAGGGTGGCCCGAGCGGCATGAGCTCTCCGAGGAGTGCGTATAGCCATTTCCGTCCGAAGTGCACTCCGGAATGCGTATAGCTTTACTCATCACTGGGGAGCTCGTTAACACAGCCCCCCGCCTGCATTCACGCCGCTTTGCGGCAACAGTATGCGGCTGCTAATTGCAAAACTATTGACCCATTTGGTCCTGTCGTACTTGCCGCTTCGCGGCGTCCAGCCGGCAAACCAAGCCCCGCTGTACCCCATGCACCTCCGGAAACGAAGTCCCATACCATTTCGTTCAGCGAAATTTCGGCGACAACATTTGTTTTTTTCCTGTGTTAATCGTCAAAAAATAAATGTAAATATCGCCAAATGCGTTGGTAAAATAAAATATGTGAGAAAACAAAAAAGTAAGCCCGCACCGGGGATCAAACCCGGAATCGGTTGCTAATGAGACAAACATTTTTTTTTTTATTTAAAATTGATTTTTATGTACACGTTTCAAAAATTCGTTCACACTTTTCGAAAAACTCGTTTCGAGAACTCGTTTTATACGAGACTTTCGGACAGCACTTGAACGCGCGAGTGGAGTACCGACGGACGGCACTTGAACGCTCAGCAAGAGTGCCGTCGGACGGTACTCTAGACACTACATTATTTATTTGGTGTGCTGTTCTAGACGTGCCACACAATTATGAACCAAGCATGAAGAGGCCATTCGTTCTAAAGTGGTACGACCCTGCTTGTTTTCTGGAGAAAACATTGTTTGCAGGCCAGTAACACCGAAATGTCAAAAAGCGCTTATTCAGCCGGTAGAACACTCGTGAGTGTGTATCAAAGGAAAGGAAAATCGACTGTTTACAGCCACGCTTTGTGTGCATGCTTGTTACTGCCGAATAAAGTATGTGGGAAGAGGCACTAAGGAAAAAGAAGGACAGTAGGGAGAGAAAGGGAGCGAGAGGTCTGGAGGCCTCCTGCTTTGCCCAGAGGCACTGTGGAAAAACTGGCTTGCAGCGCCTTCTATGATTTGTTTATCGGTATTGGGTAGTACAAACCTGCATATTTGAATTTGTCCCGCGTGAAAACGTTAGCTGGCGGTATGAATTCCCCCTTGCGATTGTTTTACGGCACAGAATTGAGCCAATTCCTAACGTGGAAAGCTTCTTTCGTTCCTCAAGACTTCGCAAAGGGAAGAAACTCAGCGATGCATGCTACTGCAAGCTATGCCTATGCCGTACAAGAAATCTCAAATTTGGTGTAGGTGCTCTGTCACTCGCAAAAACAGCGAGCTTCCTTGATGTCAAGCTTGAGGTGAGCCTACGTTAACTTGACTTGTAAGCAAAGGCACCCAAATTGCAGTCCCTTTCTACAGCCAACGAGATCAGCCGATGACCAACCTAAGAAATGCTCAAAAGCAGACACAACCAATCGAGCTGCAACCAGCCGTCTGTCGGCCGAGCAGATTGTTCTTACTGCATGCTGCTTCTTGAGCTCTTGCAGCTTTTCTTGCGCATTTGCGCTGTAAGCTTGACACAACATAAGATCAGCAGTAGGAGCTCTGCCTCCAGCACATGCTTCTTTCCCTCTGTTGTGCCTGTAGTGCATTGGTGTGCACGCACACTGGTCTTTTCAAATGAACGCTCTCGCTGGAGACGGCACTTTTACTACTGATCTCACATTGCAAAAGATGTACTGGTTCAATCGGATCGCTCCACTGGTGGGACGGTATAGCGTGTTCCCCTTTGTAAAATCTGCATGGCATACGTTTCTATGCGTGCCACCAGGGGCGGATGCAGGAATTTCCTGAGGGGGGGGGGGGTCAGGTGTTGGTCAGCGTACCATATGTTAAGGAACCCCCTCCCCCTCCCTCGTTTCACGCCCTAAATTTTACGCATGTGGAAATCAAGAGGGGGGTCAGGACATCCAGATCCCCTCCCAACTAAATCCACTCCTGCATGCCACGGCCGCTTGATCGTGTGGCCGTGCTTAGCAGAACAACTTGGAGGGCGAGAAAAACAATTGCCTCGCTTACTCGGTGCGCTGGGCGGCCTGGTATCGTCCCCTCTGCTTGACTTTGTGCAGTTTCAATGGTAATGTGTAGAATTCTTTGTCGGGGGTAATTCCTTCGTGTTCTTAACAGTTGACGATGCAAAAATACTGTCAGTGGCAATGTTTCAAACACATTAAGGCCACGCTTGTTGCTCCCAGTTTCGACAAACTTGGACGAAGGAGAGATTACTAGCTTGCGGCGAGCTCGGGTCTCCAGGGTAAGGTTGTGCGGTGACCACTACGAGTGACATATTTTCAGTTGTTATCACGTGAATGCACAAATAACAGCTGAGTGCAGATGTAAAAAGCCACCTGAACAGGTTTGTTATAGTGCGAGGCCACAGGGCTTCTCAGACACTCTATCGTCTGCCATTGGGGGCGTCATGATACGTTCAATGCTCTTGTGCAGGAGGCCTAGAGAGCCTAGGTTTAAGAGAAAGAGCGATTCAAACCACGGAGAGTGTCTGCAATTTAATAGCGGACACCTCTCGTGCAGGCTGGGTGCCAATGTGCATGCATGAGTTGCCGCACGAGAAGGAGGAAGCAGGCCCGAGCAAAGACTGGAGACGGTCGCAGACGATCGGCGCTTTGGGCTCCCCACAACTTGTGTTGCAAATGGCACATAAATCACGGAACCCTAACCGAGCAGTTGAAAGCACTCTGAAACCTAGGTGCACCAGAAAAGTCCAGTTCAGTTCACACCAAGGAGTATGTAAAGAATTTTGCTGGAGTGGAGGCCGCCTATAGGTACAAATGGGAGGGGGTGAAGCGTGGCTGAGCGGGCGGCGGCCATCTTGCCGTGGGCAAGAACCTGCATCGTTCGCGCTTTGCTGCGAGTTTTATGAAGGTAGTGGCGGTTACAAAACAGGGAAGTCAACAAACAGCTCGTGTAATAACAATTTATTGGTCGTTTCTTAGCACTTAGTTGGCCTATAATAAGCAGCGAGACAATTACAACCCTAAAAAAATCCCTTCAAAATATGACATTGATGAGTTAAAACCAAGCCTTGGTTAAAACTGTCGTATTGATGGTTTATTTTATTGATGTCTGATAATAATCACTTTTGACAGAAGCGGCCTCGCCTTGTCCTTGATCATTTCTTTGTTCTTTTCCTTTGTCATGTGGTGAATTCTGACCTTAAGATACTCTTTAGCCAGCTTCTTACACAAGCTGTAAATATGGTTGTCTAGAAGATCGCAGCGTAGAAGGTGCGGTTCCAGTTGCAAAAACCATTTCTTCTCTAGCAACGCACTCAACACTTCCAAGATCAACTGTTTGGTCCTATGCTGCACCGCTTTGACGGTTTCCCACTCGGCCTTCAACTGCGGCAGCCCTTTCTCGACAGCTTCGCACAGCCCGATGATGTCTTGTGATGGAGAAACCAGTTCACCCCGTTTTTTTTGCCTAGCAAGAGGTGCCAGCTCTTGTGAATGCAGGGCTGCAATACACTGTTGCCATGTTGTAGTTGAACAAACTTTGCAAACAACAAAGCCCGCAATGTATGGCGCCATAGAAGTGACAAAAGGGGACAGGCTTTCAGGACGGGGAATACGGTGCTTGTAATCGTGATCTTTTGACTGCATGACGGGTGCCCTTCTGGTGTCGTTAAGGGTACTGGTTGCATCTTCTTCAGGCATAAAAATAGATCCCGTCAGGATTGATACCATGTCTTGAGAGCAATTCCCCAAGTTGGAAGACGTCACTTCTGTCTGAATCAACAGTCGTCTGTACGAAGCCATGAACTGCGCAGCCGTAGAGTTGTTGTTAAACCCTCCCCGTCCTTGAATGCACCTAAAGAACTCAACATGGTCCTGGCTCAGCTTGTGTGTTAAGAGGTACTTTGAACAGCTTTTCGGTACTTGCAATGCAGATCAAGAAGCCGATGAAACCGTTTTTTTTAACCCTTCCAAAATAGGACGTCCTAATGGGTCTTTCAGTCTCTTGATGTACGCTTGAGCCCCAGAAAAGAATGCCCTCCAGCATGCTTCATTCTGCTTTTGTAAGGCCGCCTTGTAGGGTCTTGCCAACGGGTTCCTAGAATTGAGGACGTGGTCAAGTGGTCGAACAAATGGTCGAAAACTATGATAAATTTTTCTGTTGCATTTGCACCTTTGAACTGCAGCAGCTTGAGCACTTGGTCGAAGAAGTCTAAAGCGTCAGCCACTGATGCACTTAGTGCTCGAACTTGTGCTGTCTTCAGTGGCGCACACCTTGTTTTGATACCATTGCTTGGTAGGTGAACCTACAGGCAGCTCTCCTCCCGCTTCGGACACTTCAGCAGTCGCAGTGATTGTGCAGTCTCGAGGCTTGGGTGCTGGCTGCTTCATTTTAACCTTTACCCAGCTAAAAAGTTCATTAAATCCAATTGGAATTCCAGCTGGTTTTAACTGGAACCAATTGGTTTCAGTGGGTTCCAACTGGAAGCACACTGGCCAATGGGTCTCACCAACTGGAATTATTTTTCCAGATGGAAGCTGAATGGGTTCATAATGGTTCCCATTGGTAGTGACCAATTGGTTGTCCAAAAACCCAATTGGCACCAATAATAAAATTCCAATTGGAACTTAATGGGAATTTTGAACCGGGTAATAGAAAGCATACATGTACTTCCTGAGTGCCAAGTTACCAAGCACACTGGATGCGTAAAACAGTGTCAAAAGAGATGATGCCACAGCCTACTGGCTACACGTGAGGCAAAAACTAGATGAAAAAAAAAAGTTGTCGAAAGCCATTACACCCTTTCTCTCTCTCTCTTTCTCTCTCTCGCTCGCTCGCTCGCACGCACGCACGCACATCTAGTCACGAACTGATGCACACATCCAGCGTCACAAACTGACTTGTGATAAGCGCAAAACATTCATTTTACTGTCACAATTCCCCTTTTGACCACTCACTGGCTTCTGGAGATGAATTGGAAAGGCAGGGAGCAGCCTGGGCGCACTCCCAGGCAGCAGTAGCTTCGTTTGTCCGGTGCAGTCGAAGCATTCCGGTGCGAAATGCACGGAACACAAACAATGTCAGTCTTTCACTTGCCAGCGTTTGCGACGAACGGCTTGCTCCCAAGGGCTCCGCGTCTTCGAATCCTTTGGAAATCTGTTAATGAATACGAGGCTGTTAATTGTCGTGCATAGGTGCCACATCGCTGGGCATTGCCAGGGCTTAGGGAACCTCAATCACATCCCCATTCAGAACAATTCTCATTGTACTTAGAAGTGTAGTGTGATCCTTTCCCCCTCCTTCGCCCTGTTTGTGCATCCGTACGCAACACAGGAGCAAACCTTGTTTACATGCCCTCTTCGTCAATTTCCACTTACTTTTAGTCCACAACAAATACCACGTTTACCCCCATTCAGGTGCGTTTTCTGCCCACTTCAAGATGGCAGCCGCCGGGGGTCACTTGAAGAGTGCCCCCTCCACTCCAGCAAACTTCTTTACATCCTCCTTGGTTCACACCCATTTAGCAGGTTGTTGGCCATTCGACGGAGATGCGTGGAGAGTCCGACAGTGGCGGCAGCCGCCGCGGAGGGAGGAAAACCAAAATTTTGAGGGGAAGGGGGGATTGAACGACGCAATTCAACTGTTGTCGTCGGACAGGTGTTTGCCTGTCAGGACCTGCGCCAGTCTCTGAACATTCTTTCCCTGGCTGTTGTTGATGAACGGGATGTTTGTGTCCTCTCGCAATTGCTCTAATAGCCCGACGCTAAAACACTTTAGGAGCGCTGCGAGTGCCGTTAGTTTTGCTGACCTTACTCCTATCGGCTATAAAAGGTCCTCGAGGCTGCTGCTGGGGGGTCCTTGGCGGGCGAAGGTAACTTGGAGCCCGTATCATTTCGCATGATATATCAATACCACCTAGAAAACAAGGTCTGCGCATGATTCGTCGTTTGTGTATCTGCGACCTGCCCTATGCGGCAAACAAGCCAAAGATTGACGAGAGTTGCCGCAAAGCGGTAGATTTGTCTGTCTTGGCATCACCGCACGCTAGTGTTGCTCTCGTTGCGAGACACTGCAAGACGTGCTGGCAACGATTCTGATGCGAGCTAGGCAATGCCGCGTGGATCCACTACTGGTGACATTTGAGGGGGAAAGACGCGCGCAGCCCTTGTCTTCTAGGTGGTGTCGATTGTACACACTGCAACCAGACTGAAGGTTAGCCGCGCTGTTGGCTCTCGGCTGTACGGGCAGTTGGAGCGGAGCTGCCGTTGGTGTGCATTTGGTGGGCCTAGGCCGGCGTGATGGCACTGTGCACTCTATAGAAAAACTTTCCAGAATTGTTCTGAGCAGTTGGCTCACATTGGCTATCCAAAAGCATGTGACAACCACTGGCAGCGCAGATTCTGGCCGTAAAGAATTGTGCAAAGAGGTGGTGTAAGGGTTAAAGTAGAGTAGCTTACGTATCTCCGTTAAGCATCCATGGTGCAATTCGTGCCTTCATGAAGTTCAAGACCTATGCTTGAGACCAATGTGATTTTGGTTGTACTGCACTGCTGACAAACTTCAACGGTGTTTTATTTGCTGCTGATGAACTTCATCCCATCATGGATATAGCAGAATCTTTATTTAATACCTCGATGCTTCGGGAATCCCGACGTGATCCTGCTTGTCGGGATTCCTGAGGCGATTCGCGAGCCAAAATAACTGTTTTAGTGTGGAAGAGGTAGAATTTTTTAAAACCAAGTTTTCTAAAACCATTTTTATTTTTCTGTGACATTTTTTTTTGTATTTCTGTGCGCACTTTGTTTTACTAAGTTTTGTTATTGGCTAGCTCAGTTTAAGTGCTCATAAGTTTGAGACTGTATCCCTGTATGTTTTTTTTGTGTTCTTGTTGGGTTCACATTTGCACGCTTTCAAACATTGCAGTCCTCGAGAAGATGTGTCGACACTGCCGAGACTGCGCGACAGAGTGCCAGTGGCACAAAGAGAAGCATCACTGACATTATGAGGCTGGTCAATCAGGGAAGCACCGTAGAGGACGGCAATGACGATGCAAAGAAGCTCCGAATTGAATCTCCCATCAAAACTTTGTCACCAAATGCAACAAGACACAATATTTCAACATCTTCTGTTCCGAGCAGTGGGTAAGCCTTGGAAATGCGAGAGCTATACTTTTTAGTTTGGAACGGAAGGAAAAACTAAAGTGAGGAAGCTGGGGACAAAGGAAAAGTGCCACTTGATTTATGGCCGCCTCACACATGCAGCACGTTGCTGATGTAGCCCAAAGTCGGCACTGTATCAGTTAGTTCTGCATTGTGTGTGTTTAAACAGGAAAAGGCTGGGTCATATGCAGTGCATTGTGTCTATAGAACTGACCTAATAATAATAATAATAATAATACTTAGCACTGTGCTGTATGTGTGAACAGGCTCTTACTTTTCATATGCCTATCCCATTATGTAAAAAATTATTTCCAGGTCACAGAATGTAAAAAACAATGATGATGTGGCACTGAACTCGTCAACCACTGCCCAAAAGTTGCAAACCAATGGCGCCCGCTACTTCAGCGTTCTATGGTGCAAGTTGTCGTCGAAAAAGGTAAAACTGTACATGTGCTTTAAAGGAGTACAAAAACAAAATTTTAGCGCTTATTTCTTTGTTGAAATATGACAGCTATCGAATACGAAAATTTCAAAAACACCATACTTCAATCAAAAAACGAAAAAAAAAAAAAAAAAAAATCTATTTACAAATTTTGTTTAGCGGATGCCCCCTGAAGCTTTGTTGGATGGTCCTGTCGTCATGTATGACATACTGGTGTATGCAAATCAGGCCTGTACATGAGTGTGAGAGATTGTTGGAGAGTGCCACCGTTGAGTAGGCCAAGCTGGGCTGCGTCGGCAAGCTTCGCAGAGCTGTTCCCCTTGTTGACAAAGTTTGCAGCCATCCCCTTCAAAAGGATTGCTTGCTTCGTTGGACGGGTCAAATGTTCGTTAGCGTTCTGCACGTTTGCAGCAAGGCACCATGCTGTTGTGTGAGGGGGGGGGGGGGGGGTGGTGCTTGGGCAGCAGCGGGGTGTATTGATTACCGTGAGACACCGGTAATGAGGAAAAACTATGTACGGAAGCTCTCCCTATCGCTCCTCCGTCGTATCCGTCGTCGCTAAAGTCATAGATGAACTAAACAAGAGCGCAACTTGACCATATAACCGCAACGCTCGACTGCAATCTCACTCCAAGCGAGCCAGCGTAGCTGACTGATGTCTTCACCATAGTAATAATCTCCGTGTTGTAGCATTCTATGCAAACAACTGCGTACAGACCGTAGTGCAAGCACTCCACGATGTCATAACTACGATGTGCTTGGCCCTACCACGCGATGGCATCACGGGAGCGCCAGATTTCCGAGACGCATCGCGTGCTCTTCAACGGCTAATTTTGAAGCGCTCGCCCATATTCGGCATTAAGAAAGAAAAATACAGCCATCCATTAAAAAATACAAGCGTGTGATTATCACTTACAGGTACTATTGATTGTATTCGACTTATTCCTTAACATTTTGCACATATTTGAAGTTTCGGTTCAGAATCCCTCTAAGCTTGAACCGTTTATGACGAGCCTAGCTCATCAGTGTGGAGCTGTCCTCAAACCGTTCAGGACGAGTATAGCTCGTCTGATTTCTCCAGTTCACGCACTCCACTGTTTTGGACAAACCAGGCTCTCTCATGGCTCAGTTTGCAGCTCCACCAACAGATAGCAGCACTGCTTTATTTCAATTTTTCTCTCCTGTTTGTGGCTAGATGCTTTATTTTGAAGGCAACAAATGGAGTCAGAAATTTACCAAAACTAAAAACGGCTAAGGAGTCAAAGCCTGCTATGCTCCACACAGTTTTCTTTGCTAAGAGGCAGCTTTTTTAAGGCTGAAGAAGCTGTCTCTTAGCACATTGTCTGCATCCAGTCTGCTAGCTTTGCTTCTGCTACCCTTAATTCTGCTTCCATTGTGCATAGCTTGGAATGCCTATGGTGTTTCTTGAACATGTTCAAATACTGACACCTGTAACTTTTTCGGAGACCCACTCATTTACATTCCAATTGGTTTTCAGCACAAGAAATGGGAGGGTGATGGTAGGTACACCTTGCATGCTTGGCATATTTTGTTTTGGAATATGTTCTTCACATATTTCACAAAGAAAACGACTTGTTGATGCAGCGGTGCTGATTGTCAAGGGAAGGTCAGCCCAACTGAAAAGCCTTGAGGGCAAAGAGTAAGTTGAAAAACTTGGTTTCCATATTGTTGCAGCAACCATATTTACTCTTAAGTCCTAGTCAAATCACGAGTGTATTGATGCATTCAGTGCAGTTCAGGTAAGCATTGTCATTACTGCCCTTTTTCAAGCCCTCTGAGATGCCAGACTTCTGAAACTGGCAATGTCGAACTCGCGTGACGCCCATGTGGGCGTATCAAAAACACAGTGGTCTCCTGAAAAGCATAAGCCTTCCAGTAATGTGACCATAGTTATGAAATGAACTATGAAGCAACCAGCACAAAATCTGTGCAGATGGAGAAGGGCATTAGGGCATGGCAATGCCCATGCATAGCTGCATAAGGTGTGTATGTCCCCAGAAAATGCTACTTAAGTCTAGGAAACTGTCTCCATGTTATCAAGATTTCTTTTGGCCTCCAGAGCAATACATATAGTTTTAGCCTCAGCTGCTCCCTTCAGAAAATCTTGTTTGGGAGAGGGGGACGTGATGCGTGGTATTTTGTCTCCTCCCCCATATTGTTTTACATTAAAGTTTTGAATAATCTGGGGAGGAAAAGAGGGAGGGGGGCAATTTGCCCCCCCCCCCCCCCCCCCTTCCACTGTTTTAATGCCATTGACTTCACCATAACAGAAGCATGACATTCCCTCCTGTATGCTAATCTAAAGGAAGTAACTGAAGGAGCTATATACTTTACAGAATAGCAGCGTGAATAATATATACTGAACAATTTAATCTCTTACACCACTAGTTGCTCTGCAAAGAGTTTGGCAGTAGTAAATTTTCAGAGTAATGTAGGCTGAATCCTTGTTTATTCATTGCATTCGGCAGGAGTAGTTGATACCACGAAGGGCACCACAGTATTTGGTGCCTCAGTATACTTCTGGTAATCTATATGTCTGTTCATCAGGAACTTATGGCGATCAGGTGTAACAATTTTTCTTCGGGGAATTATCTATAATATGTCTGTAAAAACCTGCACACATAGGGAGTGGTAGAAATGACGAAAGGATGGGAAACAAAAATTAAAAAAAAAGAAAAAAACCAGAAGCACGCAGGGGTCTGCGGGATAGCGAGCTTGTTTGCAAAGAAATGCCGGTGAATAGGAAATTAATTTGGTTAGGTAATTTTGTTTGACTCTGTAGAAATGTCAAGATTTTGGATGTCTCTGTTTTTGATTAAGAGATGCCCAATAGCTAGAAACATCTATCCACTGGAGTTCTGAAGTCGGACCCTGACATGTTAGGTATCTTGTTAATGTGGAGAAGTAGCGAATGCGGGTTTCTTGAGCAATTGTGGAATGAGGGATGAAGCAATATGAGGACCCATGTGTCTAAGCATGGTCTATCACTATAGAGCAACCAGTGAAAATTTGAAGAGTCTAGTATGTGGTACAGACAATGTGCGTGACTTATACTACTGTTCTCTTCATTATTAGGTTGGGATCTACTTTTGGTTACAAAGTGACTGATGTTGAATCAATTGAAGAGGGTAGTCACTTCAAAGTCGGAGGCAAGGAATGTGAGGTATGTTAGCACCACCAGGAACAAACTGCTTATCTACTACACCCATTTGCCTATGTTGTCAGGAATGTTTAGTAAACTTCATTATGGGAAAGTTTAAAAGACCTTACACATGGTGTGGCGATCAGTGTGACCTTTCTCGCTTGCCGTAGCATCTCAAGAAAAATTTATGTATACTATTGCGATCAGTATAAGCAGGAACACCAGAGTGCGTGCCGCTCCATCGGCGGCGGCGCTGCTGCAGTGACTCCTCGAAGCACCGCACAGGCGCAAAACACCCCTGTTGCTGCTTGCACCAAGGTTGTTCTGTCCCGTTTGTCGTTTGCTAATCGGATCGTGTTCACTCTGCAAAGCTGCGTTTGCGCTGGCGTTTGACTGGCATATGTGAAGTTCTTGCGCAACCGGTTGCTAAAAGACTTGGCTTAATTTAACATGCATTATCAAAAGGAAAAGCACCTCCTTCATGTTGAGTTCTGCCCCCTAAGCTTAAGACCGTTGAAATGAATGTGGAAAGTTCAGTGTGAAGATATGCTTTTCTTGAAAAGCCGAGTGGAATATGTTTGAATCACTAAGCAGACTTTATAACATTGTTGGTGAAGGAGAATCATACAAGAATAGGGAAAGGTGCACAGCCTTTGCAAAATACTAAATACTACGAAGGAATGAGTTTAGGAGCGAATTATGTGCTGTGGCGTGCGTGCCGGAACAAGAAGGTAGCACCATCTATCAATATGTGCACCAAACGTGCCCCTTCACTTCACTCGGTCGTGTGCGTTGTTGTCTGCTGTTGACCCTTGCAAGTCTTTTGGCCCTATTTTCTACAGAAAGGGAGCTATGCCTTGTTGTTTTACAAGGTAAAACCCACCTGTGAAGTACACCTTTGACGAAAAGTCTATACAGTGAAATTTGTTTAGAATGAACCTACGTACAGCGAATTATTGCTGTACGTAGGTACAGCAATAACTCACGGAAAATTTAAATAAAAAAGCATGTAAAAAGTACTTTTTATAACGAACAACACATTGGCTATATCAAACTCTTTCCCCCGAGAAAGCTTCCAAAAACGTGCAAGCAATCGTCTTCTAGCCTGTCTCTTCCGCCAAATTTACATGAGCTGTGTTCAGTAAAGAATATTCCTTTGAAAATTTTGGCAAAAGTTTGTAAAAACTGTTTCTTGAAGGTTGTGAATAAGGGCCGTTTATAAAACAATTTTGAATTGTCTTAAATTTTGAATGATGCCACTAATGGTGCTCTGCAAAACATTTAATGGCAATTCTTTTAACAAATGGCACACTGATGCATCTTGAGGCGCCTCATCTCGGATTCTTCAATTCCAGATCCAGGGACCTATAACAGCAGAGGACTACCTTTCCGGGAGATGCTTCAGTGAAGGATTTGTGCCAGATGATAAAAGCACAGGAGCTGCTGCCCCAAGTTATACATCTCGTAATTAGACCCCTGACCCGTGCTAATAGTGGTGCATGTTCTGCCATCAACTCTGACCCATAAACTGGACAATCAATGGTCTCTGTGCAAATAAACATTGCAGTTTCTGCTCTTTTTATTTTTATGTACCTCAGTTTGGCCTTGAATATATCAAATTATTTGCATTTTCTGCTCTCTTGATTTTATGGTACCTCAGTTATTTTGCCTTTGAATATTGCAAATGGTCATAAGTTTCAAGCCATAAAAACAACATAAATAAAAAAGATCACTACATAAGTGTTGATTCATTGAGAGGAAGAATATATACTCACATTTGCAAACATGCACATGCTTAGCTTTAGTAGGTAGGCAAGCTCTTGCCTTCAGGAGTTAATTTGTAGTGCACCCTCTACAAAAACATGCCTGGTTCTAGTGGGTACTTGGAACTGCAAGTCTGCTGGCCACTCAAAGTATCTCTTCACAATCCCATAAAAAAATTGACTTTTTACATCTTGGGAGATGAACTTTGGCAAATGCAAATATCTCCATTTGGAGTAATCCTTCAAGAAACTTTTTTTTAGGGTCTATTTTTGCAGTCACGTTTACCTGGATGAAAATTAGAAGCACAACTGTATCCATTGAACAGACATCCTGTATTTCTAAAGAGCATCCAGTCCTTTGAAAATGAAAAATAATGACTTTAATATAGCTATCAACGACATTTGCTCTTGGAAATCTTACCAGGTATAAAAACAACCAATAAATATACTTCCAAATGAAATTTCAGCTCCTTTGATTTAGTGGCTGATTTTTCCGGTGGGTTGAATGATGAGAAATGTTTAAAGGTTCAAAGGTTCAAAGGTGTTTATTGGCTAAAACAACCATACGACTGAGAGCCTGAGGCAATCAAAAGGCAGAAGCCCGTGCATACATATGCTGATTTCCTCCTCGGCCATACGTTAACAGATGAAATGGAGATGTTGGAATGTAATTTACAAAAGGGTGAGAATACTTAGTCTAATGAAGAGAGTAGGTGTCTAATGAAGAGAGTAGAGGAGGACACCATACTTGAAGATGACCAAACCTGCTAAACTATCACAATAGTCTTGAAAATCAACCATTCCTGGAAAACCTGAAAGAAACCAAAAAGGCATCAGGAATGTTATAGAATGACAAAAACATTACTTCTTCCTTTGTCTTTCTCAGCAGCACTACTTGCAGACAGGCCTAAAGACATGGTGAAACCAATACCCGTATTCAGAAACCCACATGTGGGTGGGGAAGCCAGTGGTGCAAGTCGCAAGAGTTTTCACAGACCGACAACGCCTCTCATAACGCCAAACTCCCTGGTGATGCCTCGACCAAGTCACACGCATCAGGTGCGCATTTACACTCCCATAGAAAACCCGAACAACCTAACTGGAAGATGAAGTGGGGTCAGGCTATTTCACCTTTTCATAGGTTGCCTATCCTATATCGAGGTAATTGTCAGGGCAGTGTAAGAAGACAGAGGAGGCTTTCACTTGTGCAGTGTTTGCGTTGCTTTTTAGCACCATTGATTTTATGTAGCAGCAGTTGAAATTGTGAGTTTTAGTGGTTGCTTCTTCACAGCTGTGTGAAACTTTGCCTTTAAAATCTGTTTAATTCAGTTATATATTTGTAGTCGTGTGCAAATGGTGGATTTTGAGTTTGAATCAAATTCGAAGTGATAGTTGTTTTGGCCGAATCTTTTCAAATCAAATAGCTTCTCTAAGCTTTTCACTTCGGTTGCATCATACTTAAACGAAAACCCAGCTAAGCTCGTGAAGGTTGTTCCCAAGCCTCCACTTGTCCATTTATAAGCTAACTTTAATCTAACTAAATTTATGGACTGAGGGATGGCAAGTAAACTATAGATTTTACATTAAATGTAATCTATAGGAATGCCCAGCTGTACCTAATGGAAATTGAGTGGATTTACAAACCTTGCTATATATCAAATATCCTTTCTTCAATCTCGAATAATAATAAAAAAAAAAAATGACCGCATCTCCATGTGGTGAATGATGTTGATTGAGGCGAAGCTCTGGTGGGTGCTGATGATACTGATTTTGTTCATAGGTAGTGCTGATGGTGCTGATATTTTTTTTATTGCTCATAGGTAGTGCTAAGTTCCGGGTTGCGTTTCGACTTCATTATTACAGCTTTATGGTCGGTGAAATGCAGAGCCAGTGGTTCTTCTAGCGCAGGGGTTCTCAAATATTTTGGTCTCACGGAACCCCAGTAAACCTCAAAAACTGCCGTGGAACCCTCCTCCCCCCCTCCATATTTGGTGACCGAGAAGCAACAGATGCACAATTGTAAGCAATTTTTCTTGTGTTGCTTCCCATATATCCCCACCATATCAATTGCGATGTCAGTACAAAGTGAGATGAAGGCGCTTTGCCCTTCATCTCACTTTCGCAGAACCCATGAGACCAGCTCGTGGAACCCCTGTGTTCCCCGGAACCCAGTTTGAGATTCCCTGTTCTAGCGGATCCATCCTGAAGTTCGCAAAGACTAGGTCTATGCACGCCAGCATCCCCAGCTCTTGAGTTACTACCACATCTCAGGGCCCCATACTCGTCCTGCAGTCGTGGCCGAGTGGTTAAGGCGATGGACTAGAAATCCATTGGGGTCTCCCCGCACAGGTTCGAATCCTGTCGACTGCGCATACATATAGGTGCTTCGCCCCTAAAAGTATCACAAATGATAAATGCGGGTTGTCCAGGCATCTCTGCCTAACAAATGCTCTTCGTGACTGTTTAATTTTGAGAATTTTACTGCAATGTAGATATCAGCATTCACAAAGTTTCAGTTTCTTCTTAAATACACCAGGCGCGCACGTGTACCATTCCGCTTAAAGAGCCCCTGAAAACAATAAAAATGTTTTTTTAAACAGTCTAATTGGGACACACATGTCAAAAAATTAATTGTATGTGAAAAAAAATTTTTTTTTTCAGAGCAATATTGATGACGCGAGATTTATTTTAAATTCTACGCGCAAGTCCATGACGTCACAGAATGGTCATGCAATTCTTCCACCTCAACGAGATGGTGATACTCTCTCTCCACCTCAACTTGATAGCCAAGCGATCCACCTCCCCTCCATGCACCCAAAATGCCAAGGTAGAAAACAAATGGAAAGGAGGTGACTACCAACTACCCGGTATATCACTCCTCACACCAACAGTATTCCACTAAAAAAATATTTTTCACGTAAAATTACTTTGTTGACATGCTTGTCCTAACCAGACTGTTTAAAAACAACATTTTTATCCTTTTCAGGGGCCTTTGAAGGCCCCTAAGTACTGAAAGGTAGTGCCATTCCCCCTCTCCATGCGTTTTCCTCCTTTTCATCGAGGGCGATCCTCCTTGCCCATCTTGATAGGCTCCTTGCTCCCCCCTCGCCACCATTTTCGCGCAAGTCCCACAAGGCGCGCGGCGGATTAGATTTTTTTTTATATGTACTGTAAAATATTGAGCATGCACCACCCCTCGTGTAAGCGAGGGGTGGTGCATATTCACTATTTTAGCCATCTTGAATGGTATTCCTGAACCGAGTAAGGGCCCTCCCCCCCCTTTTGTTGGATAATCTCTAAATTTGGAGAGGGCACTTGCTTGGTATTTTACGGTAGACAGTTCTAATTTCTAACGTGTAGGAACTAGCATTTGTGCACTTTTATTGGAGTTTCAAAGCATGGGAAGACGTCTCGATCAGCAAATGTAATACCGTGAGCAGAGCTGGAGTTTCTTGGGTGAGAAGACAAGCTTTCTCCAACTCCACTGAGCGCAGATGATTTTAAAAAAATGTCAATGTAGTCCGGAGTATTTTTGAGACATCGACATGCACTGAAAAAAGGCAGCAAGTGTTCAGAGTAGGCACACGTTAGAATGCACCCCTTCCTGCATGTAAATAGACAGTTTTTGTGGGTCATAGGCAAGGACTGCTTTGCAAGCGGGAGCTCGTGCCGTTGCTTTGAGCATGGATTGAGCATCCGCCTGAAAGGCCTGCAATCCTTAGCATACGCACCACTAAAACTTTTTATACCCTATCTCCGGAGTTGTGTTCAGCAAAGGCATAGGCGTGGGCACATGGCTTTCACATTTGCTTTCCTTTCGTGAGTACTAGTGAAAGGAAGCAAATTTGAAAGCCATGCGGTCGCACCTAGCAAAACGCGTGCGAACCCAGGACTTTTCGGTACTTTTTAGCATTATCGATCGTTTTACCAAACCAACATCTTGGTTTCCTTCGTACACATTTTATAAACATTATATACTGCCTGCAACCGTGTACATGCGCACGGAGGAATATGCGACGTCTGCTATTTACGCGCCTCGTGTATTTAACTACCCATAAAATGCTCTCATCTTCGTCGGAGGCAGTCAAAACTTGCCCCGTCGGGACTAGTGGTGTATCCAGGATTTTTTTTTCGGCAAACGGGGGAAGGGGGGGTGGGTTGAGGGTGGCTGCAATGTCTTTGACTTGGGGTGCAGACAGGGGAGAGGGGCGGGGCGGCTTAAGCCCCATAAGCCTCCCCTCTGGCTATGCTACTGGTTTTAACAGTAGAAAGCTTCTTCCCTTTCAGAACGCTCTTCGTACAATCCAGAGCGCAGCAAGATAACATTACGTTGCCGCCAACGTCGTGGTACAAAAAAATAGTAAGCACCGCCATCGCCATACCTTGCACGAAAATGGCACCGGTTTAGAGCAGATTACCGTATTGCGTGGGCCATGCGAAGGTAACGGGCACATGTTGCGCTTGATCCAGTTGAAGTGAGGGGAAAGAGAAATATTTAGAGGGAAAGGACATGAGCACGGAGGAATTTCTCTTCTCCATTTTAGACAATGGTTTGCACTACCTCTCAGTATATAGGGACCTTAATTCCGCTTTCAAGGGGTGCTTTTCTCCCAAGCGACACTCATACTTTCCCAAGTGTTGATCGCGAGGGCTTACCCCATTGAGTGAACTTGTTACCGAGCACCGGTGCACTGCGGACAAGCAACACCTGCGGAACTCGTTTCTGCAGGTGTTGCTTCTCTGCAGTGCACCGGTGCTCGGTAAAGGGCGATCCAAACCAACCTGCAAAACATCTCACAAAGAAATCTGGGAAAAGGGAGTGACGTCAACGAAGACGTTCTCTGGGTTCCGCATTCCGGCTCCAAATGTGAATATATTGATCTTTCACACACACGGACAATGCGGACAAGGCCGAAGAGCCCCTTGGAGGGGAAGGCAGTCCACCCTTCTCGCCCTTCTTGCAAACCCCATGTACATGGTTTTGAATGCGAGGTCAAGGCCACCGCAACAAGCGACCACCACCCCCTTTTACCCGTCCCTCCCGCTTTCCATTGGCAATAGGTCGTGACATCACACACGTTTCGATTGGCCGGCAGGAAAATCGCCGTAGTGTCACTTCACCGGTTGCTCCGGCACCTCTGGCCGTCACTGCCGGTCTGAACACTTCCACATGCTTCCTGGCTAAAATGGCAGCCAGTAGTTTTAAAAAAATTTTAAAAATAATAATTCTGTTTTTTGCATATATTCGGGCGATGTTTTGAGGGTTGGTTCCGCCACAATTAACACTCAGAAAAATATGAATATCACAGTTCATCTCGGAGCAAATAATAAATAGCGTGCAGTCGAATCTCGTTAATTCAAACTCGAGGGGGGCCGAAAATTTGTTTTAATAAAGGAAAGTTTCAATTATCATGAGTCTCCTTCCATAGAGACACGTAGATGGGACCTGCATGTTAGTTTGAATTATCCACAAGTTTGAATTACGAGAGTCTGAATTAATGAGAGTCGACTGTATTATTCTAAACTATTATTTAACATTTTTAATATTTGCACAACACTCTTTATTTGCATTTATACACATACATCACTATACATTATTGCATGAGGTGTATGTAACACATGAAACTAATATTTTGTAAAACATGGGATTATGAAAAACACAAAAACTGATGGTGCAGTACTCAGTGCTATAATAACAAAGCTAATAACGCAAATGCAAGAAAATGTAAAGGGATGGCCTACAGTGGGAATCCAAAAAGAATTACCGCCGGGTGTAAAATTACCGCCGGGTGTAAAAAAATTACCGCCGGGATGCTTCCTGGTCGTAGAGTGAAGTCAAATCCTCACTATCATTTCTAGCCTGTGGAATTGCAGGACTCAATTTGATCTTTAGGGTTTGCATTATTCTTTGTCAAGATTTAAAGTGGCCAGATATTTTGCTGACCTCAGTTTTAAACTAAATTTGCAGGGCGGTGAGACCTTGATTTTTTGCCTTCAACTTTATGTATCAACTTGTGCAGTTTCTAAAAATTTGGTGTCTGTGTCTGACACCTATGCTTTAAAAGAAGCTTCAGTCTCAAGAAAAATGTATGCTTTGCACAATCAGTTTGTTGGATGCTGACTGAAATTTTTCTGTGTTTCTTAACATACATACAGACATAATTTTATTAATTTGCTAAATTTTTTCAAAAAGATAACAATATTTAAAGATGGAAAACAAGTTATACAAAAGAACAGCTTGAAGGAGGCACCCTCCACTCGATTGAAGAAGTTTCATAGTAGGTTTTTGCTGTTCTACAGATTATCGGAAGTTGGGCTGCTATAGACATCCTCCAATACTTTAGGAAGAAATGCTAGCTCTTTCTCGTGCTTTGTTTTTCACGCAACCTTCGTGTACAGTGCAGGAAGGTTGCAGAGGTTACAAGAGTTCCTCGAACAGACCTTTCATTGAGAGTCCTAGTTTCTTCACTGGCCATATTCGCGGACACTTTAAGAAACTTGCCGAAGAATGCATCTTGCTTCAAGATTCATTCTTCGGCATTCTAATTGGCTAATACAGCAACTTCGTTGGCTGCGGAGCAATAATAAGATGCTGGGTACTTGCCATGCCCAGCATGCTGTTAGCCCGCCATTATTTAGAGGCTTTCCCGAAGACTTTTTCTCCAACATTAGTACCAGAGTGCCATTACTTCACAGCTGTAGCAGATAGAGATGGGTTGAAGGGAGCCAGCTCGTGGTCTCACGGTAAGCTTTGTGCAGTGGGCCCACAACAAGAAGCAGCTGCCTGTGGTGGACGTGGTCGTGGATGCCTCTCTGGCCAGGTGTCTGCGCCCTCATCAGCAGCAGGGCCTGGTGTTCCTCTACGAGTGCATCATGGAGATGCGGCCCTTCGATGGCGGCGGGGCCATCCTGGCGTGAGTTAATCGTTATCGACGAGCTGGAAAGTTTTTGCCGGTGTTGTAGCGTCATACTGTACATCTCAAAAGGAAATTACCGGTTCACCACCGTGCCCAATTATCTCTGACAGGATGAGAACTGTGGGGCTTCTCTTTCGGACGCCCGGCCTCTAGCGCACACACATTGCCTTTCGTTGTGCTTCGATAGTATGTGCGCGCTCAAGACTTACGAGATGCCCAAGCATTATCCGAGGTAGGAAGCCCGCTCAGGAGGCAAGCCAGCTGAAGGACCTCCTTACCATTCTAATCCTGCCAATTACTACAGGGGGTGTACTTGACTCCAGACTCAAAGGAGCAGCCCGAAAGGTAGTTAATTCCGAGTTTGGCAGTCTATGCATGCTTTAGCAGATTTTCTTAGGAACTGCCCAAGTTGATGCTTGGTGGGGCAAGGTAAAGCAATTTTGTTTTCGATTCACGAATTTTGCGGTTATGCCTTGAGCTTTTTTTATTTCAATTTCATCTGGACAGATTTTTATGTCAGTGTTTTTCTTGTTTATGCGTTGCCTGATTTTTGTCATTTTTTTTTTACAGAGATGAAATGGGCCTTGGCAAGACGTTGCAGTGCATTACGCTTGTTTGGTGAGCAACCTACGTAGTTGGACATCAACTATATCTTTATGAATTCAGTCATGTCCTGCTTTATATTACCCTTGCTAAACTGCAAATGAACATATTTCATACTTTGTAAGTACGGTCTAAGCTAGTTATAACAGACCTTGATTTTTACCAAGGTTTTGGTCTGTTGTAAAAGGAGTATGTTGCATGCAGATATGAAGTTGAGTCAGTGGTACATAGTGGAAAACCAACCGAACTTCACAAATCGGTATGTTATATCCAAACGTCTGTTGTAACCAGGTCTGTTATAATGAGCTTAGACTGTATGACTCGATGAACTGAATAACTAGCCATTCAAACAGTATGAGCAAGGCTCATACTGTTTGAATGGCTCGATTAAAAAGAACATTGCGTCTTCTGGGGTACGCTGCATGTATTGCATGTATCTGTTAAGGAGGCTGCATAAAGGTATTCGCAGTAGTTGCTTGTTCTCGGTATCTAAAGGCTCTTGTTAGGCATATACACGTTTTCTCAGCAGCTTTCCTTCCTTGTTTTCACTTTCCCATTTGTTATGTGGTAAACAAAACATCTGACCATTCAACTGAATAATTTTTTGTTGATACTGAAATTCCCAGGAAATCTTGTAAGTAACCTACATGAGAGCATCTAAAGTTTATTAATTTTAACTGTCATCCTAACCAGACAGTCAAGAAAAGGCTACATATAATTGTTTTTTTAACCAAGTGTCGTCCTCACAACTTGTAGCTGTGCTTTTTCTGCATATGCATCTAGGGAGAGCATGCATGTAATACATGGAAAATGGTTCAGAGGTGAACGGGGATTTAGCAGGCTTGAATATAGCCTTTCATAAAGGGGGATGGGGAGTCTGTAAGGTCAGCTCCGGAACAATAGCCTGCCTGGAAGCCATAAAAGAGTGAGGAGAAAGAGCAACCACGTGCGCAGCACTAGGATAAGCTTAGATGCCAACTTGCGAAGCTGTATGGCTTCCCCGTGGTGGTTGCGAAATGATGTGCATGCAGCGTTTCTCAAAACTGCCACTATGTGCACTCTGTCACTATTCACCCGCTTCGCTCTTTCTCTCCCTCTTGGGTTTGGCGGCTGGTCCTGACGCTCACCTCGCAGACTTTTCCGGCTGTGATTTAATTCTTCCACTAATATTACAGGACTCTGCTAAGGCAAGGACCATACGGGGGCTACCCCGTTCTTCGAAGGATCATCATCATTACTCCAAGCAGCCTAGTCAAGGTATGGAGCTGTCAGAGGCCACAGAAATTTACATGTGCACAGTGCTGTGCTTTGGCACGAACTTTACTCAATCCCAACAAATATGTCTCTTTCAGAACTGGGTGAAGGAGTTCAAGAAGTGGCTACCCAACAGTAACCTCAGGATCTACTATGTCGACCAGAAGAACAAGGTTGAGGTGGGTGCCGCGTTCTGTAACCCGAAGGCCGAGATTGAAAATTACATGGTATACTGTCGAGACAGGTTATAACGAAGTCAATTATAACCAAATAGCGGCTACAGCGAAGCATCACGATTTCCCGTTCTGTTTTGCACTTCGTTGTAACCGAAGTTGGTTATAACGAAATAGCGGATATAGCGAAGTGATTTCCGATTCTCGTTGACTTCGTTATAACCAATCTCGACAAAAGTAACATTTTAGGAAAAAAAAATGAAAGCCGTTTACAACTCCCTGTAACACCGAATTAGAGCGCAGCTCTTGAGGATGAGGAGGGAAGGGTACTGAAAGGAGGGTATACCCCTCCTCCCTCTTCTTCACCTCGTGATCCTGCCTGCTACTCCTCCTCCCGTCCTCCCTCCTGCTCCTCCCCTCCTTCCCGGGGTCATGTGACCTCGGGGGGAGGGGGGGGTCACGTGACCTCACGGTTACGGCGATGGTGACGACGCCAACGCCGCTCAAGCCGGAAACGGGTGCCTAAGAATTGCGCTCTAAAACAAAGAAGTGTGCAAGTGACAAACGCTAAAGCAGTTTTCAAAACTCGATACGATAGTCTAGACTAAATACTACGATGTCGTTGCATAGTGGAAAGCACAAATTGTGTACTGTTCCTTTTCTCTGCCACTTTTTGCCATAATTTTTAAATTATATAAAAGAAGCACCTCATCCATACCTTCCATCATAATTTTCAATATCATGTGCACTCACAATTTTAAAGGGGACTGTGCAACAATATTGAATTAGAATGCTTCCCCCTTTAATCAAGCTCACTGACACACAAAATGCAACTGATGCAAGAAGCTTCTTTGTCACAGTGTAATTTCGAGGATAAAAGCTGACTTTTTTAATGCGAAAACATTAACCCATTCGCTACCGCGCGCATTGTGCACTGCCGGGCCATCCATACCGCATGTTTTAGAGCGCGGCTAATAGGCGCCCGTTTCCGGCTTGAGCGGCGTCGCCGTTAGCGTAACCGCGCGGCTAATAGGCGCCCGTTTCCGGCTTGAGCGGCGTCGCCGTTTGCGTAACCGCGCGGTGCAATATGGATAAATTTCCCCACTAAATTTAGCGGAAAATTTTTCCTGCTAAATCTAGAAGAAAAATTTCCCCGCTAAATTTAGCGGATAAATTTCCCTGCTAAATTTAGTGGAAAAATTTCCCCACTAAATCTTGCGGAAATATTTCCCCGCTAAATGTAGCGGAAAAATTTCCCGGCTAAATCTAGCAGAAAAATTTCCCCGCTAAACTTAGCGGAAAAATTTCCCCGCTAAATCTAGCAGAAAAAGTTCCCCGCTAAATCTAGCGGAAAAAATTTCCCCGCTAAATGTAGCAGAAAAATTTCCTGGCTAAACTAGCAGAAAAAATTTCCCCGCTAAATTTAGCGGGAAAGGAAAAATTTCCCGCTAAATCTATCAGAAAAATTTCCCCGCTAAATGTAGCGGAAAAATTTCCCGGCTAAATTTAGAAGAAAAAATTTCCCCGCTAAATTTAGCAAAAAAATTTCCCCCCTAAATTTAGCGGAAAAATTTCCCCGCTAAATCGAGCGGAAAAAATTTCCCCGCTAGATCTGGTGGAAAAAATTTCCCGCTAAATTTAGCGGAAAATTTTCCCTTAAGAGCTGCGCCCTAATTCGGCGTTACAGGGAGTTGTAAATGGCTTTCCTTTTGTCCCCTAAAACAGGGCCACACTAGGTGTGACTGTTTGCTTATATTTTAAGCTTTTACAGTAAAACTCGGTGCAGAAAACAAGAAAGCGTGAAGTTGTTCGTTCGAGTCTTTAAATCAATAGGCCTTCACAGATTCTTCCTCGAATGAAAGATCTCAAAGCACTCGATCCTAAGTCGCTTAGGCATCGCACAACCAGTGCGCTCCTGTCGTGATTCGAACTTGGAACTGCTGTCGGAATCGCTCCCTTCGTCGACAGAAGGCTCCAAAAACTCACTATCCTTACCAAACAATCCGTCGTAATCGCTGTCAAAGAGGATATCTACGATTTCTTCGTCAGAAAGGACTAATTGTACACTGGACGCTGCCATCTTCTCCAAGCAGGCAGCGATCAAGCGGGATAGACAACACACAAAAGAACAAGCTCAAACAAACACAGCGACCAGAACGACCCTCGCCATCTGTTGGCAATGTATCTAACTACACTACCCGAAGTCTACGTAGCGCGCCATCTATAAATGACTTTTTAAAACAGAAATTCGTGCAGACCGGCGAATCGCCGGCTTCGGCAATATGGCCCTTGACGGCACGCCCGGCGATTCGCCGTCTTTGGTAGCAAATGGGTTAACTGTCCTAAGGAGCGAGCCGATGTCATCAGTTTGAAGCACGAAAACGGCACCCAGTTTCCCTGATCCCAAAGGTTCCATTGGCTGATGCGCGGCGACAAGGCTCCCATTGGCCGCTGCGCGCATCAATTTCAACGACCGCCACCAGATGGCGCTGTGTGTCCGTGCCACCAGCGTGCCGATAAAACTAACCGCCGCAACCTCACGCCACTACGGGCCCCGCGCCGGTTAAAACGGACACGTTGGCGCGCGCTCGGAGGCTTCTGCTCATCTTGCCTCCGACTAACATGCCGTCGCCTCCATCATCCACATCATCGGCGGTGCTTCTGCTCGTCTCGCCGCCGACAAACATGGCGTCGCCTCTAGCATCCACATCGTCGACGGTGCTTCTGCTCGTATCGACGCCGACGAACATGGCGCCGCCTCTAGCATCCACATCGTCGGACATTCATGCTTTCGCATTCACAACTCATAAGAAGTGCTTAGGTGTCTTCCGACTTTTTCTTATTCTCTCGTTTGCAAAAGTTGGTAGCCTTGTCGCAGGTATCGTAGTGTTGACATATCCACAGAGATTATCCAGGGGGACCGTACTCAAATGTGGGTCACATAATAAACGGGAGTGCTGCGTGAGGACTCGATTTGGGCTTGTGACAATAAATACCGCAACAAGCATTTGAGTAATGACTCATGTCCAATCCCTGCTGTGACAGGGATAGCCAAACTCTAACAATGTCTGAAACTTGGCATGTTCCCTGCACTTTGAGAACTCCAGCGCATGATATTATGAACGTTGGCGGCATATGTAATCGCCATCAGATCTAGTGGCTGCTTGTTCTGACGGCGAGTTGAGGAGTTTTCCGTAATTGTTTCTGCGACTGCCATTGTGGGGAGAGAAAATCTAAGGCATATTTTGCAGGCTATGAATTGAGGAATGATTACAAGTGCCATTTAACAAGAGTACAAAGATTGTTGCACTGCTCTTAAAGAGATTTGCTAGCACAGGGTCATATCATACATTTGTAAAGTGTGTTATGCAAGGGCTGACATTTTATATTACTATAAAAAAAATTGACTGGTATGCTCCAGTCTTTTTTAAAATAAACTGCAACGACCTGTGCCCTGATGACCTGTGTGCTTTCCAGCACCTCCTCCTGCATGCTTGGCAGAAGGACGATGTGACTTACCTTGAGGAGAAGTCCTTCGACTACCATGAGCTCTAGGGACATATTGGCATATTTCTGTACTGCAAGTGGCAGTGACTTTCCCATGGACCATGTCATAGAACAATAGTGCCTGACTGTCATGATAGTTGGATCTCACTTCTTTTCTTCTTTGGTCCTCTCCAGCATGTTGGTAGAGGCCGGTAGAAGTTCTACGCTTAGTAGCTCATATTCTGTCAAAGCTACTTCGAGACTTCTTGGATTGCTGCTGTCGGCTATTGCTTGCGACTTCCGTGAGAGTATGTCAGCTGTATGGATCTCCTTTCTGGGAATGTGGGAAATAGTGTAGTCAAATTCCAGCAGTCTCATTCGCAGACACCGCAATCATGAAGTTATTTGCCTATGCGCTTTGATGACAACAAAGGCATGAGCAGCTTGCGGTCAGGTTTTATGTGGAATTGCAGATTGAGCAGATACTGGCGGAAATGCTTGCATGCCTGTGTAATTCCAAGTGCCTCTTTTTCGGACTGTGCCTAGCATTGTTTGGTTTCTGAGAGTGACCGCGATGCATAGGCGACAGGGAGTCGTCTTCTGGACGTCTACTGAAGGAGGACAGCCCCAAGGCCGTATGAGGATGCATTTGCTGAGACTGTGAGGTGACTTCGAGAATCGTAGTTTACCAGTACCGGTGTGGCCGTCAGTGCTTCTTTGACGGAGTTGAAGCTTTTTTGTTGAGGCTCTCCTGAGCACCAATCAGTGTCATGGTGAAGCAGATCACAAAGCGGTTTCGTAACTTGAGAGAGTCTAGGGAGAAATTTGACCAGGTGGTTTGTTGAGTGTTGGTCAGTTGAGTGAGAGCCTTCATCTTTTTTGGATCTGCACTGACCCTGTTGGCCGAGACGACATGTCCGAGGAATTTTACAGACTCTTTGTGAAGAACGGATTTGTCCTTGTTGAGAGTTATGCCCGCATCTTGCAGGCGCTTGGGTACTTGATGCAAGTGTCAGTTATGTTTTTCCCTCGTTCTTTCGAACACGATGACGTCGTCTTGGAGGCAAGCTTGGCCCTTGAGAATTTCGAGCACTCTAAGCATCTCACGTTTGAAGAACTCAGGTGCAGCGGAAATACTACCGAATGGTAGTCGGAGGAACTGAAATCTACCATTTGGTCTCAAGAAGGTTATGTATTCTCGCGATTCAGCTGTCATTGGGGCTTGCCAGTAGCCTGCTCTGGCGTCGAGCTTAGTGAACCAGGTTGCTCCAGCCAGTTTTCCAAGTCATTCGTCGACAGTTCGCATTAAAACTCGTTTCCTCAAGATGCAGCTGTTCAAGCCACTGTAATCGACACAGATGTGTAGTTCTCTGTTTTTCTTTCTGGCCACAACTATCGGTGCACACCACCCAGTTGCATGGTCAATCTTTGCGATGACTCCAAGGCTCACCATGCGCTCCAGCTCCTGCCTAACACTTGGAAGCATTGAAAGAGGCAAAAGCCTCGGGTACGCTACCGCATACAGTTTGGCGTTGGGAAGCAGAGCTGCCTTGTACTCGGTGTTCAGTGGTCCGAGACCCGCAGTCAGCTTGGCGTAGTCACTGATGATGTCTGCTGTGTCGTTGTCCTCTTTTCCGGATTCTTTGGCCTCAGACAGGCTGCACAGGACTCGTAGAGACTTAATTGCTTGATTGCTGGACGGCCCATAAGCGTGTCGTGAAGCTTGTCCACTACGAGCACCTGCTCCTGTCACAATCGTCCATATTCCACCTCAGGGTCGCCTCGAACTGTCCCAATGTGGGAATCTTGGTTCGGCCAGGTCCCAGGAGTGCCTTCGTAGGTCTACTGAGTAATCCCTTGACCGACTTGTTGTAGACCCTGGACGGGATGGCCGTGACGTCAGCTCCCCATGTCCACCTTGAACTCTACGGGGTAGCCGTTGACACAAGCTGTGATCCACTATGGTTCTGATTCGAGTTGATTTGTTACTTCACCCAGGTAAACTCTTCAACTGCGGCGTGGCACTGACTCTGGCTGTCTTGGGTTTTCTTCTTCAGGGAAAGGCAGACTGACACAAAGTGTCCTTTTTTTTTACACCCATCACATGTCTTGTCGACAGCAGGGCACTTGGCACGCAAGTGTGGGCATGTGGAACCACACCATCTGCGAATTCGGTTCTGTTGGTTGTTGCGGACTGGTAGCTGCTTCTTGTTTTTGGCTCACTGCGCAGAGGAGTGAAGCCCGTCTATGATTGCATTCGGCTGTGCCTGTGGTTGCAGCTCCTTGAGCTGCTGTTTCACAGTCTCCAAATTGCGAGCCTTGGAGATCGCCGTCTCCAACGTTAATTCAGGGTTGAGCAGAAGCTGCTCACTCAGCTTAGTGTCGACAATTCTCACGACGAGTCGGTCTCTAATTAGCTTTTCTTTTAGGTCGCCGTATGCACATACCTCTGCCAGCTTGTAGAGACTTGTCACAAAGGCATCGACCGTTTCGTTTGCCTCCTGCACACGCCGTTGAATTTTGCACGTTCGTAGATGACAGTCATTCAAGGTACAAAGTGTCTGCCGAAGGCAGCTGTCACTGCATCATAGTGATATTTCTGGGCATCAGTCAGCTTCAGCGACGTCAGGACGTCTTCTGCCTTGCGGCCCGTAGCGCAAACTAACCTGTTCACTTGGGTTTCCCTGTCTTGTTTTTCTAACCCAGAAATGGCTCGGTTCCTCTCCTACCGGGTTAACCAACGCTTCCAGTCTTCAGGACGTCGAAAATCTAATTTTTCTGGCAACTCAACGATGAAAGGATTTAGCGGCGTTGGTTAATTGTGGCGCAGCTTGTTGCCCAGTGGCCATTGCTTACCGGTCGGCGTGGTCGTTGCAGACATACCTTGGCTTGGCGATGTAAAATTTACGATTCTGAGCACTTCCGTACCTTAAGGAGGACGCCTATAGCCACCTCCCCAGAGCGGTTGCTGTTGTGGCTAGTTGATTTCTCTTCGCAGCCGTGTTCTACAGCATCCCACCGCTGCCACCACGTAGGGACAAGGCTGGCGAAAATAAGGCGTTTAATTCTGGTTATTGGTAAAATACATTAGCAGTGAGTCCGCACGTCAGTCAGCGTGCATCTTTCGTGACGACATCCCTGGCATGAGGCTCTCGCACTCAGTCCTCTCGCTGGCTTTTTTGTTGTCTGCCTTGTGGCGCCTTCTTCATACTGTGGCTCTCACGACAATTATCAGCTTGCATTAAAGTACTTTTTGCTATCCGCTAGTTACAGTACTTCTGATCTGCTCTATAAGGCTGCTGGGAGCTTGCTCATAAGAGAATAGTTTTTCTTTTCTCCCAACTGCTGCCAAATGCTTCGCATTGTTCTATTCCTCTTGCCAGAACCTATTGATTCTTTCAGTTCCATAAAAACCATGTCTTGTTCAGCCATCTTCAGAAGCTGCCCGTGTGAGCTGTTAATTTCGGGGCATAATCACCCTACATGGGGCATAATCACTTGTGGAGCAGAAGGAAGTGTATGGGCTTGCTGCATAGTAAACTTTCGTTAGTTCGACCTCAGTTAATTCGACTTTTCGTTTAATTCGATCGTGTTCAAAAGTCCCGGCAAACGCCCATACATTTCTATGGGAGGAAAAGTTTGATAGTTCGAACTCGGGAAGACTCATATCGGATAATTCGCCCCGAGCGAATGCGCCCGGGCTCACATTGCACAGCACCACGGCAGAAAAACCACCACCGTACAGCGAAACACGGGTTCTCTGCTGCGAAGCCGAACGTGCGCAAATATGCGCCTGCTCCTCTATGCCGGTGAGATGGACCGTAGCGAATGACACGAGCCAGTGCAACCAATTTGGCATGGAGTAGCGCGGAGAACGTAGCACGTGGTCGGGCACGCACGAGCCAGCGCGCGCTCTCAAAGCGTTTTCTGTAGCATCATGTGTGCTCCACCTTGCGCACCGGAAGGCGTGAGTTTTCTTTTCCTTTTTGTGGTTGTTGTTGTTGCTTCTTTTTTTTTTTTTTTGTCGCTGACGGTTTGGTTGCTTGGCGCCAAAGTCGGCTCGAAGCTTTCTCAGCGCGCGCTCTCGAAGCGCTTCTCTGTAGCACCGTGTGCGTTTTTGGACGCGTCTTGCGCGTCTGAAAATGCATATTCTCGTTTAATTTTTTTTTTTTTGTCGCCGAGCTGATTTTTGTTTGGCGCCGAAGTCAACTTGTAAAACTTACTTTTTTTTTTTTTTTTTTTTTCTACACAATTTTTTGGGGACGTGACGTCTAGTTACGCTGCTCTCCAAAGCATGCTTTTAGACACGTCACGCGTTTTAAGCGCAGACGGCAGCAGACCATCCGTGAGTATTTTGGACAATAAAAGGAAGTTTAATTATAACCGTTTTTCTGTCCTTTTTTTTAATTCAATCATTCGGATAATTCGACCAAATTCCAAGGTCCCGTCAAGGTCGAATTAACGAACGTTTACTGTATAAGGCAGTGTCAGCGCAATATTCATCTCTGGAAAGCACCAGGTTCGCTTTATAGCAATGAAATGACTAAGCACATGATTCTAAGCTAGCCATGGTGTTCATGAAGCATACCATTCCAATTTTCAGTCATATGAATGTCAAGTGTAAGTTGTTGCCTCACTCAACTTTTGGAAAGGTTCCTACAAAAGTTAGACTGTTTGGTGATAGTCCTACACCAAATGAAAGTAAGACTTGAGTCTTCTGACGCAAGTTAATAGAGTACATTCCAATAAGGTGCCTTTTTATTTTTGTGAATGGGTACTGTATGCCTATTCAGTGGCTGAGGCCAATCTTTACATAGGACCAGTGTTTAATTCTTGTTGAATATACTTTCACTCTAGTTAAAATCCCATACTAAAGAAAGTGATCTCTCGTCGACAGGGTTTCCTCCGTCAGCCGAGCTTGTACCCCGTGCTCATTTTGTCATACGAGATGTACCTGCGTGTCAGTGACAGTCTGGCCAACATAAACTTTGACCTACTCATCTGTGACGAAGCTCATCGACTAAAGAATGCCAACATCAAAATAGCGGGGGTGAGTGTTTGAGCGCTACTGCCCCATTTGTCTTTGTTCCCAGCCTCAGCGATTTAAGCTACCAGATTTGGTAGTTTGATACTTTAGCCCCATGTTCCCGGGGTTAAAAAAACGGCCGTTGGGTGAACAGAAAAACATGCTTTTCGTGTAAGGCTGACCAAAATATTATGCACTGGAGAAAATCAACCATCTGCCTTAAGTCCTTATTTTGAACTCTTTTTGTGCATGTTCACCAATTGAAAAGCACGGCAAAAGAGCCCAAGTTTGCACCTCGACTCGCCACATCACAGTCTCCTTCCGCACAATAAAGTTTGTCTGCTATGGTCACCAAATGGCAATAGATGCACACTCGAGCACAGTGTCTGAAGCTAGCTACAGCCACGCCATTTTCCAAATGCCGTCTGCTATCAATGTGGCAGTGCTTGCTTGGGCTCCAAAAAAGCTAGGCTTTTAAACAGACCACGCTGTGTGCAGTCACCCTTCACTTCGCTCAGGGAAAATTTTTTATAATTTCAGGCCTGAGCATACACCATGCCTCGTCGGAACTGCCAAGGTTTTGCCAGGCGATCTCTTTTTTCGCTCTCAGCGTCAACCTCCACAACGGCACGTTTGACTTTAGCTAGAGTTGCCACGTTCACTTTAGCAGTCGACATTCAGAAGATGGCATTTGCCATTGGTTGACTTCAGTTGCTGCGTTTGTCTGTTGCACCATAAAGAAGTTTCGTTGCTATGGTGATGCTGACCAAGGCTGTTTACAGGGATGTCAGTTTGATAGATGGTACAGTCTATTTATTTCCATTTTCCCGACCTATGTCAGCCGGAACAGGTCAACTTTTTACCAAGCTTGTATGTCCTATGCATCACCTTTAGCGAGGGTACAACTGACTTTTAATGCTGTTTGTGAACCTAACTGTGATATTTTTATTTTCCATCGAGATCTCATTTGGCTTGCATGCAAATGGATCTCTTCCTTGTAAGCATGACAATGCGGGTATACCCTTAGTTATCTACTTTTGTTTCTTGTGTTAGATAAATTAATGGTATATATACTGTTGTATTTTTATATGTATAAATTCCACTTGCGTATGTTTTGTGTTCCACTCGTTAGAACGCGAGGTTGTTTCTGGGCACAGGAAAAATGGAGCTTATTATTATTAATATTATTATATAGCAGACGGACTTTATCATTTAGAAGGAGACGGGTGTGGCGAGATCAGGTGCGTACTTGGAATTTTTCGTCAAGCTTTTCAATGGGCGAAATGTGAACAAAAAGTTTGAAATAAGGACTTAATACAGCTGGTCGATTTTCTCCAGCACCTAGTTATTTTACAAGCCTTACATGAAAAGTATGATTTTAGCTCCCAATATGGACAAAGTTTTCTGGACTGCAACATGGGGCTAAACTACCAATGTGCCCCATATAAACTCGAGCAATATAGAAGCCCCTTTTAAACAAGCCTGTGCATCTGCTTTCTTACAGAGCACACACAGCCAATCGGCATGTTCTAAATAAGAAGCATAAAAAATAATGAGGTTGAGAAAATAATTCCTTGCAAAAATGCGGTCTACACAAAAGACTTTTTCGTGTGAGGACATGTGTACCGAGCTGCCGCCAAAATCGACTGTGCTGCACGAGTCAAGCTCTCGAGTTGGTGAATGCATGGGTGGCATGCCATTCGAAACTCAACTGGGCGCCGTCATACCAGTCATGGCAGTTGCATTGTATTAAATACCCATGTATTTAATAGGGCGTTATCTCTGTCCTGTAAGTCACTGGGCCGCTGTCGATCGCAAGGATTGGCTAACTGTGTGCTCCTTGGGAAACTGGGTGTGCAGGCTTTGCTCATAAACATTGTTCCCATTACTCAAGTACATATGGTATACATAGTATGTCAGTATCAAACCAATTCACTGAAAGCCATACATTTGTTTTAGTAATCTCTGGTAATATCTTTTATATTTTGTTATTGGTCCCTTACATTTCTGAATGTGTTTTGAAATGGATCTTTTAACTTAAGGGGGACACTACCTGGGCATCTCTACTTTTGAACTGCTCACTCAATCGGCGTGAAATTTGCAGGTGGTGTTTGTAGCCATATAGAAGGAGGCAGGGATGGGCAAAATACATGCAAATATGTATCGAAATACAAATACAAAATACTTCGTCAAAAATGTATTTAATTACAAATCTAATTACATTTGCTAAAAAGCATTTAAGTACAAGATACAAATACAACCAAATGTATTTGGTCTCCTCCATATACTTTTCCAAATACATTCCTCAAACTTTGCGTCAGTGACTTCGGGGCACCTGCAACGGGTTTCTGGGTATCTGATTTTAATTTTGCATCGCACACTTGGGAGTTAGTGCGCGAGGCTCTAGTAACGTAATAGAAATATGATAAAAGAAATATAATCAGTTTGGACGTAATAGATGACAAAAGTACAGAGCTTCAAGCAGCTTTTTTTTGTGGTTTCCTTTTTGGTATAGACCAACAAAGAACCGAGACGACCAAAACGTGCAGCACTAGCTAGACAATATTTTATTGTTGCAACTCGTACCAGTTACGAAAATCTCGACGACCCGCGCATTTAGAATGTTCCAGGCAAAAAATATGGATGGAAATCAGGCTGGAAAGCATCACAAGTTGTCACAGGCACTTATTTAGGCAGTCTGCCCGTGAACGTCGATTTCGTCACTGTTCTTGCCCTGGACTAGCACTGTAATCACAAAGTCTCTAAACGCTTGTGCTTGATTGAGAGACACTGCATCCGGTGCAAAACATAGTTTTCTTCCTGCTCTGGACAATGACAATAAATTTGAGGGATGTATTTTCGTCCACAAAATTGTATTTAATTACAATTGTATTTGAAATACCCACGTTTTAGTATTTAAATACACACATCAAATACAATACCCAATTTGTAATTAAATACAAATGCAAAATACACAAAGTATTTGAAATATGTATTTCAAATACTTGTATTTGAAATACTGCCCATCCCTGGAAGGAGGGCATGCAAAGTTTCAGCCCTGAGAACCAATTTTGTGAGGTACTATACCCTTAGAACGTAGCTTTGTATGGAATCTGCTCAATGAATTTATCGTTAAGAAATGGTGTTGATCACCACATATTTTTCTGGTGGAATGTATACTGGAATATTTTTTGCCGGTTACTATGAAAAGAAACTTTAGAACATGTGCATTTCTCAAATAAAAAAAAAAATTATGAAAGTTTTTCTTTTTTTTTACATTTGCCAAGTTTTGCGAATTACAATTTTTCATAATAAAGGAACATAAAAATGCAAAACCTAAGTTCATAGTAACCTGCTCGATAAAATTTCGGCTTATAATCTACAAATCTGCAAGTGAAGCTGAGATAAATGCACTTGAAGTTTCGAGATGACGTTTTAAAAATTTATTTTTGCGTCTTAAATGTCAGAAATTCATTCCAGCAGTGTAGGTGATGTCTTCCTCAAACTTCTTCTGATATACTGACATTGCTTTCAGCTATTTTCACTTGTGGATGGCGAGTGCTACGCAGTGCAGCACACCTCACCAACTTATAAAGAACAGTGTTGGGTGAAGTACATGTAAAAGGTACTTCAAGTAAAGTACAAAGTAAATGAGACGTGATGTACTTTAAGTAAAGTATTAAGTACACTGGATGCAACCTACTTGAAGTAAAGTACTATAAATACAATGTACTTTCAAAATAAAGAACAAGTATTTTAACACAATCTTTCATGATGCCCTTCCTTTCCCCTATACAGTGATTTTTTAACTGTTATGCATTGCCCAGAGGTACTAGGGTGCATGACCTATTTTCAAAAACAGCGGCGAATATTTGATAAAGTCAAGTTGCCACAGAGTAGTTATTTTCAGGAATGGAGCCAAATTCAGAAGTCCCTCTTCTGAATTTGGCACCCCTTGCACTGGATTGTTGCACCCAAGGGGGTTAAATGTACTAGGAGAGAGCCTGACGTCAGCACCGTAGCTTTTGCAAACAATCCTCTCATAGAGGAGTGTCCTCTCCTTAATGAAGAAAACAGTGAGTGTGCAAGCGAGCTGGTGATAGTTAATCATAATGTGACACCCGAGATTGGGGCGCAGTAAAATTAAGGAACTTCCAAATAGAAGGAGAAGACAAAAGAGAATGTCTCAAAACATTGTGACGTTCTCCTCTGTTGTCTTTTACTTCGACTTGAAAATTTAATTTTTCCACACCACAGTCTCAGGTGCGACATTATGATAAATTTTGCTCTCCTAATATTTGAAACCTCCTCCCTTGCGCTGACCGACCGAGAAGTATGTAGCGAGAGTTCAAAAAGCTACGGTAAAGCTGCTCCCAGGACGAACGGAGTGATGCGTCGTCTGCTCACGTTTCTGGTGAGAGTAGAATATATCCCTCCCAGTATTTCTTCGGAGTTGGCAAAGCATCATTTCGTGATACAAATTTAACAAAACCAAAATTTGGGGAATGTACTTTGAAGTCGGGAATTGAACTTTCGTCGGAAAGTACCAGAAAAAAATACTTTAAGTAACATACAAGTACATACTCAGTGAATGTACTTCAAGTAAAGTACAAGTTTCATAAACCTACTTGAAGTAGTACTTTAAGTACAATGTGCTCAAAGTACTTCCCAACACTGATAAAGAATAATTATTTTTGACATTGTTTGTCAGTGCACATTGACAAGACTTTGTGAGAGTGTTCCTTGTTATCCATACATGCCAGAACTCTGCAGTTCTGAATATGTATTTTTTGGAAAAAAGGTGCAATTCAAGGGTAGTGTCCCCCCTTAATTATGAAATCCAATTGGGCATAATGAATTTTGAAGACACTTGTTAACACATCCCTGTATATGCTAACCATATTGTTAATAAGTCAAACCAGGTGACAGACATTATGTTTTCTGCGGCAGCAGAGATGTTCACTGATATACTTGTACATAATAGAAAATAAATAAGCACTGCTTTTTTTTTGTAACTATGTATATCCATTTTAACTACAAGCACTAAATTTTCATATTCACTTGAATTATTGATGTATTTGTTGGTCATGATTAGGGTTTCCAAGTTTTAGCACTGAAGGAAAAACTGGTAAACATATGCTAAATATTATTTTTGGTGTGGAGGACAAAAAACTAGTCACTGGAGGTTTGAACTGTTGGGTTTTTATTATTAGTATAGTATTCCTCATATATTTTGTGTTACATATGTTGAAATGAGTGTATACACTGGCTGTGGCCCTGGTGAACGAATTTGGGCAGGGACGCTTACACAACCAATCAAATATGAGAACTTTTCTTTTATATTACTATTGGTGCTACTAGTTACATTTTCAGTTCCTTTTTGCACACTATTTGCTTCTATATTGTGATTTGTTTTTCCACTGATGATTTTAGGCGTTGGAGTTGCATTGATACGTCGATAACACTATCACGAAAAGAGATTAATTATTTAGCCACGAATTAGCCTAAGCGTTAGACAGGAATTTTTACTTTTATGTCGTCTTTTTTTATTTGCAAATCGTCAAAAATCTAAAGAAGTAGAAGCCGAAGTAACGAAATACAAAGTTGTTAGTGAGCGCTGTGTGAAAGGAGTGTTCTTTGGGTGTGTGAATGCTTGAATGCCAGTTTTTTTAGTGCGCTAAACGTCGACAAGCATTGATACAGAATACTAGATAGTGCATTGACAAATGCATGTTTTTGTCGTATTGAAAAGAAATGCAACTTATTATGCTTAATTGCACAACAAATAAACGCCAGAAATCAGTAGTTTAATCAAATTTATTATAAAAGACAGTATGTGGCATAGGTCTCTTGTCCAACCTGGATGTCACATGAAGTTCCCTGGTGGGATTTTCAGTCCCTCCAGAACCTTGGAATAACACGCAAGATCTTGGTGACGGGAACTCCTGTCCAGAATGACCTGCAGGAGTTTTTCACCCTCATCGACTTCTGCAATCCAGGCATTCTGGGCAAGTATCCTTATGTCTGTCAGAGAATCGGGGTGCTGAGCTACTCTCCATAAGTGTGCCGGAATGGCATTTCGTATTTATGCTCTTTTATTAATTTTTTATGTTTTTTGTAGACACCACTACCTATTAGAACAAATAGGCAAAAGTAAAGGTGTCAATGAAACAGCTGCTCGACAATGCAGCTGTGTGATGAGAGTGAAGAAAGGAGATACGGCCACATCTAAGAAATGCCTACTACTATAGTAGTAGGTGCCTAAGGACAATCAAATCTCATATGAAAAGTCCCGTGAAATGCAAAATTATTTCACTGCACTTGCCACATGGAGGTCTGGCGCCAATTACCAAAAACGGGCGAAAATGTGCCCCATTTTCTTATTGAACATTTCAGAAAATTTGTCATAACTTTTGGATAAGGTAAGAGTTAGTGCTGAAACTTTGGTATCTGGTTTGGACCTCTGGTGCTACATTTGAAGGGAAAATGAGCATTCGGCAATGCATATTTTATTTTGCGGTGAAAGAAACCTTGTAGCTTTTTTAGGGGGACACTGTATATGAGATTGCAATGACATTTTGAGATGGCTACACAGACATGAAGCAAAGGACTAAGAATGGTAATGCTGGTGATGACAGTGTTCAATGAATGATATGGCAAGAGGACCCACATTACAATGCGATTTCATTCTTTCTGGTGTCTTAGTTTGCACATTTGGATGGGTCTCGGCACCGCTTCTTTACGCACACTTCTTTTTGCACCGCTAGCGGCGGGTCTGCTGGAAGCGGGCTGCGGGCCAGGCTTCCTGGGAAAGACCGCGGTCTGCCACGGGGCGGTTGGAAGACTTCCACCGGCCAGATCAGGCCTGCGGCCCGGGGTTCGGAGAACTCTGATCTAGAGCATGAACCTGTGTCATCCTACATTAGTAAAACAGGCCTTACGTTGTTTAAACATCTGATGTCTAATTGGCTTTGCATTGCTCCGAAGCTCTTATTGTCATTTCTTTACTTCTGTTTCACAGAGTCATTTAAAGAGTTTTAGTAAAATGTAGTCAAGAGAGAACTTTGTGAAGTCGAGGAATCTATGACTGTATGTTTCCCCCCTGTGAGTGTCAATTCAATTAGGATAGATCACCAATACGGTGGGAACATACCCCATTCCAATTTAAGTGTACCATACTACAAGGTAAGCGAGCCAGCCTGGATTTTTACTTGACCTTGGATCTGGCGATTTTGGTGGGAGGCCCGTGCCGATTTTGGTGTGACGGGTGCAGGTCAGCCGTCTTCTTTCCGGCGAGTGTACGAGGAACCCATCCTGCAGTCCCGCCTTCCCCAGGCAACCCAAGAACAGAAAGAGCTGGGCCAAGCTCGGGCCGACGAACTCTCCCGGATCACTGCATTGTTTGTGTTACGCCGTACTCAGGATGTCATTCAGAGCTATCTCCCTGGTAAAGGTGAGGCTTCTTAGCACCACTACACTAGAAGGGGGCACTCCTATTATGGGAGGAGCACAAAAGACAGGAGCTGACATCACGAGCAGTTTCACATTTATTTTCTTTATCTGTGCACTGAATGGTGCTTTGCCATAAATAATAATACCCCAGGCGGGCAAGTCTTTACGTATGTCTGACCGAAAACTAGGAGACCCGAATTTTGAATCCCACCATCACCAAAATATTTGTCTTCTGGTGACTTGTAACCCTTGTTCCATTTGATCGGTATGGTTCATTTATCTGCATATTCTCAAATATTTAATGAATATTCTTTAGTATTTATGGCCAAAAATCTAATATTCAGCTTTAAACAAAATTAATGACATGTCTCGCATCAACTACTTCAATAGTATAGTTTTATACAGTGTTGGGAAGTACTTTGAGTGCATCGTGCTTAAAGTACTAGTTCAAGTAGGTTTAGAAGACTTCTACTTTACTTGATGTACATTCTCTGAGTGTGTACTTCTACTTTACTTAAAGTATATTCTTGTGATACTTTCTGAGAAAAATACAACTCCCAACTTCAAAATACATTCCCTAAATTTGAAAAAAAAAAAAATTGGCATATCATCATGTATTGTTTTTCAAGATGTCATCTGGTCATTTCTCTGGATGAAGTAAGGGTGGCTAAAACACTGATACAAATAAGTGCCTTATAAGTTGACTGTGTTAAATAGCTTGTCAGCGAGAGTAAAACAACTACTCTGTGGCAACTTGACTTTATCCAATATTCACCGCCATTTCAGAAAATAACTGATGCACCCCCTTAACCTTAAAACAATGCATACCAGATTTAAAAAAAAATAATACTGTATAATTGAAATGGCATTATGAAAGATTGTGTTCAAAAGAGCTTTTACTTTACTTTGGAAGTACATTCTATTTATAGTACTTTACTTCAAGTATGTAACCTCTCATTTTACTTTGTGCTTTACTTTAAAGGGTAACTCTGGTCAAATTTCGATGTTGAGAAAACAATGCAGTCCTACGTCATATCTGAAAAGTCTACATGTAAAATATTACGACGCAATTCCTAAAAGTTTATTAAACTGTCCAATGAAGTCAGACCACGTGATTTCCAGTAGTTGTTGGGCAGGACCAATGTTGCCTGCTGCGGGCAAGGTTTCGATTTTACTTTGTGATTTTCGTTTAAATGAGGTTTGCAAGATAACTATTTAACTTTTCAGAAAACGTATTCGCTAATTTAGGTTACTCCAATTTACAAAGCAAGATTTATACAACATATCCAGAGTTAAGACATGGTGAGGGCTCTTGAAGGTTGATGTCGTACCGACCACCGGTTCCAACGAGGCTCCGCACAAGCTGGTCGCCTATTTCTTCTTCTCTTCTTAGCATATGCTCCTTGGTCTCCTTTCTCGTGAGGTGAATACAATCGAGCCCGGTCATATTCCACCCGGGTATTTCGAATTATTGTTTATATCGAACAGTCCAAACGTCCCTTTGAAAATCACATGTAAAAGTATAGGAGCGTTGTTTTTCTGTATCAAACTCCCATGGCCTCCAATGATGGGGTCACTCGATAAAGCGAACATACCCGGCCGCTTGTTGCTTTTCCCGCGGTCCGATTGCGCTAGCGGCGAGCACATAGCTCGCGTTGCGAGGTTGGCAGACCGCCAAGCCAGCATACGCGCATGGGAATATGCAGCAAAAAAGCAGTTGTAAAAAAAAAGTGGAGGATGGCAAAAGCAAGGGGAAGGGCACGCGCACGCGTGGGAGGGCAGGGAGTTCTTGAACTGTAGCGTGCGCTCTTTCCCCGAACATTGCTGTTGCTGTGGGACTCCTTAGCCCCAAAGTAAAATAAGCAAAAAAAGAAAAAAAAAAAGTCATAATCAAGTTAGGTGTGTCGACAACAACTGTTTAGCAATCGCACTTTGAATGCCTTATCTTTGTTTACCTTTTTCTTTTGCTGTACTTGCTTTGCCCTTTTTTTTCTTTTTTTTCTTTTTTGCTGCCTGAATTTAGTGAGGTTCCTTTTTTCTTGCTTGCTTAACTTTATTCTATGGATCAAGAGTTCTTTCTTATGCAGCTCGCTTTTTCCGTTCTTTCATTTGTTTAAATTATTTTTGTGTTTTATTGCCGGCGTTCCAATCGCAGACACCGTCGCGTAAACGCCGCGGTGTTTGTGATCTTTACTAACTAAGCTCTACTGTATTTAGAGGCTCTATTTGGTAAGGTTCGGTTTGTCACGGTCTTCGGTATTAACAGAGACGCACGGTACTTTCAACTGGAGCTTAAGTTAACATATTTTTGTATATCAAATTATTGATATATAGAATTATTTTAAGATCCCCTTTGAGCTCAATATATCCAGGTTCGACTGTAGTTGGGTGCGAATCCACATTTGGCGGGAAACCTCCTCAATATTTATTACCCTCTCCTCCGAATGAGCATTGCTCATTCCTTATGAGCTTCCAGTTGATGTAACAGTTGAAGGGATGTCTAATGGTTGTTCCTCCTGACAAACGAGCCACGCAGGATCGGACGTGGCCATCTCGTCCCGAGAACACTTGCATGACACGGCCAGTTTTTCTGGTTTGTCACGGATGGAAATTGTTGTGCAGTAGCATTAAGTCATTCACCCGTAAATTACTCGAGGCTGCCAGTCTGGCATGATGAAATGACCTTAAAGTACAGAGGTATTCTTGGCGCCAGCGCTTCCATAGTGTGGTCGATACCGTCTCACGGTACTTCCAACGGTGAGTTAGATCGTTGGCTGATAGCGACGCAGGCTCTCATCCTGGAGTTGGTAAGAAAGTCAGTCGCCGATAAGAAAATGTGCGGGTGTCAATGGTTCTCGTTTACAGGGTCGGAGGAGATGGAGGTCAAACGTCGAGAACTGATCACAACCTCTATCTCCGTTAGTATTGTGCTCAGCTCTTCATAGGTTACGTAACTGCACCCTTGTACCTTTTTCAGAGGGGTCTTAACTGATCGAACCATTCACTCCCAAAACCCGCCCCACCAAGCCGCTCGCGAAGCGATGTATTTCCACTTGATGCTTTGACTGGACAGGTAGTTGAGTGACTCCTGTTTTCTCATTGTGTTTCCATATTTTTCCGAATTCAGCAGACGCTGGGTGGAAAGTCTGTGCATCATCGGAGTAGATTGTGTAGCAGTGTCCGCACCGTGCCACAAAGCGACGAAATGCCAAAAGGAAACTACCTGTTGACAAGTCACTCACCACCTCTAGATGTATTGCTCTAGTGACTGCGCAGGTCAGTAGCAGAATGTATGATTTTTTTTTATCTTGCCTTCGTCCTTGGTGAGGACAGGTCTGGCGAAGTCGAGTTCTTTGACCGCAAAAGGGTCTGCCTCAAACACTCGGTCTCGTGACAGTGGCGCAACTGGTTCGGTCGCACCCTTGCTGCTCATTCTTTTGCAGCAGACTAGACAACGGCTCAAGGCCTTCTTATCTACTTGTCGGGCTCATATAATCCAGAACATCTCGCGCAGCTTAGTTGAGTGTCCAGGCACTTTGCATGTAGCAGCTGTCGATGTGTGCTATACATCAGCAGTTCCACCAAGTGGTGTGTCAAAGGCAAAATGACTGGGCGTGCCTTCTCATAACCGAGGTCTGAATGTTGTAGGTGTCCTGTCAGTTGTAGCAACCCTCTGTCATCTATAAATACATTCAAAGTGCACAGATCTGACGAGCCACTGCACTGTTCGCCTCGTTCTAGTTGGTTTAGTTCATCCTCAAAGGCTTCCTTTTGAACTTGACGGAGCAACCTAAGACGTGCCTCTAATATCTCTTCAGTTTTGAGTGGACCCTGTTGATTCTCTCTGGTGTGTTTACAATTATTGACAAAACATAAGACCCAAGCAGTGACCTGTTTTAGGCGATTCAGCTCGCCAAACTTTCCAATGCTTACCACAGGCATACAGGAGTTCATAGCAGTATGGCTCACTGTCAGTTCTGAAGTTCATCTTTCTTTCTTAGCTGCAGTATCTGGGGTACCAGTGGGCATAGTTGGCCAACATGTGGGTGACTCTGCCAGCCACTTTGGTCCTTTCCACCATAGGTCACACTTCTGTAGACAGTGCAGAGGGACACCCCGGGTTAGTAAATCCACCGGGTTCTCAGCTCCAGGGCAGTGTTTTCAGTTGCTGGGTTTTGTCCTCTGTTGAATCTCCATAACCCGATTTGCCACGAATGGTTTTCACCATACCCAGTGTAGAGCAGTCATGAAGTCTGTCCACAGCGTCACTTCTGAGAGATCCGACTTTCAAGCTCTCTTAAAGTAGTCACGTAGTTGAGCGCCCACTAATGCTCCCATCAGTTCCAGTCTTGGTAGAGTCAAGGTCTTTACCGATGCAACGCACGTCTTAGCTATAATGAGGGTCGCTGTCGTCTGATTAGCACTGTCACTACGTAAATATGCCACTGTCCCATAGGCCTGGGGGCTAGCGTCCATGAAGACATGCAGCTCATTCGACCTCTGTAAGCAGCATAGTGACGAGGAATGGAGATGTCCTCGAGATGATGCAAAGCCTTTATCCAGTTACTCCAACTCAGACTCACGCTTGGAGGCAGCGGAGTGTCCCAGTCCAGCCCAAGTGCCCAAAGTTCTTGAAATAACATCTTGGCTGTTACCGTCACTGGGCTGAGGAGGCTGAGGGGGTCGAAAATTCTCTCTGATGCTTGCAGTACAAAGCGTTTTGTATCACGGTTGATCGTCAGAAGCTCCAATGTGCTTTCTAAAGAGTACTTGAGCTCGTCCCTCTCTCTATTCCACTCGAGTCACAAAACCCGCGTCACGCCTGACCTCGGTGTGGGAGTATCACGGGAAAGGGTTCCAACCCCATCTTCATCAAATCGTTGTTGCAATAACATAACTCGCTGTTGGAACTCCACTTCCTCAGCTTCATTTCTGCTGAGCTTAATATTTGCTGGGCTTCCCTGTAGAAGTTTGTTGCTGCTTCCAGTGTTGCAGTGCCAACAATCAAATCGTCCACATAAAGGCTGTCGTCTAGTACTTTTGCAGTCGCAGACAAGCCTTCTGAGACGTTGGCCAGGAGGTGCTTGATAGTCGCTGCCAGCATGAGAGGGCTGCTCGTTGCTCTAAGTGGTATGCGTGCCATGCGTCATGCTTCAGTCTCCGAACTTGTGGGGTCTTCTGTAGGTGAACTTGCATACCACAAAAAGCGAAGGGCATCGCGACCCTCCTGCTTGATCAGAATCTGTAAGAAGGCCTTTGCAATATCTGCAGTGAAGGCAATCGCATGCCGTTGGAAGTTGATCAGCTGTAACATGTCCGGATTGAGGCTTGGGCTCGTAGACAATGCATCGTTGAGGGGCAGACAGCCCAGTGCCTTTGCAGATGCATCAAGCACGGTGCGTATCTTAGTCACAGAACTTTCAGGTCTAAAAGTACAGCACGATCAGGCATGTAGTAAACTCGTTTCCAAGTGGTGTGGACCTCGCCTTTTGGCACTCTTTCAGCGAAACCTTCTTTCAGGTAGCTACAGATTGCTGAGTCGTACTGCGTCAGTCTTTCGGTGTTGCCTCTTAAACGCCGAACCAACTTGTCCAGATGCAGTAGTGCAACAGCTTCATTGTTCTCTAGGGGTCGATTTAGGGGCTTCCACGAAAGGTTTGCCTCATAACGGCTTATGGCCAATGCTAGGGAGGAAGTGAAATCTTCCTCACTTGTTCTTCCTCTTTTCCGCGCGGAGAGTTGTTCATGGACATTCCGAGGCTTTTCAACTCCCAAAGGACTCGAAGTTCGTTTGAGAGGCTCAAAGTTGGTTGTGTGACGCCGGTGTTTAGGACGGCCACAGTAGTGCAGGACAGCACAGAAGCAACCTGGGGAACTAGGCCCTGCAGTGTCCAGCCAAAGTCCGTCGTTAATGCAACCAAGGATCCTCGTATCTTGCGGACTTCCCTGCTCACCATATTCCAATAGTGATCTGCCCCCACTTGGATTTCAATGCTCCATGTGGAATTAAGGAAGGGTGAAAGGGTTACATTGGGCTAATTCAAGCTTTCCCACGCCGGCAAGGTCAATCACGTTGTCGGGAAGGACCAAATGGTCAAAACAGATCTTTTCTATTTCAAGGGCTTCCAAGCAGTGTTCTTTGCGGCTTTATTGGCTTCGCAACGACAGTCGCACTAGCCGGCATTTCCTTGTTCCACCAGCTGTTCCGCCAAACAAATAGATGATCACTTCCTCCTTGCCGATCACTTCCAACCTCAGCTCTCGCGAGAGCTGCTCAGTGACGGACAGCGAGCAAGACGCTTCCGGTCTTGTACGTCTACCCATACTTGAGCCGTCTGTAACATTAGGGTGTTCTTGTTGATGGCATTCGAAGATGCCATGGAGTGGAGCTCGGTAGTGGTCGCCCCGTGAAGAGATGGAGGTGACGTGCCACAAAGTGGAGTGATGTGGCGTCGGCCGCATTTGGCACAGTGCAGGGACCGATTTCGAAATTCTTTTGAGGTGTGTCCTCTCTTCGCGCATCTGTAACACCTCCCTTCGCTCCTTAGCTGTCTCTTATTTTCTTTGATCAGAATCGCAGTTACATTGAGGCGCTTCATGTAATTCGGAGGAACAAAGAGGGCACCTGGCACTTGAGGGCTTGGCAGAAACTGCGAGGGAAGCAGCAGACCCCATTCCTTGGAGGTTGTCGCTTGATCAATCTGTCGCTGTGTATTTTCAGAGGTTGCGGTTGGTCCTGTGTACTGCTGTCGTACACTTTCTCTTTGCTATCCTGCTCTATACGCATTGATCGCAAGACAGCCTCAAGAGTTGAGCTTTCCGGTGCTTCATTGCTAGTACTCTGACTCTTGTAGAAGTCCATGACCCAGTCAGCAGGCAGCACGCAAAACGACGCACTACACAGCATCACCCCGTAGCTGTCAGAGTCGATGCCCTAAGTCCTCAGCAGAGCGATGTTGTGATGAACATGATCGTATAGACAACAAAGGGCTCCGACGTCACTCAGTGCCTTCACTTTTGGCAGGTTCAGCAACTGCGTGAGGTGTTCTTGGACAAGGACGTCTTTCTTGCCGAATCTCTCCGTCAGAAGCTCCACGGCATAGGCGTAGTTGTGCTCCATTGCGTGAATGCCACTTACCGCTGCAATCGCCTTGCCCGTCAGCACCGTCCGCACCTATAGGAACTTCTCCACGCCGGACAGCTCAATGTTGTCGTGGATCGCCTGTCGGAACTGCTCCCACAAGGGAAGCCAATTCAACTTCTCTCCGTCAAACCGTTGGAGTTCGAGCTTTGGTAGTTTAAGCTGTCCAGCTCGACTCTGGGTTTGAGTGGTCGATCGTTCTGCGGTCTCGGCAACCCTGCTCTTGATAGATGACAATGTCTCTTGGCGTTGAAAACGTGTCCGCATTCGGGCGATGACACTTTGTGTCTCTCTGACGGCCCTGTATTTTTCGGCGAGGTTCTCATTCTTTACGTGGATTTCAATGAGCGCATCTTTCTCCTTGGACTTCTTTCACCAGGGCATCCAGCCCGTCCGTTATTTCTGCGAGGCGTTCTTCGTGATCAGGCCTTAAGTCCTCAATTGATATTGCGTTTGGATCTTCTTGCTGAGACGTTCAATTTCGGCTCGTGTCACCAACCTTTTCGTCTGGAGCCGCTCCATGTTCGTTGTTCACTGATCTCGTATGGTCGCTGGGGTCCCGGGTTTCGGCACCAAAATATTAGCATTTTAGGTTACTTCGCTATACAAAACAAGATTTATACAACATATTTACAGTTTAGACATGGTGAGGGCTCTTCAAGGTTGATGTCGTTCCGACCAACAGTTCCAACAAGGCTCCGCATGAGCTGGTCCCCTATTTCTTCTTCTCTTCTTAGCGCATGCTCTCTGGTCTCTTTTCTTGTGGGGTGTCTAGCCAGGTGCAGATCCAGATATGGTGGGAAATGTCATCAATATTTAATAAAACAAATAACATAGTACAGTCTATTAGTAGGTAGTCTTGACGTGATAATCGGCCGTAATCTCAGAATTTTCTGAATTGACCGGAGCTGCCCCTTTAAGACCTTTTTGGATGTGCTTTACCCAACACTGGTTATATAACCACAGATAGGCAAATAATGGCAGGGATAGTTTCAGCTGGCCAGCCTCTGGCATAGACCCACTGCCTTTTGTAATTCGTTGAATCTATGGCATGCACAATGTCCCAGCAACTTCAAAACACTAATGAAGTTAGAAAGGTCACTCTAAATGCAGAAATGCAGGACCTCCCTGTCATTCCGAAGCTGTCAGGAACTTTATTGCCCATCTTTTCGGCCCTCCACAGTGCTTAACGGCACCACGAAAAATCAACAGGGTAGAGCTTTCTCGTGCCTTTCATTGTAGAGCCCAGTTTAGGCAGACCTTTATTTGAGGGTTCTGCTATCCCAGATAAAGAATCTTTATCCTTTATCCCTCACTCCAGCATGACCATGTCTGCAACAAGATTTCAAATTGTTAGTTTATGCCGCTTACTACGCTGCCGAACAATCTTTCGACACAATGTCAATGTGCAGCGGAGTGCGTGGTTTTCTGCCGTCCCACATCGCTGCAACTGACGGTCTACCGGGAGCTGCTGGCCTCGAATGCAGTGCAGGCCTGCCTGAGCAGCTACCTTTCTTGCGATGCCAACCATCACCTGGCTTGCATTCTGGCATTGCGCAAGCTTTGCAATCATCCTTCACTCCTCGCCCCAAGACACAGTCCCTCTTCTGACAAGGAGCAAGTCGTAAGTGGTCTTAATTAGATGCCAAGCAGCAATGCATTTGCTGCGCCATTTGTACCAAACTGCACTGAAGCACTTACGCTGCTACACCGTGCTACAATTAACCAGAATGTCAGGAATTTCTACCAACATTAATTCATTTCTCTTCATTGAAACAAACTAATGGTCAGGCATTATTGCATTGCTGAATTGTTGTGCTAAGCTTGCGTGAACTTTCAAAACTTTGTGGTATAGCAATTAATATAAAGTGTGATTTGATATCTGTATCACGCATGACTTGGTGCTTGGAAATTTGGGAACATTTCTGATTTTATAGGCTCTGTTTGGGCGGTTTAATTACCTAGCTCCGTTGAATGTGCTTGTCGCAGCGCTGCAGTGAGCTGCAGAGAAGCTATGCCTGTGGAGTAGACATTGCGATTTTGTGTTCATTGCTTTGCCGCAATGCACCATTATTTTAAGGGGTAAACGCTCCTCTAGCGTAGAACAATGCACAGCTGCAGGTTGCGCTTCTGAAGAAAAAAAAAGAATGTTAAAAATAAAACTTGGTGAATGCTGGTTGACAACATGGCAGTAGAATTGGCAAAAAAAAACTGCAGTCAGTTTTTTTCAACTTTGCGTTTTTAAGGGGAAATAGTTCATACTTGGGTATAAGGGAAGGGTTGATGAATCACAATGATTAGGTGCAGCTGGGCTGGCCCATAACTGTTCCTAGATACAGTCAAGAAAGTTTCAATTAAAGCAAGGTTAACTTTAGCAATGGAATTGAACATTGGGAAAGACATTAATAAGTTCTGCTGGATTTTTTAAGACACATTTGTTCTCCACATGTTGACTTTGCAGCATTATAAATGTCTAGACGTCAGATGTCATTGATGCAGAGCTTTGCCATTTAATTATTCTTTGCAATCGATGCTAAAAGGCGGTTATGCAGAAGTGGGACAGCAAAGATGCACCGTGTCCTATTTGGACAAGCCAACGCATGAGCCTTAAGATAATTTTCGCAGTAGAATGAGTAAGAATAGAGAATATGTTTGTGCTCCAAGTGTCTTTTTCTGCTCTGAACGGTGCTTCAAAATGAATCGAGCCATTTGTATCACTGCCGAGGAAATAGTGAGCTTATGGGGTTGTTTTTGCTCGTCCCAGGATCTATTACCTACCAAGTCCCAAAAGCAGTTTTCTTTGGACATGAGCAAGTTGGCGGCAGAGAGCCTTGAGGCGTCCTCGGGGAAGCTGAAGGTCCTGGCAGCCATGCTGGCTTCGCTCTGGGACTCGTCACCTCGGGAGAAGATTGTTGTCGTCTCCAACTTCACGAGGGTGAGAGGTTTGCACGGGCAAGAATACCAGTGTTGCGAGATTGTGATATTGTGAATAACAGGGTAAGGTACGTGGCAGCTAGGAGTGTGGGAAATCATAACAACCCCTTCCCCCCTTGCACCTGCCCAAGATTGGTCTAGAGATTTCAGCCAATATGGATCAGTTGTAAAGATTGCAGTGGACAGCAGTATGAGCTGGCCTCATGGAGTGCTGGCTGGAGTGACAAGCTACTAGAGATGAAATTAGGAATGACCCCCACGATTTCACGAATGGAGCTGTAGCAGCACATCTGCAGTAAAATATGCCCAAGATTTGTCAGGCGTCCTTTAGACAGTTGCATTGCTCCAGTGTTTCGTAAGGTCAGTTCTTGTTGCCACGCACATGTACACTTAAAATTTTGAGTTTCAATACAATGTTTTTCTAAGTAGAGACCAGCTGCAACGGTTTGCTGCACTGTGTTTTAAACACTTTGTCATGGTAGCACAGGACATATGGCAGGATTTGTGGATTGAATTGAAGGCAGTTACGAGTTGGACGGACCACAGAGTTCACTCAAGGTGTGCAGTAGCGTTCAGTGCCACAAAGCCTACATAGAGTTCGCAGACAAGCTTTTGATTGTGCGCAACAACACCCCACAGCTCTTGAGCATGAGGAATGCAGATTCCTTCACATTAGACACGATGGAAACTCTGTAGACATTGCCATAAGAGGTAAGAAAAACACTCTGCACAAAGAAAATCTCACTTTCTTTAAGGGGCGACACTGGCTAGAGGTTGAACTTCTGAACTACTCAAGTGATTGCAATGAAATTTGCAGGGGATATTTAACTTCAGATGTAGGTATTCTGTGCAAATTTTCAGCTCCCTAAGACAACATTACATACCTGCATAAGATGTGTCACTCTTCGTTAAGAAATCTATCATATGCAAATGAAGCTATTAAGCATCCTTTTAACTGCTTGAATATAAAGTGGGGGATCTGGGGCTTTGGGCTATCTAGTTTTTATAACTCAAATGTAAATATTTCAGGAAGAGTGATTACCTCAAAATATGAGATGCATATCTGTCGATCCTATGTCAATTTATGAAAACATTGTTTTTTCTCAATGAGGACTTTTGTAAATCAATCCTTGAGCAAGCTGAGCGTTCTGGTAGATTCGTCCTTCCCGGTTGAGCAAAGAAATTTCAGGAGAGTATCGGCTTTGAAAAGGGAGTTGAAAGATAATTCTTTGACCCTGCTCCAGACTGACAAGAGTGGCTTGTTTGCAGTGCTCTCGGATGGTATTTTTAATGAGAAAGCTTTGGTGGCTGTTTCCGAGTTATTTGTAAAGAGTAATGAAAATGTTACGGTTTTAAAACATGATGTGTGTAAGATTTTGGCAGAGGAGGAGATCACGGCTACGCTAAACGGAGTGAGCGGCGCTTCACGCTCTTCTTTTGGTTTAAAGTTTTTAGTAAAAGATCATAAAGTAGATTTCCCCTTCCGTGTGGTAATTAACGAAAATGGTTCTTGGCAAAAGTCGCTTGCGGTTTTCCTTCAGGGATGTTTGGGCCATGTCAATCTGGAGGGCAGTATTGCCCTTAGGAACTCGGAAGAACTAATTGAGGGCATTTCTCCCCTGCATCGCAGCTCGTGCACGTTGATGTCCCTGGACATCAAAGATTTGTATTATTCTTTAGATAGCGTGTTGTGGAGCTTTTAGAAAAAAATTTAGTCTCTTTTCAGGCCAAAGCGGGTATTTCTGTAGATGCGGTACTGGAGCTTCTGACGTGCTATCTGAAGGCAACTGTGCTTAACTTTAATGGTGACAGTTATATACAGCGGAAAGGTGTGTGCATCGGTTCGGCGGTGGCTCCCGTGTTGACTGAGTTTTATCTTAACACTCTTGACAAGAAAATAACAGATTTTGTTGGCTCTTTGGGTGGAGAAAGGTTTTTGGTTCGGAGGTTTGTTGATGATATCTTGGTTTGTGCTCCGAATCAGCTTTCTGCTACTCAGATCCATGATTTTATTTTGACCGCTGCACCGGAATTAAAATTCACCTCTGAATCAGCGAAAGATGGGAAGTTACAGTTTTTGGACTTGCAACTATTTAATAAAAGGGGGCTTTGCTGGTCTTATGGTAGGGAAACCGTAAAGAAGGTTCTTTCTAGATGGAGTGCTCATTCGAAACTGGTTAAAGGGGGGGTGGTGAGATCGTTAATTGGCAGTGCACTGAAGAAATCTTGTTTTCATTGTGTTGGTAATGCTTTCGACGTTCAAATCAAACGTTTACTGTCGGCGGGTTATAGTTTAGATTTTATCGTTTCTAGTACACATAGACTGCTTGTACGCGCGTCGGTGACCGCTGAGAGGGTTCAAGGTAGAACCTTTGCTGTGATTCCTTATTTTCATGGTTTTTCTCATAGCCTAAAAGCCTTGGATGCGAAATTTAACGTTAATTTTAGGATGGACTTCCACTTACACAAGCTTACTCCGTTTGCCTTTAGACGTGAGGGTTGTTGCGGGAAAAAACGCAGAGATCCCTCAGTCTTCTGTGTCGCAGAGGTGGTCTACAAGATCCCCTTTGACTGCGGATTGTGTTATGTTGGTCAGACGGGGCGTTGTTTGAATGACCGACTTGCGGAGCATAAAAGGTGTGTAAAGAATTTGGCGCAGAATTCTGAATTGGTTAATCATGTTAGTTCTTGTAATTTTTGTTCCCCTCTTTGGGATGAAACTTCCGTTCTGTGTAACGAAAAAGAATTGTTTAGAAGGCTAATTAAGGAGACTTTGTGCATTCGCGAGCGGGGGAATTGTGTGAGCCAGCCGTCCTTGGTTATCAGTGATCGGATGAAAGAGTTTTTGCTTGTATGAGGGGAGCTTTGTAAACCTTGAGAAGGGGGGGGGGAACCGGGAAGCGTTTGCTTGGAGTAGGAAATGGGGATTAGGCTTTAGTGGTTTGGAGGTCACCATGTGTGGTGATCGTGGGGTTGTTGTTGTTGAGGTGGTCGGCTCCCTTTCCGAAAGTTGTTGGAGCCGGGGAGTGGCACAGGCTGTCTGGGGTGAACGCGTTGGCCGTCTTGTTTTTTGCTTTTGAGTTATTTTTGCCCTTTCTCTTTTCCTTTTGTGTGAAAGTCTATTTATTGGTATGCTCATATCAATAAAACTCAGCTGCATTTGAGATTTTGTTGTGTTCGTCCGTTTTTTTATCGTTCCCCATCTCAGGGTTTACAAGATGTTAATTTTACCTTCGAACAAAAGATTCCTTCGTATGAAATTTTCAGCAAAAAGCGGAACTGAGAAAAATGCATTCAAAACTTTATTACTGCCTCACAATGTGTTGAAAATATTTTATATCAACGTAACTATTTGGAGCATGGTTATGAAATTTAGTGTAAAGGTGTATAATTAGCTTCTAAAACCGAAAACCTTAAACATGAAAAAATGAATTCTTAGGGGCAAAGCTCCTTAGGGTCTAGCCTTGTCCGGCGTTCGTGCTCACATCGATTGCCATCCCATGTCTTCTTAAAAAAAGAAAAAATGTTTGCGCAGTCGACAGGATTCGAACCTGTGCGGGGAGACCCCAATGGATTTCTAGTCCATCGCCTTAACCACTCGGCCACAACTGCGGGACGAGTAGGGGGCTTTGAGATGTGGTAATAACTCAAGAGCTGGGGATGTCATGGATGAAGCGTTGCGTGTAGCCGCTCAACGTCTATACAGGAGAGGGCGCTGCGGTCAAATGCGTATATAATCGCATTAAACTTTGCATGCATTGGCTCAACGTTTATAGACGAGAGGGCGCTGCGGTCAAATGCTCAAATGCGTATATAACCACATTCCATACCACACATACTCTTTCTGACATCAGCACTACCTATGAACAAAATCAGTATCATCAGCACCACCAGAGCTTCGCCCCAATCAACATCATTCACCACATGGAGATGCGGTCATTTTGTTTTTTTAAAAAATTTTAAAACTTAGGCCCATGTCCCCTTTTAAGTTTTATTTCGGTGTTTTCTAAACAAATCCTCTGGAAGTGACAAGATTGGGGTCAGAGTTTCTCATACCTCTTTCCAGATGCTGAATGTTGTGCAGGAGCTTTGTGCCTGCAAGGGCTACACCTTCGTGCGGCTGGACGGGTCGACATCTTCCACACAACGCCTGGAAATAGTGGAACGCTTCAACTCTGCACATTCAGACTGCTGTACGTCACGGTTGGCTGGTGCCACATTAATTGTGTGAAGTGTGGAGCTATATGTAAATTTACTATTAGGATGTGCTTTTGGTGTTGACTTTGCTGGTATGGCAACTCTGTATGGCAACCCTGGTAAGGACTTGCGTTCAGCCAGAGAAAATGGAAGGCAACACTGAAGCAGTCTCAAAAATCATGGTTAGGACATTAACTAGAATGCACAATAGCTGTTGATGCAGGGCTTTGTGATATTTTGATGCACTCTTACATTTACCGGACATATTTCCAAGCTCATAAATATGCTCTGGATGACCGACAGCACGGGCTTGTTCTCTCAACTAGGAAGGGAACTCTTGCAATTAAGCCAAATTTCATGGTGGCACCGCTTTCCACATCTCTATGTTAGAAATATGTAGCGCTTCTGACAGACTGCCTTGTCTGCTCTTTGCTCTTCCATATTAGTTGTGTTCCTGCTGAGCTGCAAGGCTGGAGGCGTGGGCCTGAACCTGATTGGGGCCAGTCGCATCGTGCTCTACGACGTGGACTGGAACCCAGCCAATGACCTGCAGGCCATGGCACGAGTGTGGAGGGACGGCCAAGGACGCCATGTCTACGTCTACCGTCTCGTTACCACCGTTAGTGCCTTCTTCTTATGTAGCACTCAAGTGGTTCAAGCATTCGTCTTGGGGCACAAACTCAATCTATGCACCGGGTTTCACCCTACACATTCTAAACAAACCCCAAAATTACGATCATGCATGGCCCCTTTCTCTTTTTCTTAGATATATCTTAAGAAAAAGTTGTTTCGTAATGTTTGGATGCGTTTTCAATGGAGAGTGTGACTTTGCACGAGTGTAATTTTGTGCTTTTCATAACGTTTAGAGCGCAAAGGTTGAGCTTGTGCAATAAAAATATAACTCAAAAACCACTTAGTGTCCCTTTAAGGATTTAGAGCAAACAAATATACAATAAAAAATAACGTACAGTAATTTTTCTCCCTAGAGTTTAAGGCAATTCAAGCTTTTATTCCATAGTACTAAAAATTCTGCCGCATAAAATAATGTCAGGCAGAAGTGGGGAGTGGTCACTCTCTGAGTAATGTAGTACAAGCAAGTAACAAAAAGGTTGAAGGATTTCTAGCATTTGAGATCCTCCTCTGCATTCTAACCGCAAGCTTTTGTTCTTTCGTCCACTCTAGGGCACCGTGGAAGAGAAGATTTACCAGCGCCAGGTGATGAAGCTGGATCTGAGCAGAACGGTCCTGGAGAAGAAGCAGGATGGAAAAAAGGCCAAGTTTTCACTTGAAGATCTCAAGGTCAGCTTCTACAAAATGCCTCTCTGTGATGCTTGCCCTAAAGAAGCCCGTCCCACTTTCTCGCGCAGATTAGCTTGATTCCGCCGTCTTATAGAATTCTCTTAGTGCACAGAGTAAAGTCACTCTAATACAGAACAGTTAAAGGTGAGTGACAGCATGGTACGGTACTATAATAATGATATGCAAGGCTGTGATGAATATGCTTATAGTTAAGAGTGCAGCACAAGCTCTGCCTACAGCCTGCGCTCATTGCCTTCCTCCGGTTTTTGACTGTGTGTGCGCCGTAGAGTTATCAAAGACAGAATGCTTGTGCTGGAAGGGGATCTACTGCATTCTTAACCTGTCACTGATTCCAGATCTTTTTTGCTTACTCTCGCCCCCAGCCACCTGGGAGGCATGTTTGGTACGGGCAATGAAAAAAAATAATAAAACATTTTAACCTGCATATAGGCAAAAAAAAAAAAAAAAAATAGAGGGGCGACAAAATGAGAATGGGTGACGGTTATGTTTACATTCTAAATGTATTCTATTGACGTGGCAACGGCGAAACAATGTTTTCGCCCATACTGGAAGTGCCGATATTTCAAGATGGCGGTGCTCTTATGAAGAAAGGTCTAAAGGATTTATTCTTTGCGAATATTCGAATTTTCGAGTAGTAGTTTAGAATAATACGCTATTCAGTATTTATTCCAAGATGAATTGCGACATTGCCACGCGCGTCGCCGAGCGAGAGCATGCGTGGCCAAATGGTTACCACGCTTGACTGTTGCGCTGGAGATCTGGGTTCGATTCCAGGTAGCGGAATGTTCTTTTATTTATCCTTTCTACTTCTCGTTCTCGCAAGTTTGAGAACTTTCTCGTCTCATCGAGTTACGAATGTTCTACATGCCGAACATTCTAGGCCGAATGTTCCATAAACCCACGCCGGTACAAAAGGTGCTCCGTGTGGCGAGCCAGAGTCAGTCTTGCTCCAGCACTCGATCCTGCTGTTTCGCCGACATCGAAACCTGCGACGCTAACTTTTATTTTGTTTTGGGCACAAGTTCGCCCCATTAAACATTTGGCTTCTTCAGTTATTCTTTGCCTCATCATTTGTTATTCGTGAAAATATTAATATTTTTCCAAGTGTTAATTGCGGCGGGTTAGCCCTGTTGAGAGCGCTTCTTATCGAGCACCGGTGCACTGCGGAGAAGCAACACCCGCAAAGCTCTCTTCTGCGGGTGTGGCTTCCCCGCAGTGCACCGGTGCTTGGAAAGAAGCGCATTTATCTGGGCTAACCCGTCATGATCAACACATTAAAAAATATGAATATTGCAGTTGCGTGCTTAGGAGGAAAGCTCATTTCCAAAGTGGGTGCGTGCACATGTGCGCCTGATGTATTTAAAAAGAACTGAAAACTAAACAAATGTTGATATCTACATTTCAGTAAGATTTTACAAAATTAAATTGGCATGCTTAAGTATATAATTAAGCACAGGTGTCCTGACAACCTGTGTTAATCATACATGATTGGAGAAAAGATATTTGCATATAGCCAGAATACTTATAAATTCCCTTGATTAGGTGTAGCTAAGCATCTCTATACACCAACACGCGGCGCCGATGTCGCACCGCTGCAGTGACGCAGCTATTGGCAGGGCACATGCACAGATGCTCCACTTCACACGAATCTGGTTCCTGCGCATGCGCAGTGCCCCCACCTCATGCGGAAACCGCGCGTTTGCCCACGCCTCGTGAGGGCTTGTAAACGGCGCATTGCGGCATTGGCCTATAGGTTTAATTTTATGTCAAATGCGTCGTTTGCTTGCCACCCCAATGTAGGCATTGCATTGCGATTTCAGAGGACAGTCAACAAATATAGTTAGGATTAACATTAACCTTTCTTGGAAATGGACAAGTGGAAGCTTAGCAACAACTTTTACAGGTTCTGCTGGGTTTTCGTTTAAGCATGTTGCAGTAGTGGAAGGCTATGAGAAGCCATTCAATATTCAAGTAAACAATATTCGTCCAGAACCACTATTTGCTCCGAATTCACTTTGAACTCGGAATCTACTATATTTGCACGTGCCTAGTGCTGCGTATTTGTACGCACTCACTAGATGTCGCCACCGACCCACTCCGTAACGACTGCACCGAGGAAGGCTAAGAAACTCTCGTCAGAGGGGGCCGACCCTGAAACCGCGAGGATGGAAAGCTGCTGTCATTTCGGCTGCTTGTTATTAGTTAATAAAGTATAATGTTAAAACCCAACCCCGAAGTTCATAACAACTGGTGAAAAGAAACGGATCAACTACAAGCCGGAGAAGTCGCCAAGCAGCAGCACCACGGTATGACCCAATAGGAATCCTATGGATCTTCTCTGTGCGCGAACTTTCTGCACACAAATTCCAAAACTATAGGGCGACTTTTGGCAAGCTAGACGAATCCGACAACAGGGCTAGTGTAAAGTGGACCTCTCTTACTGACGTTCACACGAAAAAACTCGCCTGAAAACTAAAACATTATGTTACATAGAAAGGGTTGATGCGTTCTTCAATGCAACCGGCATCGAGGACGACGAGAAGAAATGAATCTTCGTATCAACCGTTGGGACCAGCACCTATGCGACACTCTGGAGTGTGCTAGCACCTGCAAAGCCAAAAGAGAAGTACAAGGAGCTCATGGCTACCTTGAACAGTCACTTCAGCCCTCCATCGTCTGAAATCGCCGAGAGTTTTCTCTTCAACACACAAGTACAGCTTGAGAACGAGAGTGTCGCTACATATTCGTCGCTGAACTTCAGCAGATTGCAGAACACTGCAACTTTAAAGCAGCTCTCAACCTCGCGCTGAGGGACCGCCTCATGTGTGGGATACAGGACAAGACTGTGCAGCAAAGACTGTTGGTAGAGAGAAACCTAACCCTGGAGAAGGCCGTCGAAATCTTGAGGTCGGCAGAAGCAGTGGAAAGCAATGCGACCGAGATACGAAGAGGCCACATGGACACACACACTTCGGGAAACCAAGAAGGTACCACCAATCATCTTTTACACAAAGAAAAATGGTAGAATCCAGAGGCCACAGCTAGAAAGAAGCCAGGACCACAAGTGCCTGCATTTGTTGTGGTTCCTGGGCGCCCTCGGATTGCCCGCACATCAACACAAAGCGTTACAAGTTTGAAAAAGTTAGGCACCTGGCAAGTTGCTGTTTGTCAAAGATTGACAAGCCAAAGAAGCAGTCCACGAAACAAGTGAGCGCGCCGGAACCAATTGTGGAGGAAGTGGGTGGAGGAAGGATGGCCACAAAAGCCTCCGGACAAGTCACTCCAAACATTTTGGAACAGTTGTGATGAGCGAAGCGTGCATTGAAATCTCCTCTACTGGGGAAACTGAGTGGTTGTACCAACCCCTGCTCGCCAGCATATCTTAGACCTGCTGCATGAAAGTCACCAGGGAATGGTGGTCATGAAAGGTATGGCGAAATCTCTTGTGTGGTAGCCGAACATGGACGCAGAAGCAGAGCGCTGTTCACGACAATGTTCACAGTGCCTCCAGAACTCTCCAATGCCACCAAAAGCAGAACCGGTACCCTGGCCCGAGTCAAAGGAATGCTGGGAGCATCTGCATCTCAACTACGCAGGACCATTCGAGGGAAAGATGCTACTGGTGTTGGTAGGTGCGAAGTCAAAATGGCTTGAGGTCGTCACTGTGGCAAGTGCCACATCCGAGCAAACCGTAGAACACCTATGTGACATTTTTGCAAGGTTTGGACTACCAAAGTGCATCGTAACAGACAGTGGAACTCCATTCACTGGTGAGCCCTTCCAAGACTTTGTTCAAGGAAATGGGATCAAGCATCTCTAAACTGCCCCTTTTTATCCTGCATCTAAAGGCAATTGGCAAAATGAGCTGTTTGCACGGTTAAGGATGGCCTCAAGAAAACAGAGGGAAGAGACCTCAAGCTCCGACGTGCTCAATAATTGCTCATGTATCGCCGAGCACCCCATCCGAGCGGAATGTCTCCAGCAAAACGGATGCTGGGTTATCCAATGAAAGCAATACTGGACCTCTGTATTCCCAGGAGGGGTGAAGAGGCAATTCTGGAGCAGTTGCCAAAAGAATCTAGGCAACGGGCCAAGCAAGAAGAAAGGGAAAAGAGACTACGCCACAAGAAAGGGGACAGGGTTGCAGTTCGTACTTTCGACATGGGACCTCGATGGTGGTTAAGCGAGGTTGACAACACTAGCAGAACATCCATTGTGACTGTATAAACTCCGCAAGGGCAAGTGCACCGCCACAACGACCACGTCAAGCCACACTTGACCACTTTGGCATCAAGTCCTGGGGAACAACTATACCACCTGACAAGGACCAAGGCTACACGAGTGAACCAAGGACAGTAGAGACTGCAAGGACGCGTTGTATGAGACGACCCACACAAACTGTCTGCAAGCCCCTAAGATTCACATAGCCTTCATTAAGGAGGTAGCCTTCATTAAGAAGTGAGGAGTGCTGTGTATTTGTACGCCCTCACTAGATGGCGCCACCATCTCGCTCTGGAACCGCGAGGATGGAAGGCTGCTGTCATTTCGGCCGCTTGTTATTAGTTAATAAAGTATTATGTTAAAACCGAACCTCAAAGTTCATAACACCCAATTGTTTTTCTTTGGCTGGCTTTACTGTAGGCTGGTCACACTGCCTTAAACTGCATGCATAAAAAGTCCTCATTAAATGTTAGAGTGCTGTCAAAATGAGAGATAGTCTGTATTTTGGGAGCATGTTGGAAAGACGTGAGCTAGCACTTGCAGCTTTCATGGATGCGAGAATGAAGTTTGCATACTTAGGGTAATCGCCCCAAATCTATGCTACAGCACTCGGAGGGTTAATCGAAAGCTCTCTTCTAAAAGCGTAGGCTGGATTTTGATTTTGGCATAGTTTGAACTAGCAAAACAAAGTGTTAGTAGTACATTCCTAAGCCAAAAATGAAGTCAAACGTAAAAAAAAAAAAAAGAAAAGCAAAAAAGTTCTTGGTGTGTCACAGTTGACTGATAATCCTGGGAGTGTGGAGCGTTTGTGTGAAGCAGGGTTGTTCAGGGATACACAATCGCACCTATGATGACTGCAAGCTCTGGCTTGTCTCTTTTCAAAAGCTCCCGTTGTGACAGAACAGGCTTCCTGTGAAATTTCACGAGAAATGTTTGCGAGCATATATTTATATCTAAATTTGCTATGGCAGGGAGAGGAAATATTTAAAGTTTAGATTCAAATTTCATGCTTACTGAGCCTGATTTATCTGGTAATGGTCACGGTCATCTAGTGAAGGATAAGAAGAAATGTTCAAAGAGCGGCTTCTACATCAGAGCACCGTACGAAGGGCTGTTGACAACTTTTTCGTAACGTTTTTATATAACAGCCAGGAGCAGTTATAATGGTGGCAACTGCCCCCTCCCTTCCCCCTTCCTTCCTCCCCCCCCTCTCCTCCCCTTCCTTCCAATTCCCCCAAAGGCAACTTTCTTTATAGCAAAAACAACATACAGCAGCTTTTCTGAGGAAGAAATGTTTAGTTTTTGGTAGAATGGCAATTATTAGGTCAACAAAATAGATCCTGGTAGCGCATCGCCCGTGACGTCACATCTGTCCGTGACATCCAGTCTCTCTGCAGAACTTTCCCACCCCAAATGCCCCCTGCAAAAAGCCGCTGATAACAGCCACTACCTCACAGTGTCATAATCAATTATTTCTCATTGCTGGTGCGTAGATTTGATCTGACAAATGCCAGAAAACTTTCAGCCCAGTTATACGCAGGCCGGAAGGGTTCCAGGGCTACTCGATAGATGGCGTCGGGGTGCCGGTGCATTCTTTAGTCGCAGGCGGTTATGAGGGAACGCAATACCCTCGAGCACACTCAACGCGGACGTGTGAACCAACTTTAATAGTGATGCCCCAAAACAGGCTTCTGCTTTCCCCCTCTGCTTCACCCCGTTCTTATAAACCGGCTGTTCCACCCAACAGGACCTGTTCACGCTCGAGGAGGGCACTGTGAGTTCCACCCACAGACTTCTGGGATGCCCGTGCGACCATGAAAACAACCCGGAGATGGACGTCTCCGTCGACCCCTTTCCGTCCGAAAACGCAGACACGGATGTTGCCGCAGAGGCCGTGTCAGCAAAAAGCCAACGGAACTGCCAGCTTGGAACGCCACCTGCCAGCAGCAGCATACTCGGAAAGGTTGGTTGCCCTCGACGCTTGGAGTAAGCCCAGCTAAAAAAGTCGGAAACATACTTTTTTTTCCTTAGTTTAAAATTGATAGAATACATTCAATATGTATGTAGAATGCGGCGACATTTGAAGTCGTCGAGTCGCCACAAAATTGGTTCGAGGCATTAAAAGATGTGTCTAAACTGGTAACCCAAAATACGAGTTACAATAATTTTTTTTGCAAAGTTATTGAAGTTTAACTTTGATCCAGGAGGCTCTACCGGCAACACTGAAAATGTGACGTCAGCTGTCTAATAGGGGGAAGCAGAGCTTGTTCTGGACAGGTTATGGGAAGTTTGACGGGGTGGATTGAATGCCAGTTAAACTGCACCAGCGAGACAAAAAAAGAAAGCGTAAAATACCACTTATTTCAGCTCTACGCGCAGGTCATATAGCATGCGACGTCGCCCCACTGAAGGGAACATGAAAATTTGAATGGTGGTTTTGGCACAACCTTTGTTTGCCGTTTTCTCAATAGCTATTATGAATTTACAGAGACAATAAATACTAGCATGCCAGGAAGAGTAAATGGTGGGTATTTAAAAAATCTGTTTAGTTTGGGTTGCTCAAAAAGCTGCCAAAGCTTAAGAAAAGTAATTCAAGTTTCTGTATTCCTGTAGTGTTTGTACTCTAGGATACTTTTTTTTTTGTTGCCATTTTTGCATAAGCATCTGAAATATCTTGATACATCTCAACACTTGTTATTATTTTAGCCCTCCAGTACATGTATCTCAGTATATATACTGTATTCCCAAATACTTTTCTTTAGGGAAATTCTAGTATTCGAGTAGTATATCTTTAGAGAAAATCTAGTATTCGAGTAGTATATCTTTAGAGAAAATCTAGTATTTTACCTCTGGACAACTAAGTTATGCTATTGGCACCTGCCGTAAATTACCGAGCAAGCAAGCGCCCACACAAACTTTGAAGATAATCCCCAAAAAGTTGGGGATGCGCACTTGTTAGGTTATCAGTTTGACATATATTTGTATTGTGCACTTTCTTTTTTTTTTTTTTTTCAATGTTACAAAATTTGGGGGGGGTGCTTGCGTGAAATGAGCAGATGCTCGGTATTTTACGGTATGTACAAGTTGAGCCTGACCTAAAGTTTGGATTTCCGAGTGCAGAAGCTTGGTGTGGGCAACTTGCTCAAGTGGGAACACATTCCAGCACCCATTGGATGCCGTTTTATTCAGGCAAGTTCACAAAACCTGCATTCACCATTGTACGAGATTAGCTATTACTTACTTTGTTTTTGGTCTCACCATGTTTATAAAGTGCACTGGGCACGAGTAAAGAGTGAATTTTTAGTTGGAAGTGAATTCGAAGCGAATACTATTGTTATATTGGCCGGATATTTCTGAATCAAATGTTGAATAGTTTCTCCAAGCCTTTCATTACTGCACCATGCTTAAATGAAAACCCAGCTGAATTTGTGAAGGCCTTTCCCAAGCTTACACTTGTTCTTATCTAAGCTGCATTAATTAATTTATTCCAACTTCTATAAACTTTTCCAGTGGCAGCCTCGAAAAAAGAGATTTACAGCGCGCGTCCCTGGTTTTCAGTGTATGTCAGTGTTGCCTTTCTGCGCTGTGGGTTTTCTCGTCAGTGCGCTGTGGCAGTTTGCTTAGGTGCAATTTCGTACACTGGTGGCGGCTAAATTAACGCGTTTCATTATTTCTTTTGTGTTCTATGGCGAATAATATTTCTTTAAGTTTCTAAGAAAGCATTGTACTATTTTTGGAAACAAAAACAAACAAATGAAAGCTATTTTTGTGAGTCGGTGCACGACAGAACAAATACAATTGGAATGTTTGTTTCATTTCATATTGATTTTTTACTATGCCATACACTCAGCCGTGTCACTCTACAAAAGTCTTAACTGTAAAAAATATTTGACCACATAGGATAGCCGATATTCGTGGGTATTTCCCACTCACAACACGAAATTTAACGAGTCTCATCAATCGAACAACATATTGTACGTACCCCACAGTGCAGCGTTATCCGAACAGGATTTATTTGAGCAAGATCTCAAATAACACAGCATGTCCCATATACAGTGTCTACAAGTCACTTCAGGATGAGTGGACGGAATCCAACGTTTCTTTGGGCACGTTTTGAAGACAGCCGCTTTTTTGTATAACTCTGAAGCAAATGAACGAACATGTCTATTCCATCCCCATACCCCGGACGCTATCAGCTACTTTTAGCGAAGACCGGGAACATAGCCGGGGGAAGAATTTTCGGAGATTATCTCGATGGAAATAATTCTCGAAGGACGTAAAACGGCTCGCGTCGCAGGCTGCTTGACGTTCGCTTTCTTTGTTTGTTTCCTGCGAAGGCCAAGCAGGCCTTCGCAGGAAACTGTTATTCCCTAGTTCTCACGTTGTAAGATAACACACAAAGGGTAAGCATCCTGAACAAGCAAAATAAAGTAAAAACTTCCAAGAAAAGCCAGCAAACTCCAAATGCACAATGCAGGTGGGGAGTCGCACTGACCGGGTTTCCACAGCTCAGGCAGGTGGGAGAATTTTCTGGCTGATAGGGGTCTCCCCAGTCGCAAGATGGCGGCGGCCAGGCAGCTACTTTCGCAAAGGTCTATACACCAACTCAACACTTACGTTATGCCGCGATGGTGGTGCTTCGGGTGCACTTCCGGTCTGGGGATGTGGGCAGAAGTTGCCATGTGGAACAAGCATTCCTCTCTTGTCTGTTGTGTTGGAGACCAAACTAAAACCTGCCTTTTCGTTAAAACGCTGGAACTGGGGCCGTACCAAAATAGCCGGGAAAGGAGTGAAGATCAGTTTTCATGTATTTTCTGCCTGCTTGGTTCGTTCGAGAATGTAGATAGGTGCCATGAAAAGCGAAAACTAGACACCGTCGGGCCACAATTGCTTATTGCGTGTGCAGGAAGTACTTTGGGCTGAATTCTCGGATACTGGTCAGACTTGTGTTTTTTTCCAACATGAACGCGGGAAAACCATCAAGTTGTCCGGACCACCCACGGACCTCATTTAGTGAATCTTCCCACTCAAGTGGCTGTCTCATCGTTCAAACTGTCGTCCGCTCGTCCCTACGACAGCAACCAGTAGACCAAGCGTTGCGATAAGTAAGCGCAGGCCTTGTAAATTTCACTCGGGCAACTAAAGTAGTAAGACACTGTTAGGAAGATGTAGAAGCAACAATCCCAACGCGAAAAAGGGCACGGAAACTCACACCAACGCCAACATCACATTTCAATAGTTTGTTGATGCGGGATGCGGGGGTTCTTGTCTTGCCCACACCCCATCGCGCATGCTTGGCACCAGTGGCGGGCCGCTGGGAGCGCTCCGGTTTCTTTGTAAACACGAGTTGCTGTATATTTAGGGACTGCAGCCTCAAAATGTTTAATGTCTACATTGGGATGGCAAGTCAACAACGAGTTTGACATAAAATTAAACCTATAGATCCCCAGCTATACCTAATCCAGGGGATTTACAGGTTTCCTTGCTATATGCGAGTATCCTTTCTTCAATCGTGAATTTGAAAAGACAAAACTCCCTTATTATGAATGCCGATCGTCACGGCATCTCTGCTCAACATATACCCTATTCACTCGCACAATGAACGCACTCGCGTAATGAACGCACCCCCCAAGTCGGAACTCAAAATTTCGACTTTTTTTTCACTCGCGTAATAAACGCACCCCCAACTCGGACGTCAAAATTTTGACCCCACTCCCCCCACGCACGCGAAATGAACGCACTTTTCTATCCTGGTGCAGCGAGGTCGCGAAATCCATGGGCAGCGTGGGCGAATATAACGCCTTGCAAAACGCGTTAAAAAAATTCGCAAAGATCCAACGGAAGCAAAAAAAAAACATGGAGGAGCTTTTTTTTTTTTTGAACAGCGCAGTCTGGACTTTGGGTTCGCGCTCCGCCGCGCGCAAGGAGGTAAGAAAGAGAAGCACTCTAAGCGAACGAAACAGCTTGCGAAAAGCGGCAAAAAGAAAAAAAAAAAAAAAAACACGGAACTAAAAGAAAACAAAAACAAAGAGCTTTTTTCTTCTTTCTTTTTGCACAGCACAGTTTGGTTACGGGGGGTCGCGCGCCGCGCGCAAGGAGGTAAAAAAGAGGAGCGGAGAAGCCCTCTAAGCAAAGAAAACAGCTTGCGAAAGACGGCAAAAAAAAAAAAAAAAAACAATTTAGGGAACTGAGAAAAAAACAAAAGAAAAAGAGGAGCTTTTTCTTCTTTTTTTTTTTGCACAGCGCAGTTTGGTTACCCGGGGCCGTGCGTCGCGTGCAAGGAGATAAGATAAGCGGAGAGCCCTCGCCTAAGCAAACAAAACAGCTTGCAAAAGATGGCAAAAAAACAAAACAAAAAAACTTAAGGATCTAAAAAAAAAAAAAAAAGGAAAACAGTTTTTTTTTTTTTTTTTTTTTGCACAGCTCAGTTTGGTTACAGGGGTCCGGCGCCGCGCGCAAAGAGATAAGTTACATCGATTTTTCAGGATAAAAGGTCCGTTTATTATGCGAGTAAATACGGACGCAAAATTTTACTTGGCCTAATGAACGCCCCCCCCCCCCCCCCAACTTTGCATTGATTTTTCGGGAAAAAAAGTGTGTTCATTCTGCGAGTAAATACGGTACTCTCGCATAATAGCCAGTTTACTTTTCAAAATTTTGTGCATTGTAGATATGAACATTTACAGTTTCCATTTTTTTTTAAACACACCAGGCATGTGTGTGCATCATCCCGGTTTTAAAGTGTCATTTTCCCATATGCGACCGCAATATAAGTGTTGATTGTGGCGGGTTAGCACCATTGAGCACGCTTCTTACCGTGAACTGGTTCACTGCGGAGAAGCAACATTTGCAGAAGCAAGCTCCGAGATGTGTTGCTTCTCCGCAGTGCAGCAATACTCGATAAAAAGTGCGCTCCACTCTTCGAAAGGTACAAGAATAGCAGTTCATCTCGAAGCAATTCTAAATTCTAAAAAATAGTATGCCTGTAAAGAAGCATGCACATCACTTTTTTGCTGTCACCAAAACATGCCAAAATAACCAGTCACTCACAGTGTGTCTTCATCAGATCTATTTTCTCGTCTATTGCTTGTCAAAAACACTCAACACGCTCAAACAGAGTGAATAAAGTAATCAGCACGCACACACATAACAGAAAAACAACTGTCCAAAAAGGAAAACACTTGCTGTGGCTCTTTTTCCAGGATCCACACTTGGCCGCAGCAGAAGAGGACATCACCTTTGTCTTCCGAAATACAACCTCAAAGTCCTAATAGTGAAGGAACAAGCTGCACAAGGCAGCTCATTCTGTCGCTCATCCAGCATACCGACGCACACAGCAAACGTGCAATATGTTGAGTTACTAGTTAGTGTATAGAATTTTCATCAGTGGCAGCGAACCATTTTAGAACCATTAAAAAGGAATAAACACGAGAGAAACTTTGGTCGATAGCTTTTCTGTAACTTTTTCCAGAGAGAGAAAAAGAAGTATTTGTCCGAGGTAGAGCATTTTTGCATGTTTCCTCAAGATAAAACGTACCGGGGAAGAACATGCAGGGAGCAAAGGAACGCCGTTATCCCACGCAGATTTTGGTGACGTCCTGCCCAGTGTTCCTTTTAAATCGTCTAAGTGTCTGGGCATTGAACGTTCTTGCAATAGGAGCGTAAAGCCCGTGCTTCATGCGCTGTCGTCACGAGCGCACATATCCTGAGTGCAGTTCCCTGTGAATTTCTCTTTCCAAAGAAATTTGAGCAGCGTTCAATTGGAACATGGGGCTGAGGCACGGCTCCATCTTGACAAGGCGACTGGTTATGCTGCCAGTTCCATCAAATGACATCCTTCTTGCATGTGATGAAGTGTAGCGAGCTGGAGACGACTTCAGACATGGCATCTGTGTCTTCCTGCCTGTTTGCAAGGTCTTTCTGGAAATGAAAACAAAACAAAAAAACTAGATGATATGCTTAGCTATAGAACAGGAACTGTTATTGAATTCTCCTCGAGACACTAATCTAAAGCCGATACTGCTGGTGTTTATAACATTTAAATTGTACAGGCAAGCCTTCGTTTAATATAGGTGTTCCTCGAATTTTCTTCTCCTAGTCCTTGTTGCAGGAAAGAGTTCTCGGTGAAGTCAACCCTTACGGAATCATTCTATAGTCTGTTACAACCTAAGAGCGAAGGGCGAGGGTAAGGAGGGCCGGGGAGGAGGAGCAGACTGAACGCTAAAGGGAGAAGGAGGTTTCCCCCTTTCTTCTCCAGCGTTCCGTCTGTGTCCTCCTCCCCAACCCGTCTTACCCTCGCCCTTCGTTCTTAGGTTGCAACGGACTATAGTCAAGTTCACATTTATCTTATAAGGTGTGCTTATAGAGCTCAGAGGCCGAGCTTAAAACACTGTCAGGAAAAAAAGCAGCTACTTCCATCTTTAGCACATGCAGCAAGCACTGGTAATTTTACCCACAACAGTCCAGGCTTCTGTCATGCAGACATTGGTAACAAATTAATTTTCGAAGCTGTCACTTTATGTTGTCGTAAGCAGTCATGAGGAAATCTTTGTACACTCAAATGGAATGTGTGAGCCAACGTTATACTCCAACGTCGAGCATAGCAAACCCGGCGTGGCACAGTGCACACAGACACTGATTGGTCCCAGATATCGAGTTCCTGCTCACTGGCCAATGAAAGGCACGCATTCTAAAACGCACATGTGTGATCCAGCCCTCGGAAGAGACGGCACGCGGTGACAAGTGGCGCATCCCACCTGAATGCCACCGAAGAGCACCAGCTCCCCGCGCCCCAGCACGAGGGAGTAGAGGATGACCTCCTCCACCATGGAGGTGGCGCCCCCTCCACCGTGGGGCTGCAGGGGCAGCCAGGCCGCCCGGGCCTCTCGGGCCGCCTGCCGCACGTCCAGCACATACAGCCGCATGGGGCACGCCGCCGTGGCTGGGCGCCGTCGCAGCGGGGCGGGCACCTCGCGCTGGACGCTGCAAACGGGGTTGGCGAGGGAAAAAAGAGCAGGCATTGAGAACTTTAGAATATGACACAGGAAGAGAATGACGAGGAGTTTCTTCCGAATGCTCAAACTTCCAACATGCGCTCGACACCTTCCGCCATGCTTTGGCTGCACCTGCAAGCCCCAAGCTTGCGAGATGCAGAAATGTCGTCGAGGGTAAGAAGCTTGCGCCAGAGGAGGGACAACTGAAATACCTCCCTGCAGTTTTGATCCTGTCAGAAAAGAACAAGAAGATAGCCTAGGCCGGTAGGACAAAGATCCAGGGTGGCAGGATACGTTTTACCGAGAGACTTTTCACCTTTTTCCAGGGTCTCAGGAAAATGCTGACTGCCGCTCTGAGGCATTCGGCAGGTTCTTCTTCGAACGAGTTGGTACTTGCATTTGATGGGGAATGGCAGAGGTTTAGTTTAGATTGTAAGGAAACTTTTAACGTCTAACCGAAATGCCAATTACACGGTTGTTGCGCTGCAATAAGCCTGTCGGACCATGGACCCTGGCCAAGACTCGAGTCGATCCTGCAGACTAGGGATTCATAGGCCTGCACTTCCTCTGGGAGCCACCTAGGCCGCACAGTTCGTTGATTCTCGAGTGAATACAGAGTATGTTGAACAACAGGCAGTCTAATAATTCAGATTACCAGCATAAAAATAGCCTGCCCCATTGTGCTTTGAGTTTGACCTCTTTCAATATGGAACTGCATCCCCACTGAAGCTAACTTCGATCTAGCCTCGAAAGGCGTGCCACGGTCAAAGAGAATTTGCTTAGTTGGCCAGCTGCCAAACACTGCTGCAAGCTCAGCTGGCCACACGACGCAATTGTGAATGAAAAAAAAAAACAACAAAGAAAAGAAGAGCCAGCTGTTGGAGCTTCGAAAAAATAATGAAGAAAAAACCTATACAAAAAAAAAGGACATGATGACAGTGACATGGCGTCACATGCCTGGAGCGCCGAGACTGGAGTTGCTGTTTGCTACATTCCTCACAGAAAGGAATTCTGCATGTGACGGCTCAATCGACAGATAGAAATACAACTGCAAATTTTTCTAAAGGAACTTAAGTACACCAATGAGGCAGTTCCTGGCATCTGCAGTAAAGCTCATCAGCTTTGAGCCAAAACACTGGTTGCCCCAGAGGTGCAACAGGCAGATACATCGAGTTCTTCATGTAGACAGAACACTGACACGACGCAGGCTCGAGAACAGACGTTGGGGGGGCTACTCACTCTCCTGCCCTGAGAGCCTTGAGTCGCTGCTCCATCCGATCCAGGAGCTCGAGCTGCCGCTGCCGGTTCTGTCGCGCGTTGGGCTTGACCGAGGGGCGCGAGCCCGCCTCTTCCCTTGACAGGGCGGTCTTCTTGGGCAGCCGACTGGGACCGCCCTCGCTCCCTTCCTCGTCCTCCTCGCCGCTCGAACTGCCGGCGGCGGATGTACCTGAAGAGCAAGGGCGTGGTTGCGGTATGTTTCCCGCAGGTCCTAATCTAACGTTGGGTTTCTTTCATTAAAGTTGTGGCACTACGACACCAGCTCTACAATAATGTGAGAATAACAGCCTGAAATTACTACTATGGTAGCCACTGAGAGAATGAGAAGTGCGGGACACGCCTTTTTAACGCCCGGCCTCAACCGTGCGCTTCTTGCCTTTTGTCGTGTCGAGAGGGAAGCTTGCGCTGGAGGCGGAAAAACTGAAGCTCCTCCCTGACGTTTTAACCTTGTCAACGACTCTAGTGCCGGAACGACTTTGATGAAAAAAAAACAATGGAGAATGCAATATATATACATGTCCAGACTGTGCTTCTCTAATTTTGTCATCCGCGGAGCCATCCACTGTGCTTCCGAGGTTAGCCGACGTAAAAAAACGACAGTCAGTAACGAACACTGGCTTATATGCGAACGAACGGGGAAAATGGTGGCAAAGGTTCGCCGGCATGGCCACAGATGGCTTGGCACAAGTGGAACGGCATTGCGTGAAAATCCCCTAGTGACGACTTCCGCGAAATATACGGCATCTAGCGGCTAGAACAGAAAGCCGCGGCAACAGGTTCGCTCGCCACGTTCCTAAACCGGAACGAATATTCATGGACCCTGGTGGTCCAACGACGGAGCCGTGAAAGTAGGTTAAAAAATGCGCGACGAAAATCGCCGATAAAAACGAGAGGGCGGGACTTGTTTCTGCAGTCCCGGCGGTCCATCGAATTTACCTGCCCGAGCTGCATCGGAGGGGCAAGCACCGGACGAGGATGGCCCCGACGATGAAAGGGAACTAGGGGAGGAGCCCTCCAGGGGCCTCTTGAGCACGCCTCTCGTCCCATTCACGCACGTCTCTCGCTGCTGCGGCTGCTGGTGGCTGGAGCTCGGTCGAGACCTTCAAACAATCGGCAGGTCAGATATCGCCTGGTCACGGTCTAAGACGCAAGCAGGCAGTGACTTCGACAATTGCCGATTTTTTCCAGTTCAGTACTACCATATGCAGTGCGCTTCATTAGGCTTTACGAATTTATTTTATAAGAGCTGCGCAAGCTCCACAATGCAATCTATGCAGGCGGGTTACACAGCCAGGGGGACATAATGTGGGAGGCAAATTGTCAAAATAAGTCGACTAAGTAACTAAAATTTGTTAATTAACTTTTAAATAGCAAATATAAACACAGTTTCCACTAGAAACTTGCTTCACGCTCTGAAAGTCACTAAATCAGTAATTTTAGAAAGACTGAGCACGTGAGATGTGCAGTGGTGCGCCAAAGTTACCGCTCGTGCAAGTCTGATATATTCTGCCCAGGTTGGGGGCTACCCGAGATGGCGACAGTGTGCCATCGCGTTCTCCCGTCGTAAGTGGTTGGAGTTTCAAGTCACGGATCCCTACCCCAACCAGATCTCTATCCGGATCTAAGTCCCACGTACATTGCCGTCGACCACGCACAAACGCAAAACGTGCGAACAGGCCTTTACGCCGCACCCCTACCAGAGACAAATATCCATGGAAGATATAAATGAAATCATTTCTCGGGGCTCTTACTCACCAACCTCCTTACCATACGCAATGACCCCGACTGCAAGAAAAATCCTCCGGTCTCCTAATCCCAAGACCCCCCAGAGGAGAGGCGACCAAGGCCGCACCTGGACTGAGCGTCGGGTCGGGGTGGCACCCAGGTACGTGATGGGGGTCGCACGCGCAGCATCCCTGCAGGGTGCAGACCCGAGGGCGTGGCATACGCCCTCTGCGCCTTGCTCAGCACCACCACACGGTCGCCCACCTGGAAGCACAAGGACCCAATTTGATGCACTTTACTGGCGGCTTTTGGCGGTACTAGAGCCACCAAATGTGCCACGCATATTTCGCCTCTTCTGACGATTTTTTTTTTTTTTTGGTGTCGGTAACTACGGGGCACAAAAAGCATGAAAACCGATACGACGGCACGAATGCGTTCTGATGGGCGGAGGCACGTTGGGCTGTTCTTCGTTTGTAATTTGCAGGTAGCTCCCCAAATGGTGCTCGGTACTCAAAAAAGGTCCATTCGAAAATGTGACTTCCGGAGTTTTAGATGCAGTGTTGGGAAGCTCAGGCAACATCGTTTTGCTCTGCTGCGGACTGTTGACATTTCTGGAGGACGGAAAAGCGTTTCGTGCAATTTTGGATAAAGCTTTATATAACAGACAATTATGATTTTAAACGCTAAGATTGGGTAACGCCGAGTAGGTTTGACCAGAGGAAAATTGCCAACTTCGCCAGACGGAAGAGGGGGGTGGGGGGGTTATGTTCCTAGTTTTCTTGTACCCGATTCCCCGAAGGTCATTCTGGTGATGCAGTCGAGACCTGTTGTATCACACTCGAGTATTTCGAATTATTGCTTATATCAAACAGTCTAAACATCCCCCTGAAAATCACATGTAATAGTATAGGACCGTTGTCTTTTTGTATCAAACTCCCATGGCGGGGACACTCGATATAGCGAACGAAGCCCAGCCGCTCATTGCTTTTCCAGCGATCCGAATTGCGACCATGGCAAGCACATAGCTTGTGTTGGCTGCAAGGCTGGCAGACCGCCAAGCCAGCATACACGCGCAGCGAAAGAGCAGTTGTAAAAAAAGAGAAACAATGAACCGTAAAAAATTTTAAAAAGCGGAGTTGCCTGTGGCCTTTCCCTGAACACTGCTGATGCTGCGCGGCTCTCTAGCCTCAAAATAAAATAAGCAAAAAAAAGTCTTCGGCAAGTCCAGTGTGTGGACAACGGTTGTGCAATTGCACTTTGAATGCCTTAACTTTGTTTACCTTTTCCTTTTGCCATTATTGCTCTTCCGTTTTTTTGCCTTTTTTTTTTTTTTTTTGCTGCCTGAATTTAGTGAGCTTTTTTTTTTTGTAGCCTTTTTAACTTTTTTATATGGATCAAGAGATTTTTTTTATGCATGTTGCTTTTACATTTTCTTATTTTTTTAATATTATTTTCGTGTTTTGTCATTTATGCTGTGTAGAGGTCCCGGCCAGGCACACGTGTAAGTGTGGCGGTGTTTGCAGTCTTCACCAACTACGTTCTACTGTATTTAGCAGCTCTTGGATGCTCTATTTGGTAAGCTCCCATTTGTCGCGACCCTTGGTATTAGCAGAGAGGGCAGAAAATTTCAACTCAAGCTTAATTTAACATATTTTGTATATCAAATTATTGATATATCAAACTATTTTATGATCCCCTTTGAATTCAATATATCCGGGCTCAACTGTATTCCACACCGTTTGGTGTGATAGTTATGAAATTGCAGAGGGGAAGCAAATTGGTTTAAAAGGGCAAAGGGAGGAACCATACTTTTGGTTTTTCATGCAAAAGCATTAACTGACCCATGAAGCAAAGTTGGTGTTGTCTGTAACCATCTGTAGCAGCGAAATGGCAGCTAAATTAGTAAATTCCCATTGGCTGCGACACGTCATGTGGCTCCATAGCAATGGCGTTATCGTTGTTAAGGAGCCAGCAGAACTTTTGGTGACGCAGCGGAAGGGGGGCACACGGGTATGCATTGTCAACCGGTACTTTAAGGTCGTCCTAGACGTCGTCCTCTAGGCATCATGCTTGAGGTCGTCCTAGACAACGTCCTCTAGGCGTCATTCTCGACGTCGTCCTAGAGGTCGTCCTCTAGGGGGCGTTTCTGGTGTCATCCTAGACCTCGTCCTTAAGGTTGTCCTCGAGGTCGTCCTCAGCATTGTCTTAAACTTTGTTATGTGTACATTTCACTCATGGGACTATAATGCTTTCGCATTCCTAGACGTAAGCAGTCTTAAGTGTCATACTGTAAATCTTAATTTCTAGGCTAGGTGGTGCAAGCTACTGCCCATTATAAAGGGTAGAGCCGTTAGCATCTATCCATTCATTCATGGCTGGAGTGTCATCACCCCGAAGCGCAGCTTATTCAGGGGCCCTGGGCAGGACATGCGACATGAGTGCAGCTCCACAGACATAAGAGCAGCTATTTTTTTCCGCTATAGACATTCAACTCGATCTCCGAAGCCACTGTTTGGCGCGCCTACAAAATGGCTGTGGAGGAGCTGCAGTTATGTCAGTGTCCTGTCCAGAGCCACTGAATAAGTTGTGCTTCGCTTCGGAGTGACGACACTCTAGCCATCTTGATGCTTAAATTCACTGTTGCCAGTTATATAAAGCTTTATCTCAAATTGCACAAAACTCTTCTTCATCCTCCAGAAATGTCAAGTCTGTGACAGAGCAAAGCGACATCGCCTGAGCTTCCTAACACTGCATCTAAAACTCCAGAAGTCGCGTTTTCGAATGAACCTTTTTTGAGTAACGAGCACCGTCCGGGGAGTAGCCTGCAAATTATAAACGAAGGGTAGCCAACGTGTTTCTGCCCATCAGAATACATTGGCATTGTGCCATTGTATCAGTTTTCACTGCTTTTCGTGCCTCATAGTACCGACACTCAAAAAAGAATCGTAAAAAAGAAAGACGAAACATGCGCAAATATAGGTGCTGGCAACGTCGGTTGTGCAGGACGGTTCCCTCTACAAATGGTGACAGCGGGAAACAAGGCCATGGGAGAGGGTGTGTACATGCACAGAAGCATACTAAAAACAGGTCCGTCGTAACGATCGCAAATCGCACCTGCTCTGTGCCAAGCACCAGAAACTGCGTCGTAAACGAGAAAATCCGGGACCGGAGTGCAAATACTTAGAGCGTAGAACATATGCCATTTCTATTTTCAGATCAGATTGGGTCACCCTAAGAAAATGGTGTTTTTCGGAGGTACGCTGGTTATAAATGGGGTTCCACGTTTTCGGTAAACACCAATGAGCCCCGAAAGTTACCTAACTCCCGAGACGTTTCATCAAAATTGGGAACCGAAAAACCTTAAATCGGAGCTCTGCTTGTATAAGAAAAAACCCAAGCTTGTGGAAAGAAAAAAAATTACAGGAGGACACTTAATACTGCTTACGTGTAGGAAGGCAAAAGCATTCCTACACACAGTGCATTCCTACAAGCAGCGTGCACCGCTGTCCTCTGCAGAGGCCGGGCGGCATGACATGGCTGAAAGCAGAGCGTACAGCACGTGATACCGTAGTGCACAGGGAAAGGGAGCGGGAATTTCCCGCTCCCCCTCTGGCCACGCCTTGCACGTAACCTGAAAGGGGGAGAGAGTGGCGGCTGTGTGCGCACCACCCTATTCCTTTTATTGGTGCACGGGCCGCAGCGTCAAAAGAGGGCTTCTCTGTAGGTGGCGTTCCTTGGAACTATGATTCGTCGCAGCCAATGGGACTTTTGCTATTTCGCTGCTACAGATGGTTACAGACAACGCCGGCTTTGCTCCATGGGACAGTTAATGCTTTCGCATTAAAAATTTTATCTAGAGTTTCATTTTGTGTTGACTCGGAGCTGAATCCCCACCGAACTGTCCGCGAGACTCCTTCTTTATCGGGAACCATATCTCTTATCTCCTTTTCTTCTCTTATCACCACTAGGACATTTTCAGGGTATTGCGGACATGCGCATGTTCACTGAAGGTTGAGGAATCCCAACCTCGATGTTTCTGAGGTTTGTTTTTATTTTTTCGAATTCGGGATTTTTCAAAGCATAAAATGTTTCTTAACAAAAACCCCCAATCCCAAAACTTTTTCCGTTCATCTGTTTGTGCTTATCCCGCTAAATTTAGCGGGGAAATTTACGCCACTGACCTATTCACCAGTTCAGTTTGCCTGCTATATTGGTAAAATTGATGTCACACGGCCGATGTCATCGGACCTATACCTATACATGGTGAAATAGATGTAACATGACTCGACGTCACAAAACCCATACTTCAATTCAGCTTCAAAGCTAAATTTAGCGAGTAAATTAATGTCACGTGATCGACATCATCTGACCTACTATACACCAATTCAGTTTTCCCGCTAAATGTGGCGGTGAAATGGATGCAACACGACCCAACGTCACAAAAACCCTACATCAATTCAGTTTCTCCGCTAAATTTAACGGGAAAATTGATGTCAAGTGACTCGATGTCACCTGTCCTATTATGCCAATTTAGCTTCCTCCAAAATGCAGCAGGAAAATTCGTAAGAATACATGTTCTTTACTCTCCGAAATGACTGCTTTGTGTCTCCTAAACAAATTTAACGATTACTCCTCGAACACTCATGCATTTTTAGAACTTTGGTGGAGATAAAGGGTCTTACGAAGTAGCATCCTATATGGTACCATCTTACTTGTTACCACCTTACATAGTCATGCCACTATACTGCGCTTTTTCATAATTGTTTTTAGGTGTAGACAATATACGCACCTTGCAAGCAGGATGAAACGACAGTTGGGGTGCTGCACATTCCCGATTTGTTACGGTGACCTCTTTCCATATCCAAGACCTGTTGGGCTCATCCGGAATTTCCAAAAGCCAGACATCGTTCAAGAGCTGCAAACAGCACACCCGGGAGTTTGTCGTACTGATCACTGCAGTGGAGCACTGGACATGCTATGCAGAAACTCGGTACAGTAAAAGCTTCAAGATTCTTTAAGTGCTGCCTCTGAAACAAGGCTACGGTTTTTAAGAATGATAAAATATTTTAGGACTTAAACAGTAGAACTTCAATTACTTAAAAGTAATAAAAAAAAGTCTTAACCTAGTATTACTGTAGGTTTTTTTAAGAGTAACAGCCCAATACCATGTGTTCCTATTAAGTACTAATATAAGCTAACAAAAAATTCAATACTACGTAACTTAAATATTATTAGTACATTAAAATTCGGTTAATATGGGGTCATCACTGTAACTCTTAAAAGCTTGCAACGAGTGCTGTAAGCTCTTTTGCAGATAAGTTTAGGACTCCTTTCCTTACTGTTGCACAAGACTGGTTGTCGTTATTACAGACAGCATTTCTCTATTTACTTTAACCAGAGTTAATTAAACTGATAGAAAGACTGAAATTACCATGTTAGGACCACCGCAGCCACCAACAATGAGCATGTGTTTCTCATCCAGAGAAATCTAGAACAAATGATACAGTCAGGCAGAACATGTCTTTATAAATGCCCTTAAACATTGGACAACAATACTACAGAATTTACATCTTATACCTGATTGAGCCTTAAAAATATATTTATCTATTTCCCCCCCCCCCCCCCCCAAAAAAAGAAACGAACATCTTTGCTGGCACATCATTTTAATTTAACAGTGTGTCATATCTAAATAATCTGACAAACAAATATTGAGACGGTGACTCAGTAAGTGCATCAAGAACTGAATTATTTAATTTGATTGAAAGCTACACATATCACAGTTAACCCTTTGCCTACCGCAAAGATATTTAAAAAACAATTTTAAAATATTGATTTTTTTTATGGTCCCTCTAAACTTAATATGCAATACAAAGGCCAAAAAAATTTATTATATGAGAAATTTTTAAAACACTGCAAAAGAAAAGGAGACTAAAGTGCAAAAGAAAAGGGGACGAAAGTTTGGCTTCAATGCATTACCTCACAGTGGGGTCAAAGCGCAGTTATCTGAAACACATCAGTTGCATGAAGAGCTTCATATCTCTAATACCTATTCTCCCAAAGGTCTGTCTCGTGCCTAAATGTTGGGCTTCATGTGGTAGACTTCGAAGCACGGTATGGTGCAGAGTGCCACACCGCAGTCTTCGCACCAGGTCCGTGTTTCTTTCCCGGTTGCTCTTGTCAAGTCCTTCTCTGATAGCTTAGAGTGAAGCAGCATCTAGTTGGCTTCTAACTTTTTGCGGTGCGTGAAAAATACCTGGGGAAATGGCATTCAACGAGTCGTGACGTAAGCTTGTCAGAGCTCCTTGCCTTCTTTCTTTGAATGCTAGGTTGAATGTTTTCAGCCGTCGGGTCTCCACGAGGCTCATGCAGAAGTCCAGATGTGTGTGTTTGCCACCGCTCTCTTCTTGGACAAGATGAAGGCATTGAACACTACCATGTCGACAAGATGGCAGAAAATCTTGTAAAACACCTGCTGATGACAGACTGAGGGGTAGTAGGAAAGATTCTGGTCATTTTTGTCCACACCACCCATTGTGTAGTTATAACCAAGGACCAGTTCTGGCTTTTGCAGTGCCTCATTGCGCTTGTTGACCACCTCTTTCATTGCTGCACTGTGCCCAGTGCTCAGAAGAGACACACACTTCTCGTCTTAGCGCTGAAGGGCCAAGCACTTTCCACATTGAAATGCATTCATTGCCCCTTTCTTCAGCTTCGCTTTTTTGGGAAAGGCATTTCTTTTCGTTTAGCTTGCACTGTGCCGTACAAGTCCGTTTTTATGGTGATCAAAGCATCCACCAGCTCCGGTGAACAGTAGAAATTGTACACCGTCGAGCAGTATCCATGATCGAGGTGTTGTGCCAGGAGCGCAAAAACAATCTTCTTCCCCATGCACATGAGCTGGTCACTGTCTACAGTTCCTTTTCCCATGAAGAGAATCATGTTCGATACATGCAGTCACTTCCAAACTTGCGCAGCAGAAAACATTTGAGCCCAAACCGTGCTCGTTTCAGGGGCAAGTACTGCTTCCTTTCAACAACTGCTATACACTCCGTGCGGGAACTATAGGGGGCGCTTTGAAAAACGCGCGCAGCGCCGCTAGCGGAGGAGCTGGCGTTCGACCGTGAGGCGCGTTCAGCAGCCTGCGGCGCCTTTTCGCATGCCAAGCTATGGCGGCGGAAGCGCGCACGGACGAAACTTTTGCTTTTTGAGCCGATACGTTGAGGGTGACATTGCATGAGTGCTGGGGCAGATTTAAGAAGGGCATTTAGCTGTTGTCCACTTCTTATATATTGAGTTTGAGTCGTTATTAGGGGTAATTTCTCTAGTTGCGGCCAATAAAGGAGTTGGAGCGATTTTCCCAAAAGCAAGACGGCCGCCACGATAATTGCTCTGAGTGGGAAATTTATTTCGCTCGTCGCTGTAAACGTAGGACTGCTGGAACGATGATATTGGAGGCGAGTGAGATGTTCACTAAGTTTGTGCACGAAGTGTGCCAAGTTTCATTTAGACAGCAGGTGTGAAAGTTATGTTTCTAACGAATAAAGAAATAAAGCTGTACGGTAGTGGTATATCCAATATTGGACCCAAAATGTTGTGTTATAGCGGGCTGTGCAAAGTGCAGATTTGGGCACACAGGTGCTTGGACTTGACAGTAACATGACACATGACACAGCACTTATTATACAAAAAAAAAAAGGTGCCATATGGAAACCAGGTGAAAATTTGGTTTGGGCGGCGTAACTCAATGGGAACCGGTTTTGACCATGAAAAGGCTGTCAAGAGAATACCACTGGTTGGGGGAGGTGGAGACTTTAGAGGTAGGAAGGGACTAGTAGACTGTACTTCCAGTTGAAACAACTTTACGAAAGGTGGTTCCAAAGCCGAGAAAACAAAGTTGTCGGCCAACACACGGTTTGGCCGCCAAGGGCTTTTGCGGTCAGCTGTTGTGTAATAACCTGCTGTGCAAGGTGCTGATTTTCGGTGCACAGGTACTTTGACATGACCGTCACGTGGCACAACACTTATTATAACAAAAATAGTTGGCATAGCGAAACCAGGTGGAAATTTAGTTTGGGCGGCGTAACTAAATGGGAACTGGCTTTGACCGTCAAAGGCTGTCAGATAATACCACTCATCGTGGGAGGTGCACACTTTACAGGTAGGAAGGAACCAGTGGACGGTACTTCCTGCTCGAACCACTTTGCGATAGGTGGCTCTAAAGCCGAGAAAAAAAAATGTCTACAGAACTCGGGGTGTCAGCGTTTCCACATCCAGAAGGAGGCTGATCAAGAAAGAAAGTACACCACATAAACTTCCATACTCAAACGCCGATCCTCCAGTGACTCCGAGTTTCATTGTTGTTTTCTTTAGATTTATATTTGTCACTTTTTTTACCGTTCCAATCTTTCTTCATGAAGTACAAATTGCGTGCCATACTTGTCTGGAAATATCATCGACACGTACGATGGAGACGAAACTTCTTTGGAGGGCATTCCTCCAACGAAAATGGCACTGCATAGCCGCGAGTTTCAGTTCGTCGCATCGGCGCTGACTCATCTAGGCGTTACTGGTACGAAAACAAACGCAGAGCGCAAAGCGGCAGTGAAAAATATGTCAGCCGTGCCGACACAGTGGCAGACATGATCGGGACACGAAATTTCTCGCGTCGTACGGCACGGCTCCATCGTTGTCGCTGTCCCACAAAACATCGGCAAGGTGAAAAACTGTGAAACTTTGTCTCCACGAGATACGACGCATAACTGTTGAAGCACTTAATGACGCAGTACAGGCAGCACTTCATGCTGTGAACCCAGCGCAACCGCACCACTCAGACTTCAATGCGTACCAACGTACGCGGCGTGGTTTTGGTTTTGTTTTCTCTGGGGTTCTCACTGCCTACCTTCAATACCGGCCGTGCGGCGGCGCGCCAGTCGCGTCGCACGAAGTGTATATCACGTTCAGGAGTGTAGACAGACAAGAAATGGTCATTTACCATCATGAACACGGGCCAGACCTTCCACCGTATTGGCTGAGGATGGTTTGCTGTGTTTATCTCAGCAGTGTTGTCAACAAAATGCAGGAACTTCATGATCGTTTGAAAGCGATTCCTGCTCATGATTGCACCGAAGATCGGTGTCTCGAGGATTTCCCTCTTGGATTACTACATAGCCATGTCTGGCTTCTGGATTATCCCTTGAAGAAGAGGAATTCCAATGAAAAGCTTGGGCTCTTCACTTGATAGCTCTTTCAACACGGCTCAGCATGCCGTGTGCCTTGCAAGAAACTGCACAGATTCATCTCGCGGATGACGAGATTAGTGACATCTGAAGTAAGGAAAAGTTTGAAGTATCGCAGACAGTTCACATCACCTTACACATTATGGCGCACCGTGCATTCACGAGGGCGCCTATCAAACCACTCTGCCAGTTGGGCCGCGAGGAAGCTAAGTAGCTGCCTCGCCTCAGACACGATCACATGGTCGTGTCGCCGCGGGGTCGATCGGGATCTGGAATTCGGCTCCCGACGTGCCGCTTTCTCTCCTAGCCACTGGATGGCGCTGCAGGCGCCCCCGTGGCGGGCGAGGAGAAACCTCCTCGCCCACTGATCGAGATAGATACTCGGTGGGCCAGGGGGCGAGAGGCCTCTGAGAACGCCGGACGAGACCGAGACGCAGGGAGGCAGGTGGTTGGCGACCGGATCTAGGGTATCGCGGGACACGAGGCCTGGGGGCCTTCTTTGTGTTTAGCTTTAGGCTTAACGTGCATTTGTAAATAATTGTGCAATGTAGCTTGTATTTGTAGTTTAGATTGAGTGTCTTGTAGAGTTGTGTTTTATTGTACCAATAAACTGGGAGCGGAATCCCGCTCCCGTGAAAGAACCAGGCTGGACTCGGGTTGTTGACGGACCACGTGGGAAACGGCGAATCGGCGGCGGTACGCGAATTCCCACAACATCGACGTTCAGGTCGGACGTAGCAATGAACGCAAAATGCGAAGGAACTGGAGGGGGATTCTAGTCCAGTGCCGCCGACACGATGTCCTCATCGGAACCCAAGTCATGTGAGCTAAAATCCAATAACTCAGTGGCATAGCTCTCACTGTCTGATGAAAGGTTTGTTTCCTCGTCTTCCAAATCTGGAGAGACGTCGCAATATCATCGTTTTTGTCCCAATTTTGAGGCAAGATCGTCACTGTGAACACAGTGACCAGACGTTGACGCCACCACCTTTAAATCCCCTGTTGCCTGCATTGAAACAATTTTCTGCCAAATTCAGAGATCTACCACGTTTTTATTTTCCGCGAAGCGTCATTTATCCACGGCAAAGGTTAACTAGAAGCACGTGGACTAGCCCAGTTCGTCCATGGTAGCATATTGCAGCCTGAATCAACGTGGACGAGCCCAGCTCGTCTCCGGGGGGGGGGGGGGGGGGACGGTATAGTGTAGACGAACCCAGGTCATCAATGGCAGAGAAAGGGTTAATGACCAGTTATCATCACAGTGAGTACACCCAGGTCATCAATGGCAGAGAAAGAGTTAATGACCAGTTATCATCACAGTGAGTACAGGTAAGACCAGACTCTTAAAAATACTTTAGCAATACAGTTGTAAAAACTGTTCTCTTAATGCACTTTATAAAAAAAAAAAAAGGGTGTCACGGGGTTGTCACTATACTATAGTCAAAGTGTTTCCTGGAATGCAAGACATATCTCATAAAGGGCTTAAATGAATGGCCTGAGACTGTAACCATCCGATAGGTGCAATTGGGCATGGGATCACACACCTGTGAGTGCCCGTAACGAGGCCAGGGCTTGGGCGTGGTTGTGTTTTGTTTGGACCACATGTATGTCTGAAGGTCCAGCACCCACACATCGTTAGAACTAGGGAACAAAAAGAAAAGGTATTAGAAAAACAACTTGCCAGTCCTTAAACACTTAGAAGATAATACATTTTTTTGTCCTAACCAACACGGCTTTCGTAGAGGAGTCTCCTGCAACACCCAATTAATTGAACTTTCTCATGATTTGGTCAGTACGGCTGAAAATAGGCAGCAAACTGATGCAATTTTTATAGATTCCTGTAAAGCATTGCACTCTTTTTCACACCAATCGTTATTGCACAAAATGAGTACTCTAAACATAGACAGTAATGTACTTCGGTGGATAGAAGACTATCTGAGTGGGAGGAAACAGCGCAATGTCCTGGGGAGTAAGAAATCCAAATTTTTAGACGTACCTTCAAGCTGAACTGACCAAAACTGAACCTCAAGGTTCAGTTTTGGGACCTTTTTTATTTTTAATCTACATCAATGATTTAGCATGTTTCACAATTTCTAACATCAGATTATTTACGGACGATTGCGTAATTTACAAAGCAATAAAGAATGTTAATGACGTCATTTTTGCAGGAAGATCTCAGACTGGATACATAGTTTGTGGGGCAAAACCTGGGAACTGGGGTTAAACACAAGTACATAAATGCTTTCCCATCAGATTTAGTAAAAAGAAACAGAATATTGATTCAGAGTAAACTATTGGAAGAGACTTGTCACGAAAAGTATCCGAAACTAAATATCTTAATGTCATTCTTTCAGAAGACCTCTCATTCAATCAACACATAGATATGATCTTGAAAAAGGCTGGCAGGGTCCTTAGCCTAGTCATTCGCAACCTTCGTAATGCTCTTCAAATCTTAAAAGAATCTGCATATCATTCACTATTAGACCACACCTCGAATATGCAAGCGCAGTATGGGATCCTCATAAAAAAATATCTCATAGATAAGATAGAGGGCATTAAAAATTGTGCTGTTAGATTTATTGTAAATAACTGCTCTCGAGCAGAAAGTGTGATGGTGATGAAAACTTGTATGGGTATGGAATCTCTTGCAAAAAGGCGTAAGAAAAATGGACAAACTTATCTACGCTATTAATAATGATTGAACTGGTATCAACAAATCAAATTATCTTAGAATGCCCCATTATATGTCGAGCAGGAGGAATCATGAAAAGAAAATATGTGAAATAAAATGTCGAACTATGTGACGTTTTCTTTTATTCCGAGAACTACATCAGAATGGAATGAGCTCCCTCCGGATATTGTACTAGCTGGCAGTGCGTCGTTAATTAACCTGATTAATGCAATCTGAATTTCTTTGTTAGTACTTCTGGTGTTTTGAAATTTTATTATTGTGTGCTGTTTTTAATTATTTTTTTTTTATTTTTTTATATACTATTGTTAGTTGCTGGCTTGTGCAGTATGTGTGAATTTTCAATGTATGTGATCTGTAACCCAATCCTCTACAGTAATGCTTCGGCGCTGCAAGGTACAAATAAATAAATAATACTCTGTTTTACATTACGATGTACAACAACGGACGCTACAAACCACGTTAACCAATCCAGCGCTCCACGTTTAGCTCCACCCAGCCGGGAGGTCATGTAACACCCTCCAAGCTGCGGACTGGCTCCGGTTTTACAGCAAAGCTGTTTATGGCCAGGGTACCGTGAATTTTTCGTGTACATGACTAAAAACTATGGTCGCACCGCTGCACGCGCGCGCCTTCCTTGTATAAAGGATTCAAAGTAAATAACCAAGATAAAGCGCTGAAGAACACGCTTGCAAGATGCCATTTGTTTCAGCAGTGACGTGATTGACCTAAGCCATTCTGGTGCACCTTTTGGAGCAGCCAAAACAGTGTTTTGGATCAGCAAAAGTGGCTTTTGGAGCAGCCAAGACAGTGTTTCGGAGCTGCAAAACTGGCTTTTGGAGCAGATATTCTTATAAGAATAAAAATATTTGTTTTAAGTGCTTTACAAACGAAGAGCACTTTGTGTTGTGCTCTGATGTGATGTGTTGTGACAGAACTCGCTGCTTGTGTTTTTACTGCTGAGACATCCCATAAGTGTACAGTGCTGTAGGCATTGCCGAGCAGTTCCGAAAAACCGCTTGCCACCGTTTCACTGATTCCCGACGTGCCAGATTTTCGTCAAAAGTAAGCAAACGTAAAACAATGGATTGCAAGCGTCCCGGCTGGTGCTTCTGTCGTTCAGTCATGTTCGCATGCACATGAGGGCAACTTCGGCAGGCTTGCACTTGCGCATGCTTTGTTGCACAAGAGGAAACAGCGGCTGCTGGATCGAAACCGAAACAATGCCACTCCGCTCCGTCGCCAACTGATTCTCAAAATTGTATGCAAAATGTAACTGTCGAGCATACGACAAAAAACAGTCCAGCGGCGCGTGCTTGCCACGCCGGTAAACGAAGTACAAGCTAGACACACACAAAAAAAAAAGAACCTGAGCACATCGATGAAAGACATTGCGAGCCAGGGCCAAAAAATTTTTGGAGCGTTTTGTGCAATGACTGAACTTGAGACAAACAAGCGCGCTGTGCGAGTTCAGCGTGCAGACATTGCCTTCTTTGCTTTAGCTCACTTTTCTTCACCAACTTTCTTTCGCGGCAGATTTTTTACATATTGCAGTCCCTTTCGAAAGAAAGCCCACCGAGAGAAACCTAGGTAATCAATACTTCGACACAGCAGTCTTTGAGTTAAAGAGAGATTTTTGTAGTAACGTATGATTTAAACAAGAACAGGAACATCGATGAACATGCAGCGGTACTTAGTAGTTTCATTTTAGAAAGCGCCATATCTGCAGCAACGTGAGGATGGCAACACCCGATGTTGTACGACCACAGTGACTGTGAGATAGGGACCAGATAGTTTTCCCACGACCGTTGCTTTCAGGAGCGAGTGCTTCAGTTCACAAAGTAACTCCGGCTGCACAAAAACATGGTTTCATTTCACAGCACGACGGCATGGCTGGTACCCGGCACGCTAGCGTCGGAGCGTCCACACACTCCTGCGTCTATCCTTGAAAATAGTAAAAAAAAAAAGACGCGAGACGAGGCCCACCAGACTTTGAGAGCGTGAAACGCAGGACAGCGGGAAAACCGTTCAAGACCGGGTGGACAACCGATGCAGGATAGTTTGTGTCGGGCGGCCGCTAGTGCCACATAACACACGCATGCTCAATTAGGGTATACTCAGTTTAGTGACAGAAGGTGACAGAAATTGGTTTTTTGGCGCAGGCTTGGCACAGATTACCTGTATTTTGGCAAAATGTAGTAGGATGTAGCAGGGTTAGCCCCTTGGCGCAATTGGCAGAGCAATCACATCACTGCTTTACAATAGTTACTGCTGCAGACGCCGGCACGTGCAGCGCATGAAACACCATTTCCGGCATTCTCCTTGATGCTTGGGTAATTTAGCAATAGGTCTATTTCACTTCTCCTCCCTCGTCATAATGAGAAGGCCGCGTATAGTCCAGACTCCCGAAGAGCAATGCGCCTACGAAGAGCATCGATGGGAACTGCGCCGAGAATGTCATTGGCGGCGGCGGCAGGCAGCAAACACCACCGATAAAGATAGTGCAAAAAATGCCAAGCACATGCGGCAAACCAGGCAAGACGATGAACGTCGCAGGGCGGAGAATGCGTCAAAAAGATGCAGGTACCATGCTGCTAAATTGGACAACTTTAATGGAGCATACGCTAAATTCTGTGCAACGTCTGTGTCGTGTGCTAAACAGCTTCGCTGGTCATCCAACTTTACAGAATAAAATGGCTCATGATTTTTTTTTTTTTTCATATATGTCTACTGTTATCTTTTTGTCCAGCAAAAGTCTGACGTCGCTAACATTTTGCGTTCTCTGCACAGTCATCTTGGCCATCAGCCTGAACATACTACACTGATGGATTTGTATCACATGTACCGTGTTGGCTGGGCACAAAGAATGTGATGTATGGCTTTCATGTGCTTGCTCTCTGGCAGATGCACTGAGGCAACGTTTATTGCCTCGTCTGTAGTGGGGCTCGTGCATGACTGATCAGCTCTGTAGATGATACAATGCATGGATAGATGGATGCTAATGGCTGTACTCTTTATATCGCACGATAGCTTGCGCCACCTAGCCGAGAAATTAAGAACCAGAGGTATGATTTCTTTCCTTCGCCAAGCACTATCAAGTATGAATCCTCGTGGCCGTAGACATCAAAAAGGCCTATGATTCGCTGCCACACCAAGCCATATTCGATAGCCTCAAAAGCCAAGGAATACTGGGTAAGCCACTAAATTTTGTTAAAGCGTTCTTGAAACATAGAACGTATGCCATTAAAGTAGGTCAGCACCTCAGCTCAGTAAAGTCCAACAACATCGGCGTACCCCAAGGATCGGTAATATCACCGACCTTGTTCAACCTCGCAATGGCTCCATTGCTGTGGGAGCTTGACAAAATAGAAGGACTCCACTGTACGGTATATGCGGACGACATTACAATATGGACAAACAGAGGCCACTCGAAACGCCAGCAAGAAATCCTACAAGAGGGATTAAACATGATCGATAGATATCTCAAATCGATTGGACTTAATCCATCGCCAGAAAAGACCCGATACATGATTTTTGGCTATAAGGCACCTGCCAACGTGAAACTAAAACTTAACGGAACTACTATCGAAAAGACAGAGGATCACCAAATACTGGGAATAACAGCCAATGTTAGGAACGACCCAACTAAATGGATACAAAGAATGACCAAAACGTGGAAACAAGGAACATCGCTAATCAGAAGAATTGCAAACAGACTCGGAGGAGCGGGAGAAAAAGTGGCTCGAACACTGACTCAAACAGTGCTCATCTCCAAAATTATGTATGGGCTAAGATTTTACAAGATCGATAAAAAGAACATGGAGAAACTGGAAAGTTTACTAAACGATGCGAGACGGTGCATTGCAGGATTGCCGCGAAACGTCAAGATAGAAGAACTACACAAATGCGTCCCTTTCCCGAGTTTTGAGGAATTACGAGCGATACAGGAAGAAATGCACAAAATTAAGATGCTCAATACGAAAGGAGGGCGACGCATCATGAATCTGCTGAATCAAGACACGAGCAAACTGGATGAATTTCCGGAACAGATGCCACCATGGGAACGGATAATGGTAGTTCCAGGCACTCCCATTCCCAAGAGCATGGGCCTTGATCACCAGGAAAGAAGAAGAAGATATGCCAAAAAACACAACGAAGAAATTGAGCTCATCCGCAATGACCCCGAGTTAGCGATATACTATACGGACGCGGCGGTCAGCAACAATAACGCAACGATAGCCTTTCACCTCCTAAACATAGGAACATGGGCATACCCAACAGTCGCAGACACCCCGGAAGAAGCCGAAGCGCAAGCAGTCTTGGCTGCAGTAGAACACGCAAGCAGCAGTACAATTGAAAAGAAAAGAATAACAATTTTTACCGATTCACAAGAGGTTATTAGAGCATGTAAGATACACCATGCGGTAAGCCCGACAATACGAAAAATCCTAAAGGCGGCAATAACAACACTGAAGAAGAAGAATGCAACGATACTCCTGCGTTGGATCCCGGGACACACGGGGATTAAGGGAAATGAGATTGCCAACAAAGTCGCGAAAGAGTATAGTCGTTCCCTCCTTTCCGACAGACCAGGCCAATCTCAACGAGATCACCCATACTCTACTGTATTAAAAAGTTTGAGTAAAGAATACGATCCTATAGCTACCGTAAATAAGGCAAAAAAACAACTACAGCAACAACTACGAAACAGGCATCCCGAAGAACAGGATCCTATCCCTTCTGGGCTCAAAAGATACCAAACAGTTCTTTTGAGAAGGGTAAGGACAGGAAGTGCTATAACCCCGCACCTCCTCAAGAAATGGGAAACACAAGAAAAGTTGAGACAGGACCCGAAATTCATACCAAAACCACCAGAATGTAACTTTTGTAGAGAAAAGATCCCACCAAATATTGATCATCTCCTGTGGGACTGCAAACACTTCAGAAGAGAAAGGGAGGATGCACATGCAACAATAGATCCCGAAGATAAGCCCGAAAACCTTAATGAATGGATAAAACCAGCAGGGAATTCCGGAAGAAGACTTCAACTGCTCAGATCCGTCATTTCCTACCTGGAGAAAACGGGCCTCAGTAAAACTTTCTGAATTTTTTTAGGCCATGCCGTAGAGCAATTGCCTGAGCCTTAATTATGAAAGAAAATAAACGTATTTCATCATCATCATCCTTCGCCAATATGCCTACCCTCTGCAATTTCGTAACTATCACCAGGCGGAGTGGGATATCACTGGGATGACCTTTGGGGGGCCAGGCAAAAGACCTAAAAACTTCACCCTCCGCCTCCTTCCCCCCAGTGAGGGAGTTGCCAATTTTCCTCTGGTCAAACCTAGTCGGCGTTACTCTAGCACTGGGCACTTTGGGCCGGAGCCACACGGGAGGGAGTCCTAATTTTCCTCTGTCCTGCTTATCCCCAGCTGTGTCAGTTAGTTGTTTGTCATTCAATTCCCCCTAGATAATTTCCACCAGTCTTCCAATCTCCTCTTTATTACTAAAATGCACTTATCATCCCTTCTTCCATTCTCGTCAACAAACTCCAGCACTGTGGCTAAACCCGTCGCTTCCTCCGAAAAAGCAGGAGCTAGCCCTGTGTACAGGTATTGCAATATTTTCAACCTCATCTCCCAAGAACTTTTCTCCCAAACTTCAGAGACATCCAAATTAGAATTCCACAACATACGATTTGGAGCACAAGCACAACTTTTCCCCAAAGGAAATGGGCCTTCCCCACGACAACAGTGATGGAAGCGACATTTGACGTTTTGGAGCAGGTTCTGTAGCAGGCAAAATATTCGTTTGGAGCAGCCACTGTCGCTTTTGGAGCAGATGCCAACGTCTGTTAGCATATCATTTAAAAAAAAAAAAAAAAATTTGTCTGCATCGCTAAATGAGTTTATATTTGATAATGGCTGAGGGTTTCTCTTTGATACTGGAGCAGATTACTGGTTACCCTTTGTAATAAGAACAAATAGAACGCAAAAGGTACACAGAGCTTTCTTTTTAGAAATAAGGCTCTGGTCAGAGTAGGTTCCATTTACAATGGGTACTAAACAAATTGATGAGAAATGCATCATACTTCAGTTTGGGTAAAGCCTCCCCCGCTCCCACTTTTACACCCGATAATTTATTTAGCCTGTATGTATAATTTCAGTAAAATTTCACCAATGTCACTACTGCGTGGCGCACATTAAAGACCCCAGGCTAGCGGTTCTACCGCACTGGCTAAATTGCTCATCTACAGCTGAGACACCGGACGCCCACTGAGGCAGATTAACTTCGGGCGGTATAAACATACAACAATTTGGTTTGATATGCCACCAAAAACCAACACAATCGCTAACACGTCTATCAGTAAAATGCGCCTACCAAATTCTATCGTTACCAAACTCAAGACTTGAATATTATAAACTGGAAAAAAACATCCACCCACAAATATTATGAAAACCTACTCTTGCGCTTACATTTATTCAAATACAGTGCAGCGTATTTCTTTTTCTTTCTTTCTCGACGCAGCATTTTAAAAGGACATCATATAATTGAGACCAAAAAATGTGGACCTGCAATAGTACTGAGCATAATTTACATGTATATTATGGCGCACCGTGCATTCACGAGGGCGCCTATCAAACCACTCTGCCAGTTTGGCTGCGAGGCAGCTAAGTAGCTGCCTCGCCTCAGACACAATCACATGGTCATGTCGCCGTGGGGTCGATCGGGATCTCGAATTTGGCTCCCGACGTGCCGCTTTCTCTCCTAGCCACTGGATGGCGCTGTAGGCGCCCTCGTGGCGGGCGAGGAGAAACCTCCTCGCCCATCGATGGATGTATACTCGGTGGGCCAGGGGGCGAGAGGCCTCTGAGAACTCCGGACGAGACCGAGACGCAGGCAGGCAGGTGGGTGGCGACCGGATCTAGGATATCGCGGGACACGAGGCCTTCTTTGTGTTAAGCTTTTGGGCTTAACGTGCGTTTGTAAATATTTGCGTAATGTAGCTTGTATTTGTAGCTTAGATTGAGTGTTTTGTAGCGTTGTATTTTATTGTACCAATAAATTGGGAGTGGAATCCCGCTCCCGTGAAAAAACCAGGCTGGACTCAAGTTGCTGACGGACCACGTGGGAAATGGCGAATCGGCGGCTGTACGCGATTTCCTACAATATCATGCTAAACCAGACGCTCACCCATGTCAGCCGCTACTCCTAGCACTCCGGTGCAAGGCGGTGAAGCTCGACGCATGTGGGCTGGGGAGATGCGCCACGGAAGCATACGGCAGACGCAATCAAATGATCTCACCAGGAGTAAAAGAGCCTGGTTCTGTCTTATCGCAGTAGCCACTGTCCTACTATTTTGCAATGTTTTCTCGCGACTTTTGACTCCTCACATCGCCGACATTGTTTGAAAGTTTAGAGGATATCGGCGATCGAGCCGCCAGTGCATCAACCGGCCAGCGCGGTGGACGAGCAATGTTAAAACTTCGTTTCACCTTAATTTAAAGTGCAGTCGATGCTACGAGCCAATGGGATAAACCAAAGAACGTCAAAGCGCGACATAGAGACATTCGACCTCCTTCCTGTAATTGTTTTTTCATAGATTAAACCAATCAAATGCAGCGAATGTCCCGTGACTTGCGCTTTTACTATGTGTGTTCGTGATGTATGTGTTCGAGCCACCGACTGTGCTCTGACCTAAGATGAAACAACGTATACGGCGAGTAGAGATGCTGCGAAATACATATCTCTACCGTTTTCTTTTTTCTTTCTTCCTACTTCTTTGAATATTAGGATCAACCAATAAAAAAAATATATAAATTTTTTTGTTTTGCCCATCTCGGCGCAGGTGTGGCGCAATTCTTAGCCAGAATGGCACCTTGGTGCAAGATGTAGCAGACTTTCGCTCACGGCAAAATTTGGCGCAAATGGCGCAGCACTTCCATCACTGCGACAACAACCAAGGTGCCAGAGAAACTCAAGTCTATCCAGTCAGCCCCAAAACGCTGTGCCGAAAAAAGGAAAGGGAACGAGCGGTGACTTTACCTGGAGAAGGGTCCCACGGGGTTGACGCAGTGCAGGCCGCCAAAGACCGCCATCAGAGTTCCCTGCATGGTGGCCGAATGGCCAGCCATCGACGGGCAACCCCCCACTGTGCTGACTTGGGTCCACCGATTGGCCGTGGAGTTATACACGTGCAGGTGCCGGAATATGCGCCATGTCTGCAAGAGTCAACGTCTGGTCATCTCCTTCTCTCACTGAGCTCGACACCACGTTTCCCAGCTTATGAAGCACTCACTTGGTGAAGCGGGTAGGGTGACGTATGGGTCCAGCCACCGAAGAGGAGCAAGTTTTCTTTGTAGGCCACAAGTGACGCACACGCCTTTGGCGGAGGATAGGTGCCTAAGAATGACAAGTTACATTTGATTACAGTTTGACATAAGGGCTGTGCATATAGTTGTCTTTCTTTAAAGGTACTGTTTTGCTCTTTCACCAAGCCATAGTCTAAGCAAACTGCAAATCCCACATTATGCTCGATTAACTCTAAATAATTTATAAGAATATTACACCACATTAATAGCTGAAAAAGTTAGCTACCTTGTCTCGCTAGTATGACAGTTCACGGGGTGCAGATGCAGAGGTGTGAGTATCTCCTCTGTGCAGTTTGCCGTCTTGTCATTGCACTGTGGCACACATCATTCTGTAATCCCCTTTGTCTGTATAAATTGTGCCAAAACAGTTCTATAAAACTTCAGGTGTGACAATTTCACAGTTGTGTTTTTGTGGAACATATTTGATGAAAGTCATAACATTACTGCTAATCAAGGAATTTGCAGCTTTTCTCCTGCCATCCATACAAAATCTGTCAAACGGATTCAGTCTAGAAATGGCAAGTGAGAATCAGAACACACTGGCATCTGGTCTGAAACAAAGACCTTCCTGTGTTTAAAGGCAAGCGTAAAAATAATGCAACTCCTCCATTACTCCGTCTCAAAGAGTTCTGAGCAGTATTCTGCTCATGCAAAGCATTATAAAGAACTACGCCCTTGTGCCCAGGCCTTTGACAATGCTGCACCCAACTGGTAATATAGGGAACGTTATCATTTATGCAAGCTGCTTTGGAAATATGGGAAACTAAGGCTGCATCAGTAGAGTCACCACATTTCAGTACAGGCGGCATTTTACATGTCCGTGCTATTAAACACTGTCAATTACGCTTGCCTCCCCGGTTGGTGGATGCAATTGGCAGGGGGGAGGTGGGGCCTCACCCATGGTCAGAGGTCGTATCCAGCGCCTGGTAGCCAGGTCAAGTCGCCAGAGGTCGTTGAAGGTTGTGTTGGCAGTGGTGCAGCCACCAAAGACATACATGGAGTCCCCCAGTATGCAGGCACTGTGTGAGTACCGCTTGGAGATGGTTGGGCCTGGCTCCATTGGCTTGCGACTCCATGCAACACTTTGCATGGACACCGCATTGAGGAAGTCTCTTCGAATCTTGCGTACTGCCTCTGCAAACAGGAACAATTCAAACAATTCGTGAATATTCTGGATTGAGGTTTCTTTCGAAAGGGTCCCTAAGAGAATCTTGCAACAACCTTTGCTAAAAGAAAATTGGCTTCCTTCAAGACCTGATTCCCTGACAAAAAGATGGCTGACATATGTTCTCAGGTTTCTTAGACAATTTGCTTCTGTTAGTCCAAGTAATGTTTCAGTGTGCATGTACTGCATATGCCATTAGGAGTCGTTAATACGCTGGGAAGGCTGTGAGATTTATTAATTCAACACTGCAGCCTCATGACTCATACCTTAGCAGTATAATATATGAGCACTATAAGGTTTATAGGCCATTCTGTTGTAGAGGAAGCCTAGTCTATCCACATTAGAATAGTAAAGGAATGGTAATTGGTAAGTTAAGCACGGAAATAGCTCGTCATAAAGGGGAAATTACAAATATTTACCGAGGTTTCACTCATATTTGCACATTCCTGCTTCTGCTGGCACTAGCTACGACGGCGAGTTTCCAGCACATCATTCTTACGCACTCGTATCGCCTTACAAATCAAACTGATCTTGGTATAAAATTATCAATCATAGAGCCCCTAACATAAATTAATGTATTTAGCATTGGTTTATATTATTTTTCTCGTACAGTGCAATTGATCTGCAGTTCAAATAAACGGCGATCCTGCAGCAACTGAACAGATCACAAAGCAGATGTCGCAAAAAAGAAAAAAAGAACTAAATCATTTTTAGAAAGTATACACAATCCCGTAATCGCGTCCCAACTTGCTAAAGTCTCCAGGAATGCACAGTTTGAGGAAGCAAAGTATGAATTCTAGGCGCTTATATGTACGCACGGCTCCCCCAAGTCAAAGCTCCGATGAGGGTTGAGATACGACCGAACTCATCAAACGAAAGTCAACTGACTCCCAAGAAAGCGTGCTTCATACAAAGCACATCAAGTGGGGAAAAATAAAAGTTGCGAACGTACCTTGAGCGTGAGCATACCAGGCTTTGTTGACTAGCTGGCAGGATTTGAAGTCTCTGTACGGTGACAGGTAGCAAAAAATGTATTCGATCACTACGTCCGGCAGGTCGTCTATGCAAGCTGTGCCCATCTTCAGCCCTCCGCCGTGATTTTATGGGGCTAATTTTTTCTAAATTAAACAAACATATCGAATGAAGCCCACAAGCACCGCAACCGGGACCTAGGTAAAAAGTTGCTGGGGGACGAACTACCGACGCGAGCCCGCTGGTGTATGCCGCCGTTGCCAACCCAAAGCTATTCGACTTATTTTTGCCGCTGCTGACAGCCCGTTTGTCTTCCCGCGCGGGACTCCAATTTTTGGCATTCCATGTAAAAGTTGATATTTGACGATTTTTCCTACCTCGTTGGATTTTTCAGATCTTGCGACTGTGGGAGGTAGGTGGGAGGTGTGCCAAGAGCCAACGGCGATGCGAAAACCGTAGTTTTTTGCGGAAATAGGTGGCAGAAGTATAGGGTGGCTAAAGTCGCCAGGCTCGATCTAAAATGGACCGTAAAAATCGACGCCTGCCCGTAGCCCCTCAAACTTTTCGTCAAAGGTGTATTTCATAGGTCGGTTTTTTCTTGTAGAATTACAAAGCGTAGTTCTCTTTCTGTAAAAAATAAGGCCAAGAAACTTGCCTGGGTCAACGGCGGGAGGCGACGCAGACGACCAAGTCAAGGTGCGGGGTGTGTTTGACACTCCTATTGATAGATGGCGCTACCTCCTTGTTTCCGTCAGAGTTCTGGTTTCGGTTTGCTTTCAATAAAATATCGAAAGTGCCCGCGTCGACCGTGGTTTATTGACACCAACATAATCGGTTTTGTAATCTACCTTTGGCGTGAAAATAAATGCAGACAATGATAGAAAAACTTCAAGTAACAAAAATAAAAGAAAACGCGGTTGCATAACGACAACGCTGACGGCGCTCTTGCTGCCGGCGGATTTCGTCTGCGTGTCGTCTGCTTTCTTTCGCTGGTCGGTTGCATCCTCGGACGCTGCTTCCGAGACCATTTTTTTGTTTTGTTTTGCCGCGGTTGGTGGAGAGACAGCCACCATGCGTCACTTTGGATGCTATTTACACCGCATGCACTTTTGAGACACGGGAGGCTGCCAAAGCAAGCTCCAGATAAACAGCAATTAATGGCTCTGAAAAGAGCCTGTCAGTAGGAGCCCGCGGTTTTCGCGGTTGTCAAAGCCGCTGGTCATATGTGCAAAATGGATAGATATGTGATCTTCAGTTCTCGTTGTCTTCAGTCCACATGTCCACCTCGAACTTGGAGGCACTTGTGCAGTCTTCGCTCATAATCCCTGAAGGCTGCCTCCCGCATGTTGTCCGTGATCGCATCGAAGGCGGATATAATCCGCTCTTTTAGTTCCGTCATCGAGCGTACGCGAACTGCGTAGACCTGGGCTTTCACAAAACCCCAAACAAAAAAATCACAAATTGTCAGGTCAGGGGACCGTGGGGGCCAGGGCATTGTCGGTGACCCTCGACCCATCCAGTTGCCGGGAAAGGTTCTGTCAAGCCAGTCTCTCACTGCGGTGGCGTAATGCGGTGGTGCTCCGTCTTGCTGGAAGATGCACACCTCCCTTTGCATGTGCGAAGCTTCCAGCTCCGGCAAGACGTCCTGTTCGAGCATGCGAAGGTAGGCGTCGCCGGTGACCGTGCCCTCAAAAAAGAATGGACCGACAACGCCTTCCCTCCAAAGTCCACACCATACTACGACCTTTGGTGACTGGATAGCCTCTTCAATGATCCAGTGGGGGTTCGTCTCGGACCAGCAGCGGGTGTTTTGCTTGTTCACGTGCCCATCCAGATGAAAAATAGCTTCGTCCGTGAAAAGCAGAAACGGAAGGTGGTTCCTGTTTGTGGAGATGCGCCCAAGTTCGTCCACGCAGAACTGCTTTCGCCGTTCATAGTCATCTGGCTGCAGCTCGAACAGAACCTGTGGCTTGTACGGATACATTTGTCGGCGGATCACCATCCAGACGAAACTTTTACTGATGCCAAGTTGTCTTGCGACTTGCCGCACGGACAGGCGTGGGTTCAATGCAAATGCCGCAAGCACGGCGTGTCGTTTGTTCTGCTGTGGCGACCTCTCTTCAAGTACTCGCAGCCTGGTCTGCACAGTGTTTTCCGTGTTGAATCGGTGCACCCAGCGCAGGACAGTCCGACGGGTGGGCGGACGCCTGCGAAAAGTGGCTCGAAACTTCGATCTCACTTGCCTCATACTCCTGGTTTCTGTAAACCAAAGGACTACTTTTGCCCTCTCTTCGACGGTCAGGTGACGCATTGTGGCTGTTTTCTCCCCAACCACGACAGAAAAGGTCTCGGAAGCAGCGTCCAAGGATGCAACCGACCAGCGAAAGAAAGCAGACGACACGCAGACGAAATCCGCCGGCAGCAAGAGCGCCGTCAGCGTTGTCGTTATGCAACCGCGTTTTCTTTTATTTTTGTTACTTGAAGTTTTTCTATCATTGTCTGCATTTATTTTCACGCCAAAGGTAGATTACAAAACCGATTATGTTGGTGTCAATAAACCACGGTCGACGCGGGCACTTTCGATATTTCATTGAAAGCAAACCGAAACCAGAACTCTGACGGAAACAAGGAGGTAGCGCCATCTATCAATAGGAGTGTCAAACACACCCCGCACCTTGACTTGGTCGTCTGCGTCGCCTCCCGCCGTTGACCCAGGCAAGTTTCTTGGCCTTATTTTTTACAGAAAGAGAACTACGCTTTGTAATTCTACAAGAAAAAACCGACCTATGAAATACACCTTTGACGAAAAGTTTGAGGGGCTACGGGCAGGCGTCGATTTTTACGGTCCATTTTAGATCGAGCCTGGCGACTTTAGCCACCCTATATTTATCCAGCAGACTTGTATACAATTCTCATGTCTTCTCGCATAGAGTTATTATAATGTACGCTAGAGGTTCAAGTGGCGCTAGTGTGCTGCTGCAAATTGAAGCAGACAGCAACCAGTCGGAAATTGACTTCCGGTAATGCATTTCTATGGGAAAAAGCGAGTACATTTTCTCTCCGCGCTCGAATATAAGAGCAAATATCACGAATAATTGGTACGTACTAGAAAGCTTGGAACATTTCTCAGTCAGGCCGACGAAATAATTGGTCAGTTACGGCGTTTTTCTTTCAAATTCATCGGATTAAAAACGGTGCTAAAACGGCTTCGTACGTGTATTTATGTGCACTGTCGGACACTGTTAGCGCGAACACGGCATCGGCGCTTTCCACCATGGGGGTATACGTGTCAAACGAACGAAGGACATGTGGAAAACCAAGAGAGACTCCAAGAACTACGCATAAGTAACTCCTTGCGCATGCAGGCGATCAAAATAAACTGAAAGCCACCTAATATAGTCCGATTTGCAATAAATAAGTACCGCTTTATTCTTTCTGCTCATGAATATGTGCGAAGATGCATGTTCTGGGTTCAAATCATCAACCGCACGCTCCAAATCTTTGCAAATAGGAAGAAGTCAGAGAACAGGGGCCCGATAAGAACTGCCCGACATAGGAAATAATAAAAAGGCACACCTTTCGTAGTCCACGTACTTTATTTCTTACATTCGAATGTTTTTTAACCGTCGTAAAGATGCACGAAGGAGTCATTTTCATAAAGTGACAGGACGGGCATATTAAGCGATATATAAGCGCCACTGCAATGCTAGCGAACCTTGAACACACTTTACATTCTTTTCGATCGTTAGTTTGCTTAGAATCGTCGCTTGTTTTTACATACCTGTCATGGAACATAGGTTTGGGCCTGAATTATAGCGAAGCTTAACATCGTTCAGTGGTAAAGAAAAATGCTGTAATTAAAGCAATTACACTTTTAAAATATTAATAAGTGTACATACTATCCGGTACAACCGAAATAATAAAAGCCATTCGTGTTATTTTCCGGCGAAGAGGTAAATTTCACGCGCGTTTTCCCATAGCTATGCACAGGAGCACCGCAAAAGTGAACTGGTTGCTGTCTGCTTCAATTTGCCTCCCGGAAGTCGCATAGACACTAGCGCCAGTTGAACCTCTAGCGTACATGTCTTCTCGGGTTCGAGGTTATTTCCGTTATTTCATTATTTGTCGTCCGTTTGTTTCTCCCGCGGTTAGCTTCTGCGCGCGTCGTTGCTGCTACTTGCTGAAACCTTGATCAACTTCGCAAGTTTATGGCGTTTGTGTTCACCTTGAGATTCTCCGTGCGATACCCATAAAGGTAAGTGTGACACTATCTTAATAACCGTGTCGGTAATCGTGACACGCGAAATTCCAACGGTGCTTCGACCAGCACCGGGTTTGCATTTGCGAGCACCAGCCACGAACTGTCAAAACCCCGATAAGAGACGCGTGTTTCGAGCTCTATGAGGAACTCTTTATGCACTTTGTTAATTATGTCACTGGGAAGAAATGCACAAGCAAACATAATCTCCAAATGAAGTGCGTCACAAAAATAACGGAAACATGCAAAACAGAAACTGCGAGGTATCGTCTTCTACCCAGTTGTCGACGATTGCTCGTTCTGCAAGTACGTCTCACTGTCTTTTTGTCCTGCGGTCTCGCCTTCCAGCCTTGTCGGGGACCACGCGAGTCGCCGAGGGTGGTCGACATGTCCAACCCACCGGACGGCAGCCTTTTGCTCGTCCTGCCGACAGGCAAGAGCCCACGAGATGCGCCTGCAACGTTGCGGGACATGTACGACCTTACGTGCCGGGAGCAGATGGAGCCGAAATGGATCACGACCCAGGACTGCCTGGCCAAGTCATCCCGCAACCCGACCGAAGTGTTTGTGTGCGACCCTTTCGAAGGACCGGCTTTTGACCACCTGACGGCGCTCAACTGCCGAGTCGTGGGCCCGCTTTGCATGGCGCTCTGCATTCAGGAGCAGCAGTCGTTGCCTCGCAGGCCCAACCCGCTCTACAGCCTCTCCTTCAGGGGCATGGTGGTCACCGTCTCGGCGCTCAGTCCACCGGAGAGGCAGAAGGTGCAGACATGGGTCGAGCTCATGGGTGGGACGTACATGGCGGCACTGACCAAAAGTGTCACTCATGTTGTGGCAGGTAAGTCCTTTCGTGACCCTTTAACCTTTATCTAAACACGCCGGTGTCGTCTTATCCTCCACCAGGCTGAGCAACGTTGACATTTTTATACCTGCCAGGTCTCCTGTATTACCCGGGAAACTCCCGAATTTCGACCATTTCATACAGTTGTACAATTCATGAAAAAATCTCCCAGAAAATGCACAATAACCCCCCTTTGCCCTAGCAACAGGCAGCGGCAATTATAGTGAGGGTCCCAGCTGTGTCTCACTAGTATGGGCAGTGCAGTACAAATGTAATGACGTTATCCTCATGCAAGTTTATTGCTAATATTTCTTTTAAACCCCCCTCTCCCCTCTCCTCCCCATCGTAGAAAGTCTTTAGGGTATGGTTTCTCGAAACTTGGCAGATATACTGATTCCACATGACCCAAATAGTCACCATTCGGTCGCGGCGACATTGGCAGTTGAAGCTGAACTGACGCATTGCAGAAAACGGCGCTAAAAGACATGACAGACGAAAAACAAGAACTGGACGATGCTTGGTCTTTCAGTTCCTGTTCTTCGTCTGTCCTACCTTTTTGTGCTGTTTTCTGCTATCCACTTCTATCAGATAGCTCAACTTTCTATCCTATTAAGCTAAACTTGACTTAAAGGGGCACTGAAGTCAGTTTTGAAAAAGTTTGTTTTTGATCTTATATTGTTTAAAATGTGTTTGTTCCCACATATACCAAGTCCTATATTTCAAAACCGCCTATTCATCTCAGGGCAATAGAAAAACGTGGACTCGTTTCTTCTCATGAACTACATTGTGTGGACCAATGAAAGCCGTACAATACGCGCTGATTCCAAATGATTTTATTATAACTTGTTTCGAAGAGAGTCGGATAGGTTCACATTAGGATAAGACTACTCTTTTTCGCCGCGGGCGAAGCCATCGCTTGCAACTCACCGACAAGCGCCCTTCGTCAACCACTTCACTCGGAAGAAATTCCTTCCCAAAAAGGGGCTTGTCGCGATCTTCGAACATGCTTTTAACGAGGAAACAAGCTACGCACAATTGTAATTTTGGGTTTGTTGGGATTCTTAGAGCGTCTAGATTGAGTTGTCATCACAAAAGGACGATCCTAGAATTGACCTCGGTGCCCCTTTAAAGGGACCATGAAATGATTTTAAAATCGAGTTTCATCCACCGCACGTCGTAAAAGGTGTGAAAAGAAACACAAAAACACAAAAATAGGGAGCCAAAAAAAATTATTTGCTATAGAACTTTTAAAAGAAAACTGGACTCTTTTGCGCCTTCCTTCGCCTGTTCACTACGACGCATCCGTGGAAATGGAGCACGTCAGCCAAATCCAGGTCGCCTATTGGGTAAGAGCCTACCTCACCAGCACCGCGATCGTAAACAATAAATAGCTGGCGAATGTTTCCTAAAAGTTTTGTTAAATAATATTCAGATCCACATTTTGTAGCATAATTAGAGATGTGTGGCGAAAATTGCCAAATTTGATAATGCTGAGAGCCAAGCGCCATCTATCGTGTGGCAAACGAAGCAACTACTGCGCGTGCGCAGTAGGGCAGGGCCGACAGTTACTTGGGTGGCGGCGACCGACGAACATTTATTTTCTTTGTTTTTCTTCCTCTCAAAACTCTGACTGACTGAACGTTTATTTTTCTACGTATTCTTCCCGCGCGTGCCGACTTCAAGCAGCAAGAAAACAGTACTTAAAACAGACCACGACGAACAAGAACGCTGGATCCACCGACTCCGACGAAGCGAGCTGCTCAGAATATAGGCCTAGCAGGCATTCCGACTCGGCGCTGCGTTGCTTCGTCGCAAGACCGTCTGCCTACGACCGGCTGGCGTGCTAAATGGAATATGCCTGCGCGACCCTTGTGGACCCTTCCCGTATTATAGTTTGATCACTGACCTCAATTCTAGATTAAGAGGTGAGGTCAATCTCTTCCCCTTGTTTTCCGAGGCAGTGTTGACGAACACTCGTCGAAAAGGGACTCTCGTCGATTCTATCTTCTTGTTTTGTGTGATATAGAGCTGAAATAAACGCCGTATGGATTACCTTCGTAACACGGTATGTACACTTTGTTATTGGTATGCCATTTTTATTCTGACAGACTGCACGTCACTGTCGAGCTATAACAGTTCGTGGGAGGTATACGTACAACCCCGGTCCAACCTTTCTTTGCCGAGTGTCGCGTCAGTATAGAGTTGCAATCGTAAAAGAACGGTCCCGAAGCGCTTACAAACAGCGCGAATGCAGCACTTCCATCAAGCGCGCGCGTCCGCTCCGGAAGACTCGCTGTACTTCCCAACAGGCATACCGGCGTATGGGACTAGTCCCATGCTGTCGCTGTAGCGCAACATATCTCATTGAATTTCGCTCAGCTGCGATGCGGCGATGAGAGGCGCCGATTCAGGAAATATGTCGGTGACATCAGCGCAGTAAAACCTACCGGCGCACCCCAACTCGTTGCCACTAACACTCCCATTCTCCTACTGCCGAGAGAACTTCCGGTTCCGGAAACGGCCTACGTCACGGCTTGTTTTGTGGTCCGTTGGAGAGAATGAAAAAGTCGATATTTCAATAATTTTTTGTGTAGAAGTTAATAAACCGAGACGAAAACGGATGCCTGTTCGGCATTCAGTGAACATTGACGGTTTAATGTAAAAGTTATCTGGAAAAAGTAAAAAGGTCATTTCATGGTCCCTTTAACAACCGGCAAGCCAGCGGTAGATGGGAAATCAGCGTAACTTCTATCATCTAAAGTTGCACTGGCTGTTCTAGCTCATTCCCACTGACAGCTAAGTATTTGTGAGTTGTTCTGCTGGCGTGTGCATGACAAACCAGCAGCGTTACAATGACTGTTGTCTTAGTGAAAGCGAGGACAGTGTAAATTGCATCATTATTAGTAAAGTCGCTTTCGTTGCCAGCAGGGCACCCGGAACAGTGCCACACACATTGAATGGCTTGAATCCCAGAACCCTCCATTGGTATGTTTGTATGTCTGCAGGGGAGGTTGGATCCAAAAAGTACCATGCGGCAGCCAGCCGGAAACTGCCCGTGATGCAGCCCCAGTGGGTCAAACTTTTCTGGGAAAAAGAGCAGCACACGCTGGCTCATGCTTCGAGCGACGCGTATAACCACCTACGCCTACCTGCCTTCAAGGGGCTTAGCATTACCGTTTCTCAGGTGAGGCACTCGTTTGATTTCCGGCCCCGAAGAGATGTGACTTGGGTTAGCCAGTTGCCGGGGTCTGTGTTCATTGAATTGTCATTGTTTGGGTGTAATTAGGTCCTACAATCTGGTGCAGGTCAAGAATAGGAGGATGAGTTTCTCTCAGAAAGCCCTCCACTCTTTCCACTGTAGCAGAGTAAGCGCTGGAGAGGAGGCGTGTTGAGAGGGGAAACTACCAGTTGCGGCGAGCAGAGAGCTTTGTGAGAGGAGCTGGCTCTGGTATTCTAAACCTGCAACAACCTCTAACGAAACACGGAGCACGTGGCTTTTGACACGTGTTGCGCCTGATGGACCCCCGCGTCATCCAAGGGCCCTCCAGGTGGCGCGGCGTGTATTGAGAGCCGTATGCTCTGCAGTTCTAAGTTTCATTAGGGCCCCATGAGCCTCCAGCATTAACCAGATGGCACCACCACTCCTTGCATGCTAGCGCCATCTCTCGCCATTGATTGCAACCAGGTGTCTCCAAACATTTTGGGCTAAGGGGCCGGAAGTAAATGAAACAATATAAATGAGGAAATAATGAATGAATAAGCCTAAATGAGCATGTACATATAGAAATCTAAACTAAGGCAATATATCAAAAAAGAAATTTAAGGTAAATGAATAAGTGTCATATTCTAAACCCCGAGACAGGAAGAAATAAAATAATGGACAAGATCTCGTCCGTTATTTTATTTCTCCTTGTCTCGGGGTTTAGAGTATGATGTTTCCCAACCAGCTCGCCTGCATACTTTCGCTCCTTGACGTAAGTATAGTCGTTTTTTTTTTTTTATATGCAAGTTGTCGCTAATTAGGGGATCACAAAATAATTGTGACCCAGAGAACTCGCCCGGCATAAATCAAAGCTCATAGGAACTTTTTTGGCATATTCACACAGGGCAGAAGACAAATGAGAATGGTAGATCCGATGACAACATTATGCATGAGGTATGACATGAGACACCAAGCACGATATATGTGAGAATGCAAAGGAATTTTGTCGCACGTTTTACAGACATAAAGCGGGGAGCTACAAGTATAGTCCGTTGCAACTAAAGGAGGTAGGGCGAGGGAAAGAAAGGCCGGAGAGGGGGAAGCAGATGGAACGCTGCAGAAGAGAGGGGGAAACCTCCTCCTCTCTTTAGCATTCTGTCTGCTTCCTCTTGCCAGCCTTCCTTTCCCTCGCCTTACCTTGAGTTGCAACGCACTATATATAGTAATGCTGGAGATGACAATGTGCAGTAAATAATATGGCAAAAGAACCTGCATTTTGATGCAGTTTTTTTTTACCGTGGAGCTGTTAAGAGCTAGTTTCCCGAGGATCGTGTCCCCCGCAATGATATGTCGACACAAACCTCTGGACAGCTACCTCCATCCATGAGCGACGGCGGCAACCAGACAACCGGCTTTCCGGCCTTGCTCATAGGTGGCGGCAGCCTTTCCTGCCTTTCCACTCTGGTTTTCACCAGAGTGGAAAGGCTGAATTTCTCTAGGCGTCGTCCTCGAGGTTGTCCTAGAAGTCATCCTTGAGGTCGTCTTAGGCGTCGTCCTTGAGGTTGTCCGAGAGGTCCTTGAGGTCGTCCTAGAAGTCATCCTTGAGGTCATTCTAGAGGTCGTCCTAGAAGTAGTCCTAGATTTCGTTCCTGAGGTCGTCCTAGGTGTCATCCTTGAGGTCGTCCTAGACGTCCCTGAGGTCGTCCTTGAGGTCGTCCAAGAAGTTCTGCTTGAGGTTGTTCCGTCATAGTACAGCTTCGCTGGTCTTCCTTCTTTACCAGAGTGGAAAGGCTGAAATTTTCTTTTCCCATTCTTTTCGACATCTTTGTTCGCGCTCTTAATGTGCGTCGCGGCCCGATTTTTTTTTTTACGCCCGCTTATTTTTTAGTTTTTAGTAACGTGCTTTTGGGTCGTGCGCCAGTTGAAAGACCTCAGTCAACCGCGGGCCAGCCGGAATGCTTCCACGGGCGGGTTCTGGCCCGCACGCTGATTTAAACCATTGCGGCGATCCGGGTGCTCGGGCATGTCTGAGCACCCGGATCGAATTGTTTACATGAGATTTTTCAGAAATTGTAACACTGACTGAGACCAAGAGTTCCAGAACCCTGACAAGGCGTATCTGAAAACTTTTAAAAAAAGGTGAATTTGAGTTTTGTTTAGTTTCGTTTTAGGACTCCAATTCAATCGATTGGCGCACCTGCAGCCAACGGTCACTGCTGCAGATCCGTCTCCACTACGCTAAACGACATGGTGATTCTAAGAAAAGGTTGAAATAGAAATTAAAAAGAAAAAAGACGCCTGAAATATGAGTAAAATAACCTGTGTAAATGTCGTGCAAAGTTATTGCTGAGCAAGCTCATGCTAAGGTGCAACCCCACCCTTGGTTTGTGTGATTCTGAACCAACAGATGGCGGTAGGATCGCCTTCCAGGCCTGTACATCAATGTGAGAAATCGTGTGCGGTGGCACTTCGATACAGTGGGGTATTTCTCTATATCCTGAATTTGACATCCCTGGTCCCTCGCTTGTTTTTTTCTGCACGAGCTTTCTTTGGAACGCGCACGGCTGTGCCAGTTCTCGTGCAAGGGGGCCAGTTGCCTACGCTCAGAGCTCATGTCTCCAGCAAATGTGGGCAGAACAAAATGCAAAAATCGTCCTGAGACAAATGGCGAGACACATGGCAGCTTAACAAAAAGCAGTGATGTGATTGCTGTGCCAAGGGGGCTAACCCTGATACATGCTGCTACATTTTGCCGAAATGTGGGTAATCTGCACCAAGCCTGCGCCAAAGGACCAATTTTGGCTGCCTTTCAAAGCCGAAACTAAACTTGAGTACCGTAATTGAGCATGCGTGAGCTAGGTGGCGCAAGCGGCCGCCCGATACAAAGTACCCTGCTTCAATCGCCCATCTGGTCTTGGATGGTTTTTCCCGCCGTCTCTCGTTTCGCGTTCTTGTCGTCTCGTGGCTCTCGTCTCGCATATTTTTAAAAATTATACAATGATGCAAGCGTGTGCGGACGCACTGACACTAGCGTGCCGGGTACCAGCCATGCCGTCATGCTGTGTAACAACTCGCGGCTTCAGCTTACTTTGTGAGCTGAAACACTCGCTCCTGAAAGCAACTGCCGTGGAAAAAACTATTTGGTCCCTGCCTACCAGTCACCGTGGTCGTGCGACATCGGGTGTTGCCGTCCCCACGTTGCTGCAGATATGGCGCTTTCTAACCTGAAACGTCAGGACCTCCGCAAGGTCATCAACATTCATGTTCTTGTTTAAATCAGATGCTACTACAAAAATCCCCTTTAACTCAAAAATTGCTGTGTTGAAGTAGTGATTACCTAGGTTTCTCCCGGTGGGCTTTCTTTCGAGAGAGACCTCGGTACGTGAAAAATCTGCCGCGAAATAAATTTGGTGAAGAGAAGTGAGCTAAAGCAAAGAAGGCAATGTCTGCTCGCTGAACCTGCGCAGCACGCTTGTTTCTCTCGAGTTCAGGCGTTGCACAAAGCGCTCCAAGAACTTTTTGACCCATGCATGCTAGGTCTTGCATCGATGCACTCAGGTTCTTTTCTTCTTTGTGTTTAGCTTGTACCTCTTCTGCCGGCCTGGCAAGCACGTGCCGCTGGACTGTTTTTGGTCCTATGCTGGACAGTAACATTTTGCATACAATTTTGGGAACCAGTTGGCGACGGAGCGGAGTGGCATGGTTTCAGTTTCGATCGAACAGCCGTCTCCGCTCGTGCGACGAAACACGTGCAACTGCAAGCTGCCGAAGCTGCCCTCAAGTGCATGCAAACATGATTGCACGACAGAGGCACCAGCCGGGACACTTGCAATACGTTGCTTTACGTTTGCTTACCTTTGATGAAAATTGATGAACCAGTAAAACGGTGGCAAGTGTTATTTTTGAATTTCTCGGCAATGCCTACAGCACTACACTTGTGGGATGTTGCATTGTCTTTTTAGAGATATTGAAAGTGGACATTCATTACTTGCCGAAGGCAAAGTGAGGCTTGCAGCAGCCTTGCAGAAATTTCCAAAAAGCGAAAAGAAATGCACCTGCTAGTCGTAATGCACCTTTGTCTCGTGTACAATTTCGCATTGCATTGAAGTAGTTACGTGTTTCATCAGTCAGAGACTGCTTCACTTTTTTATATTATGTAACTAGTCAACCTAATGCTGTGATATTTACTACTAAGATGGCCATTTTCAAATAAATTTTAATTTGTGCTGTTTGGTTCTCATTTATCTATAGCGGGTACATACATTTATGTATCATTTAACTGAAGCATTGCAAAATGTGTCATGTCATTGGCCTTTCAGAGACTCACAGTTGGTCAACTTGACCATAATTTGTTTATTGCGGCGAGCAAAGTGCCCTTCATTTGTCCAGCAATTAAAACAAATCTTTTTTTTTTTTTTCTAGGAATAACAGCTCCAAAAGCAACTTTTGCTGCTCCGAAACACTGTTTTGGCTGCTCCAAAACACTATTTGGGCTGCTCCAAAGGCCACTTTTGCTGCTCCAGAACACTGCTTTGGCTGCTCCAAAAGGTGCTCCAAAATGGCTTAGGCCAATCACATCACTGAGAGAGCGAGAGCGAGACTTACTCGACAAGGTCGCGGGCAGCTGCTTATCTACGGTGCGGTGCGTCACCATCTCGAAAGTTCGGCAAAGAAGGCTCGAGCGTCGCATGCTCGGGGCGAGGATGAACTGGCACTTTCGAGAACAAGAAAGCAGGGCGAAAGTTAGGTCTGGTGCAAGAATGAACGTGAATCTTCTAGAAGTCTGTGACCGAGCATTGCGTTCTCGGCTTTGCGAGCGGCAATATATTGGGCCGGCCCTTTTGTCGTGCATGTGTTTGGCTCTTTTTTGGATTTCCAGGAAAATGTGATGACATAATAGACTTGGGTTTCCGAAATTCTAGCTTGAGGAATTAACTACCATATTTACTCGCAGAATGAACGCACTTTTTATTCCGAAAAAT